CTTTCGATTGCCGGCATAACAAACAGAGATTTTCATTAAAAAAAATGAAGTTGACCTATGAAATGACTTCGAAGGTGAGGATCAAGGTCAAATCCATGATCACCAATCACTCGCTCAATGAAATTTACCAAAGACCTGATCTTGATAGTTGTTTTCATCACTCATCCTGTGAGATTTATACAGGTTTTCCTAGCAACATACATTTGACCTCCATTTGACCTTTGATGAACCTTGGTCTTCAATTGGTATTTGAATGTAGAACTGTCCGCTCTTTCGATTGCCGGCATAACAAACAGAGATTTTCATTAAAAAAAAAAATGAAGTTGACCTATGAAATGACTTCGAAGGTGAGGATCAAGGTCAAATCCAAGAATACCAATCACTCGCTTAATAAAATTTACCAAAGACCTGATCTTGATAGTTTTTTTCATTACTAATCGTGTGAGATTTATAAAGGTTTTCCTAGCAATATACATTTGACCTCCATTTGACCTTTGATGAACCATGGTCTTCAATTGGTATTTGAACGTAAAATTGTCCGCTCTTTCGATTGCCGGCATAAAAAATACAGATTTTCATTAAAAAAATGAACTTGGCCTATGAAATGACCTTGAAGGTGAGGATCAAGGTCAAATCCAAGATCACCAATCACTCGCTCAATAAAATTTACCAAAGACCTGACCTTGATAGTTGTTTTCATTACTAATCGTGTGAGATTTATAAAGGTTTTCCTAGCAATATACATTTGACCTCCATTTGACCTTTGATGAACCTTGGTCTTCAATTGGTATTTGAACGTAAAATTGTCCGCTCTTTCGATTGCCGGCATAAAAAATTGAGATTTTCATTAAAAAAATGAAGTTGACCTATGAAATGACCTTGAAGGTGAGTATCAAGGTCAAATCCAAGATCACCAATCACTCGCTCAATAAAATTTACCAAAGACCTGGTCTTGATAGTTGTTTTCATTACTAATCGTGTGAGATTTATAAAGGTTTTTCTAGCATATACATTTGACCTCCATTTGACCTTTGATGAACCTTGGTCTTCAATTGGTATTTGAATGTAAAACTGTCCGCTCTTTCGATTGCCGGCATAACAAACAGAGATTTTCATTAAAAAAAAATGATGTTGACCTATGAAATGACTTCGAAGGTGAGGATCAAGGTCAAATCCAAGATCACCAATCACTCGCTCAATAAAATTTACCAAAGACGTGACCTTGATAGTTGGTTTTATTACTGATCCTATGAGATTTATAGAGGTTTTCCTAGCAGCATACATTTGAGCTTTAGATGGCACCCTCATCTTGGACTTCAAGCCGTACGTAAAATGTTCTACTCTTTCGATTGCCGACATCAAAAATAGGGATTTTTATTAAAAAAAGTAAAGTTGACTTTGAAATAATCTTGAAGGTCAAGGTCAAATCCAAGGTCAGCGTTGACTTGCACGTAAAAATTAATCAACGATTATCAAGAATATTTATTTTCATCACACACCCTGTGAGATTTATAGGCGTTTTTGAAATGACCTTCGAGGTTAGGATCAAGGTCAAACCCAAGATCACCGTTCCCTCCCTCTTTAAAATTTAACAAAGACCTGACCTTGATAGTTATTTTCATCACTCATCCTGTGAGCTTTATACAGGTTTTCCTAGCAACATACATTTGACCTCCATTTGACCTTTGATGGAGGTTAGGATCAAGGTCAAACCCAAGATCACCGTTCCCTCCCTCATTAAAATTTAACAAAGACCTGACCTTGATAGTTATTTTCATCACTCATCCTGTGAGATTTATACAGGTTTTCCTAGCAACATACATTTGACCTCCATTTGACCTTTGATGAACCTTGGTCTTCAATTGGTATTTGAATGTAAAACTGTCCGCTCTTACTATTGCCGGCAAAACAAACAGAGATTTTCATTAAAAAAAATGATGTTGACCTATGAAATGACTTCGAAGGTGAGGATCAAAGTCAAATCCAAGATCACCAATCACTCGCTCAATAAAATTTACCAAAGACCTGATCTTGATAGTTGTTTTCATTACTAATCGTGTGAGATTTATAAAGGTTTTCCTAGCAATATACATTTGACCTCCATTTGACCTTTGATGAACCTTGGTCTTCAATTGGTATTTGAACGTAAAATTGTCCGCTCTTTCGATTGCCGGCATAAAAAATTGAGATTTTCATTAAAAAAATGAAGTTGACCTATGAAATGACCTTGAAGGTGAGGATCAAGGTCAAATCCAAGATCACCAATCACTCGCTCAATAAAATTTACCAAAGACCTGATCTTGATAGTTGTTTTCATTACTAATCGTGTGAGATTTATAAAAGGTTTTCCTAGCAACATTCATTTGACCTCCATTTGACCTTTGATGAACATTGGTCTTCAATTGGTGTTTGAATGTAAAACTGTCAGCTCTTTCGATTGCCGGCATAAGAAACAGAGATTTTCATTAAAAAAAATGAAGTTGACCTATGAAATGACTTCGAAGGTGAGATCAAGGTCAAATCCAAGATCACCAATCACTCGCTCAATAAAATTTACCAAAGACCTGGTCTTCATATTTGTTTTCATTACTAATCGTGTGAGATTTATAAAGGTTTTCCTAGCAATATACATTTGACCTCCATTTGACCTTTGATGAACCTTGGTCTTCAATTGGTATTTGAACGTAAAACTGTCCGCTCTTTCGATTGCCGGCATAACAAACAGAGATTTCCATTAAAAAAAATGAAGTTGACCTATGAAATGACTTCGAAGGTGAGGATCAAGGTCAAATCCAAGATCACCAATCACTCGCTCAATAAAATTTACCAAAGACCTGATCTTGATAGGTGTTTTCATCACTCATCCTGTGAGATTTATACAGGTTTTCCTAGCAACATACATTTGACCTCCATTTGACCTTTGATGAACCTTGGTCTTAAATTGGTATTTGAACGTAAAATTGTCCGCTCTTTCGATTGCCGGCATAAAAAATTGAGATTTTCATTAAAAAAAAATGAAGTTGACCTATGAAATGACCTTGAAGGTGAGTATCAAGGTCAAATCCAAGATCACCAATCACTCGCTCAATAAAATTTACCAAAGACCTGACCTTGATAGTTGTTTTTATTACTAATCCTATGAGATTTATAGAGGTTTTCCTAGCAGCACACATTTGACCTTTAGTAGCCATCCTGACTTTGGAGTTTAGTTGTGTTTGAACGTAAAACTACAAGCACGGACACTAAGCCCTCGAAATGTTTTCCTCAGATATTTTAGTGCTTAACTGACCGGACTATTATGCAGTGGATCATCGCCAACGTACGATCCCATTACACATGAGGGCATATTCACGTTAAGTGGTTTATTTGATAAATGCTGCCAACTTCCTTAATTTTAATACAAGGGAAACGTGAATATTGTTGCGAGATATCGTCTCTTTGTCCATATATCCGATAGGTCAAAACACTTAAAAAAAATTTTATGATGATATCAACAGGAAAAAAACACCAACAGAACCACATGGCTTCGTTGTTGATAATGCCAACAGAGGAATACACGACTGCCGAGAAGTGAATACTCAGCGTCAGCCGTGCAATGCGATTGCGCTTGGCAGCTATCCCAGCTTAACGTCATACAGCTTTGCGTAAAAATTCAACGTAGTTTTCGAAGTATTGTGTTGTATGTACGTAGTCGTGCCATAAGTTCTGTCCCATGATAATCTCATGATAAAAATGAAACAAGATAAGATATATTTATATGAAAGATATTATTTATTCGACAACATTTTTAGAATTCATAATCAAACAGTTTTATTCAAAATGTCCCCCCTTGGCCTTCACACACTGCTTCAATCTCGCGGGCCACTCATCTATCACTGCACGCACAGCTTCCAAAGGAATAGCTGCCGCTGATCGGATCAAATCCGCTTTCAGGGACTCGATATTACGGTGGGCTTTGGAGCAGGCCAACTGCTCTAGCAGGTCCCACAACTTGTAGTCTAAAGGATTGAGGTCCGGACTCCCTGAGGGCCAATCTTCCGCAGCAATGAACTCTGGCACATTGCTTTCCAGCCAGCGCTGCGTACTCTTAGCCTTGTGAGCGGGGGCGGAATCCTGCTGGTAGACCCAGTGTTGGTTGGCAAACAATGTTCCACTTAAAGGCTTGACGATAGGATCCAGTATGTCGCTCTGATAGTTTGCCGCTTTTGTTTTCACGCCCTGTTTACAGAAATGGAGCTGAGTGACCCCTTCGTAGGACACCCCCCACCAAACCATGACTGACGCAGGGTGGTGGCCTCTCTCAACTCTCGGAATGATCTCCGAAGCTTCCTGTGAACTCCTTGCATACACTTTGTCATTTTGTCGGTTGAATTTTTCTTCTATGGTGAAGATTTTCTCATCCGTGAACAAAATCTTTCGGAATCCCCCAGCTGCGTACCTCTCCAAGAGCTTCTTGGATCTTGTCGCCCTGATGTGTCGCAAGGTGGCCGTAAGTCGCTGGCCCGTACGTCTCCGGTAAGCCCCTAGCCCTAGGTCTTGTTTAATGATGCGCGACATCGTCCGGACAGGAATCTTCATTTCCCTGGATAGGATCTTCTGCTTCCGGAGTGGATTCCTTTGAATCCTGGCTTTTACGGCTTTGATGGCTGCTGGAGTCCTTACTTGACGAGGTCTTCCGCTTCTTGGCCTGTCATCAACAGAGGACGTCTCATTGTACCGCTGAATGGTCCTAGACACAAATTTACGCGATATTTGAAGGCCGCGTAAGAGTTCAAAAATCTGACTAGCACTGTGATTACACTTATGTAAAGCTATCACTGCAATACGGTTCTCTGCCTTGCCCCACTCCATCGTTATGCTTCGAGAGATCAATACAAACTGAGGTATATGTAATTACCCGAAAAGCGCTTAATCAACTGACACCACAATGTAAACAATCGGACAAGTATTAACAGGTCTACACTTGTTTGAAAACGAGGGACAGAACTTATGGCATGACTATGTATACTGTATTTTATTACGCAAGGAGAGCTGGCGGCCCAAAGCATGAATTGAGAATGAGAAATAGTGAATTTATGCATAAAAAAGTTAGTTAATTTTCTGAACAATTGATTACCGTAATGCCATATTTAAACGAATAATATAAATAAGAATGCGTTACTGTTTTATTTACGCATATTTAAAGCCAAATTACGTGGTTGTATGTTGCGATGACAAATTTCGTGCATGTTTTCGATCGCGCTCGATCGATCGCTTCCTCAGCCACATTTTTTCATTTTCAGATACGAAGAAGTCTCGGTCCATTACTTGCCATTTCACTATGTCCATTTAAACCTGGAACACCTGTTATGCTTTGATTATTCGTCGTATAATCTACAGGCAATTCATGCTGGACACCCACAATGAGGATAGTCTTAGAAACCATGAAAACGTGAAATATAAAAAGATTCATTTGATCAGTAGTTTTGAGAATTTCGAGAAGCTCAAAATATTTTAATTCTGTCGCGGTATGGATGCATTAGGTCAAACACAAAATGTATTCATAGCAAGAGGAACGTAGAGTGAGACTTATTAAACAAAGCAACAAATTGTGTTTCAAGTCTGAGTGTACATACACGAGATTCGATTCAAAGAAATGAAAAACCGCAAGATTGTAAACAATTTAAAAGTTTCTTTATGTAACTTGGAAACCTTTCATTATTTGTATGAACTGTTATTGTCTAGGTACTGATAATGCATACTGAGATATTGCGTAAGAGGTAATAGTTGTATAATTACTTTGCCACATATATAAAACATAAATGAGATTATCTCTTGCAAAAGGAAAAATTATACACTGGAAACCAAATACCACTGACGTCGTAATGTGTACGAGATAGGAGCACCTCGTTCCAACATACACATTACGACGTCAGCCAAATTTGAACCTAGCGGATATTCAAAATTTACGAAATATCCAATACTCAGACAAGGGTCCGACTATTAGAACGGCGTGATCGTTATCATTCTATCTTTTTCTCTTCAAACATAGAAACTATCAAACCAGCCAGTGGACGGTCTGCCAAAGACAACAAATAATGTGAATTATGGCCAGTGACTACTGGAATGAACGATTTTTCATACTAACCCAATAACTGGCCACTCATTGGGCAAGGCCAGACTGTAACATTGAATTCTAATTGTTACACAGCAAAGCTACGTAACCTTTTCTTTCCACAACTGCATGATTTTAAAGCCTACCATAGCAGGACCTGGCTTCAACAAGATGGCGCGACATCCCATACCGCCAACGAAATGTTTAGGGGAAAACTGATACCGCGACGAGGCGATATTCCGTGACCTCCTCGGAGCCCAGATCTCACGTCAATGGATTTTTTCTATGGGGGTACCTCAAGAGCCGCGTTTACGCCAATAAACCGACGATGATTGCGCAGCAAGGAGATGAACTTGAAGTCGGGATTCAAGGAGTGCGTACATCTCGTTATGTTATTTTAAAAAAATAAAATTCCCATGTGTCTACTTTATTAAATATACAGGGTGTCCCAGAAGTCGACGTCAAGCCGAAACCGGGTGATAGGCAAAGTCATAACAGCTATCAGAAAAATATTTAAAAAAAATTTATGTATGTGTTTTGAAAATTATAGGTCTTTGATATAGAAATTTCACAGCCTACGGTAGTCTGTCAACTCCTGTTACTACAAATATTAACTTTTTTTGGATTTTATTTTTACAATGCAATGATGAATAATGCATCTTCAAACTGGTGTCTCAACCTTACTGCCAACTTTTCTCGTTCAGGAAAAATTGCCACTTATTTCCCAACCAAGTATTCCAAAGTAAAACTTTGCTCAACTTTAACTGGCTGTACTGGAAAAAAAATGTACTACGAGAGTTTGGCAAGTAACCTTAAAAGTTGGCGCATTTAATAACGATTCCAAAATGGTATAACACTTAGAAGATTACTCGTTAACTTATGCACAATTTTTATTTGAAAAAAAACTGATGAAAATTTTTCAAAATTTCCTAATTAAACAGCGATTATGAAAACGCACAAGGACCCTTAAGGATAACTGTTTGCACAACAGTGGGCGTCAAAATGTTGCTGATGATGATTTACCTTTACAGCAAATGCTCAAACTGTTTTCCTTCAGCCGCAATACACGCTCGACATCTTCTTAAAAAAGATCGGGTTATTAAACGAGCGAATCCACGGTTATTAACATACTCATCTGCTTCCAATAGTCTTTGCCGTAGCTCAGCTACATTTTGAATCGGCTTGAAATACACTTTTTCTTTTACAGTTCCCCAGTAAAAAAATCTAAAGGAATCAAATCAGGTGATCGGGCTGGCCACGGTATTGTACCAGACCGCCTTATTCATCTGCCTGGAAAGTTTTGATCGAGATACTCTCTCACTGAGGCTACATAGTGCGCTGGGCAGCCATCATGCTGAAACCACATGTCCCTGTAAATACTCAGTGGCACGTCCACCAATAAATTTTCTAAATGATTTTGCAAAAAACCTAAATAAACCTCAGCAGTCAAAGCCTCTGGGAACTCAAACGGACCAATTATTTTACCATTTAAAATTCCTGTCCAATTGTTTATCTTGAAGCGATATTGAGATTTATCTTCTCTCATCAAATGTGGGTTTGCTACGTGCCACTCGTGTAAGTTATGCAGGTTCATGTACCCATCTTTCTTAAATGTGGTCTCATCTGACCATAAAATTTTTTCAAAGAACTGTGGATCTTTCCTGTGTCTTTCTAACATTGTGCGACAAAAAGCAACTCGGGGCTCATAAGCATGAGCATTTGCTATAAGGGTAAATCATCATCAGCAGCATTTTGACGCCCACTGTTGTGCAAACAGTTATCCTTAAGGGTCCTTGTGCGTTTTCATAATCGCTGTTTAATTAGGAAATTTTGAAAAATTTTCATCATTTTTCTTCAAATAAAAATTGTGCATAAGTTAACGAGTAATCTTCTAAGTGTTATACCACTTTGGAATCCTTATTAAATGCGCCAACTTTTAAGGTTACTTGCCAAACTCTCGTATTGATCGACCAGCCAAAGATTGCTAGGGACGAAAGGGGGAAATGCGATGAAAAAACCTTACCATTAGACGATTTTATATGGAGTCATAGGCGGAGATCGGAGAGACTTGAATTATTAATTGAATTTATATTTTATTACAACTGGTAGTATTAATATTTTTTTGCGATTCATAATGACGTGATACCAAACATACATTATAAGAAATAAATATACACAAACACTGAATATTGAGAACAAAATAAATATATTTTTTAGGCAACAAGTAATATTCCTATGTACGCATTATGATTGAACAGCAAAACAAATTATGCATTCTTCTAAAATAGAATACAACAAGTCAAAAATATCTGACTGAATAGAAAAATATAGGAAAACAAAAAGTAATTTCTTGATGAAATAACCCATAAACAACACATAGAATTAGACTTTCTACTGAGATACTAAAAGCCACAAACCAATAGTATAATAAATGAATATCTAAAAATTCTAAAAGGTAGCCAATCTAGTATAGTTTCAATCCTGATTAGAGTCATGATCACTGTCTGAGGAACTGTCATTGCTATCACTTTCACCTCCTATGTTGATTATTATTTCTTCCTGTATTTCTTGAATGAGACTGTCTTTTTCCCAATATTCATCTTCAATTTTTATAACATGTCCAATAACCTTTTGCCAGTCACTGGCACTTACTGAAGCGATGGCCTTATTAGAAATTTCATCTAGTTTTTTTATAGTAAATTCGCCGCTTGTATTATGGCTTCTAATGAAAAATTTTACTTGTGCCCAAATCATCTCTATGGGATTAAACTGACACATATAGGGTGGCGTTCGAAGTGGGGTGTGTCCGAAACTTCTTATTAAATTATCTATCTTATAATTTTTCTCATCAGATGGTGGCCTATGTAGACAAGCTATTTCATAAAGCTCCATTTTTTTAGCATTAGGATCATGCTCTATACCTTTTTTGCTCAACCACGTGATGATGTCTCTTTTTAGAGAAGATCTAGTTGGAGGCTTGTCTTCCAAAGCTGAATGGTAAGGTGCATTATCCATTATTATAATACTATTAGGAGGAATGTTAGGAAATAGTTTTTCAGTAAGCCACTTCGTGAAATTTTCTTGGTTCATTTGACCGTGATAATCACCAGTGGCACAGCCAGCCTTGAAAATGAGACAGGCTCCAGGAACAAAACCATCTTGCGAACCCGCATGAACAATTATAAGTCGTCCTGGAAATGAATAAATAGCCTCATTTTAGTGTTATTTTAAGTTTGCCAACACCTTTTTGAATCACTATGTATAAAAAACATATTTTTGAGAAAAAAATACTTGCAAGGGATTATGTATTCAATTAGACAAATTAAATGAGCACTTATTAAGAATATTCCAAAATTGAGAAAAATGTATAATAAGCAAAATCGAGGTGAAAGAAACTTTATTACCTGTAGAACTTATATTGCTCAGGACACCCATAATTTCTTCGCTTTGCCAGCATTTCTTGAAAGTGAGGTCATTATCAACCCAAGTTTCGTCCAAATAAATAATATGCCTTCCTTCTTCCCGGAACTTTTTAATAGACCTAAGATACTTGTATCGCCAATGTAAAATACTGGGTCTTTCCATTAGTAATTTCCTTTTGTTGTGGCATTTACGCCAGTAAAATCCTTTTGCTTTTAAAAGCAGCCTCAACGATTCTTTACCAAATGGAAATTCCATTTCTTCCTTCAGTTTGATTAGAAGTTTACTACAAGTAGGTACCACTTTAAAATCACAGTAAAATTTTTCTATCATTCTCCGAATAATGGAAAAATCGACTCCATCAATTTTTTGGATCACAGAAGGGCGTGATCTCTTTTTTCCGGGAGAAGCTAAAGGCTGTGTGGAGGTTGCATTTTGCCTGTCTTTATCTTCTTTTCTAATTTTACTTATAGTTCGTTCACTAACACCCGTATAATATGCCGCCCTTGCATTTCTAGCTACCAGTGGATAAACGAAAGTATTGTTAGCCGCTTCTGCATCGCAAGCACGTATCACGTTTGCTATTATTTCCCTTGCCTGGCTGTGAATAACTTTCCCATGCTTGAATTCCATTATCACCACTAAACAGTAAATTATATTTTCAAAGTATTTGCCAACTGCCTACGCCTATGGGAGTAGGTTTATAAATGACCGTGCCATCGGCACGTTATTCTAGTTTCAGATAAGATAAGAGTTTTGGACCAATCAGCGACCGGATGTTTACCTGCGGCCTGGGTTTTCCAGCTACATTGCCAAATTCAGCGGAACAATTCTATATCTTAAATATGTTAATATGTATGGACCGCATTTTATGTAGAACATCTGACAACTTCGCAATTTTTTGTCCGCATTCTTTCGGCTTGCAATCTTTCGCTGGTCCAACTATAGTACATTTTTTTCCAGTACAGCCAGTTAAAGTTGAGCAAAGTTTTACTTTGGAATACTTGGTTTGGAAATAAGTGGCAATTTTTCCTGAACGAGAAAAGTTGGCAGTAAGGTTGAGACACCAGTTTGAAGATGCATTATTCATCATTACATTGTAAAAATAAAATCCAAAAAAAGTTAATATTTGTAGTAACAGGAGTTGACAGACTGCCGTAGGGTGTGAAAGTCGCTTATTGGAATCAATATGACCAAAGATCGCATTTTTTTGTAATCGTTGACATCATTTTAAAATGTGTGTTTTATTATTTGTTGGGACTCAAGACATCATAAGAAATGTCAGAACAACCTAACCATCAGCACAGGTATCACATATCTTGGAAAGTGACATTATACCCATCTTTTTTGACATTATGTAGGTTTTTCTACAAGATGTTAACTTAGTACTTTTGTATGTGTTGCCTAAACGTTATGAGGCTTGTTATCAATGTTTGGCTCTGATGTGATGTAAAATCTGCTTCTGAGATGGCATTACTGGAGGTCAAAGCTGTAAGTTGTATGTGTTGATGATAATTACATTGGGTTCTTGTCTCAAATACACTTAATTGAGATTCAAAGCTAGAAATTAGTTGTGCATCTACTTTTTCTTACTCATTCTGGAAATTACATATATAAATTTGCTGAATTTCAAAAATGAGAGAGATAAGAAGTAATTATATTCACTGTACACTGTCGAGGTACAAGCCATATACATGTACCAGTAATTACACACAACGCGGGCGCATGATTTCCCGTAATTCTCCTCAGTTTTTCATAATTTATAACCTTGAACATAACCTCTCTTCGGATAGTACAAGATAAAAAAACCTGTCGGGCACAGCCAATAGATATATTTCATTGGCAGCATATTCAGTAATGATTTTCTCACACAGCAAATATCACTGATTTTATACACATGCAGACCAATACACATAATCATCCAGATATGATCTTGCCATTCAACCAACTTTATTTTCAGAGATAAAAACTACAGACTAGGACCACTGGGCCTCCCAAAACACATGCAACCAATAATGCGTTTAGTTCAGTTGAGTGATTCCTCCATAGATGGACATTCACAATGATCCTAGTGAGCAAACATGGAACGACTGTTTGCGCCCTAAAAACCACCTAGTTTGCAAGATGACATCTTATAGGTTTTTTTTGACGTTTTGTAGGTTTTTTACATGATACCTGTGCTGGTGACCCTGATCATGTCTAGTATCTGAGTCATCTTGTTTATACATTCTGGCATCTTTATTGCTTGCCCCCTATGAAAATCATTGTACCCTAATGATAGAGTAGAAAAAATATCAGTGAAAAAAAGGATTCTTTATATGGCAAAAGTTGAAATTAATCAACTTTCTTAGGAATTAAGACAGCACAAAGTGTCATCTATTACCAGAATCAACCACTACCATTGAAAAAACTAGTAATATAGCTTTTGTTCATCTGATCACAGATAGTCAACCATGGAGAGATGTTTTGTGCTATTTGGTAACTCTTCAGCATGGTGTAGGCTTGATCTGTTATGTTCTGGTAGGTTTATATATTTGATATAATGATGGTGATTGGAGAAAAAGTGTTGTGATTTTTTTTTTCAAATAATAGAGGAACATTTTCCCCTGCCATGGTATCATTTGCTTGAGGAAAAGTACTAAAAATAGGTGAGACTCTTCAGTCCATCAAATATAACATCTATTTGTTAATTAACACCTAAAAAAACTACACCCCTAATATTGTCACCCTATCTGATTATTTATATTAAATAAATTATATTTCCCTGGTATTCACAATTGTTGCAGGCAAAGGCATAGTTAACCTTTTCTCAGGTGATATGTGCCTAATAGGCATGTAAAATTACCCCCTACAACCTCGAATTGTTTACCCCTCTATATGTCAAAAAAATTTTGGTGTCTTTTATCTTTTTTTTTCGTTTTTGGCCGCCACTTGACCAATTTTCAAAAACGAGAAAGGCTTTCCATCCTTGGCAATCTTGTGTGAAAAACCGACGTGAATACTCGTAAGTGATTTGTTTTTCATGATGTTGATGTCATATAAGATCCAAAAAACGTATTCTCATTTTCGAAATTTTCCGCAATAACAATTTCCTAGCTAGTAAGCATGAAAAGTAAAATGAGTTATCGAAAAATTTATGAGTAATAATAGGTAATTATAGGTCAATTAAATGCCAATATCCAGTTTAACATGTTCAAAAAACAGTTGTACCGACTAACGTCACAAAAATCTTACCTTTGTTATGCCATCTGAAACTTCGGCTGCTGCTGGTGTTGCGGCCCTCTTCCTCCTGTGATTCCCCATCTCAACGTCTCCCGCATCCATCACAAAAGTCTTTGTGCGTTCTTCAATACGATCAACGTTACCGTGCAACGTTTTATATTCACATTGCACAGTAGCAAAAGCTACAAGCGCAAAAAATAGTAAGGTCTTCATTTCCGAGACCCTTGTTAGTTAGTCCACAAGAATGACAATAACCGGCTCGATATCTCGCTTACAGCGATTTAGCGAAACAAAAAATACTTCCGAAAACCGCTGCGTAGTCCACGGTTCAAATTGTGATGCACTGTTGTCTGCACTGTACGTCATGCAAAGTTAATCATAGCTCCACGAATACAGTTTTTTTCAAGGTGCACAATGGAATTTGACCACGTCCAGCACTGCTTGCATCGCTTACGAAGAAAATACGAATGAATAATGAATCAACAAAAGCTGACAAGTGATCAACAATCAGCGATGACGACCAAATATCAACTAACGTCAAGTGTCAACAATCAACGTCCAATGTCAGTTAATGAAACAAACTGTCTGGGATTCCAAATACTCGCAGTGTACACGATGTGTACTCGCAGTCGGCTTATAATTAAGCCATGTTGCCAAATCCGTTTAATTTTCGGATTTTTAAATGCAATAAAAATAACGTATCGCTAAGCCGTCTGTTACTTTCAATGAGCCCCAAAATGAACTGAATGATTACTAACAATACAGGTTGCTTTTCTGGTACTTTAACATGGAGCTCCACAATATCTTGAAACGTTGTATTTCTTTCATGGAAAAGTTTCGATAATATTTGTTATGATCAAGGGCAGATAAAGGTACCTGTCTAGGGAGAAGGCAGCGGCGGTTGCAGAATTTATGCTTGGGAAGATCTTCATTTCAGGGGCAGTAGGGTAGCGGTGATGAAAAATTCTATCGAAAAGAGAGTTAGTGGCTGCATGCGCTTCTGGAAGCAAATGCTCTTGTGATAATTGAAGGGCAGGGGTGATATTTACACGTCCTGGGTTAGCGCGCGTCTCATATACCATTTTTTTTTTAAATAGCACACTTGAGGGTCTAGGGAAGGGGTGACCCCTTCCAAATCCGTCATTGGTTATGACTTATTCAAATCGGTCAGGAGACGGATAGAATCAGAATAACGGATCGACAATAAGTGGACCACAAAACCAGCACTCCTTAACAGAACTTCTTATTGCCATAACGAGAACAACGATCGTCGATTCATTGCACAAGCTCAGAATAACGAAAATCACCAATAAAATAAAAGCACTAAAAAGTCCATGTAGGCAAGCTTTTGTTAAGGTCAATCGAGCGGCTTTAGAGATATTTGATAGAAATAAATTTCTTGATTCACGTAGGACACACTATATATCTCGAAAAAGATACGTTTCTCGACCTGCCTTAATCTGAACTCGGAAACGTTCTGTACATTGGGAAGAGGTAAAAGTAAGAACTATCCATGTATCATTTTTATTGATATCGGTCTGTACTAAAATGTCAGTACCTTTCTATATCAGTACCAATCATCTGGCAACTCTGTACAGTTACATCGTGTATCGGGAAGTCCGGGGCAGAACATCCTGGAACGAGAATTGGTATTGTGTGTCATTCTTAAATGGTGTTTCGTGATTATATCCGTTTCAACGTTGTCGGATATTGTGATAAGGTTGATATTCTGAAGAATTTCCCACTTCACAGGTGTTTATCAAAATAGAGGAACATCGCACTGATCCATGCATTATGTCGTAGGTAGCTATTTACACTTACAAACTGTCTTGTATTCAAAGAACGAGTGCAAGGCTTGGAGGGAATTTTTCCTAGTGGAGACCGATTAGAGGCAAGTTTTTGAATAGTATGAAAATGTATCAACTTGGGAGTAGCAAATTTTCTCACGGAGGAGCGAATCTTAAAAATCCCTAGTTTTGTACACAAAACCTTGCTAAATATGCAAATTCGAATGAGCACAGTTTTCTTGTTGCAAAACATATACAAGGCTTTTAACAGAGCCCTCCCGACTAATTTTCATTGTCCATTTCAGAGCATAGCGTACTCGCTATAAAAGGCTAGCTTGATACACAATTATCCATTAATAAACATGAATGTTTTATTTGATTGATCAGTGATTAAGTGCTGTTTATGATATTTTTAGCAAAATAGCCGTAACAATTCTTCTGTACTTATCATTATCCGGTGAACTGGCAACACCGTAGTCATATGATTTCTTGACAGTTTGACACGTTTGACAGATAATCATTGAAAAATGGATATGTAAATAATGCAAATTTTGTATTTGGCCGAAGAAAGTGCAAAACACTGGAATAAAAGCTATTTATAAGAGCGAACTTATAATAATAAACATGTTAAAGAGAAGCTTTAGGTACTTAATTTAGCAAACTTTTGTGAGGCATAGTGCAATGCGTAATTTTCATCCTTAGGTTTCACAATACTGGCGCAAATACGGTGGACAAAAAAGAGATAGATCATTTCCAAAACTTTTTGGAAGAATGGTGGAACGAATTCGGATCCATGAAAGCATTGCATTCTATGAACAAGTTGAGAGTCCCTTTTATTCGAGATGGACTAGTGAATTCTGGTCGAATAAGGGATAAAATCAAAACACCGACTGCCTTGGAAGGAGTATCACTTTTAGATGTGGGTTGTGGAGGTATATCATTTTTTTTAAATCCAATGGCTAAACTATTATCAGTCTGAAATCATATTCCATGTTTCCACCATATAGTTTTTTATGTTTTTATTATTTATTTTCGAATTATCTGTCTTTTATAGGTGGAATATTATCCGAGCCATTGGCACGTTTAGGATGCAATGTGACCGGCCTTGATGCGAATCCAAATGCAATTGAACTAGCTAAACACCACTCTGAGAAGCAAGGCCTTAAAATAAACTATGCGGCATCTTCTGTTGAGGAGCATGCGTCACAGTATTTTGAAACTTATGATGCAGTTGTTGCTTCTGAAGTGCTAGAACATGTAACTCAGAAGAATGAATTTGTTGATGCTTGTATCAAGTGTCTTAAACCGAACGGGTCGATTTTTATAACAACAATCAGCAAGACAAATTTAGCATATTTTCTTGGTATATTAGTCAGCGAGAATGTGCTACGTTTGTTGCCGAGAGGAACTCATCAGTTTGAAAAGCTTATAGAACCTAGTAGATTACAAAGGATCTTGGAGGATTGTAAGTATCTTTGCCAGATGTCATTAGCTTAGCACTTTTTTCTTTTAAGATGTCCTTCAAAAGGTATCTTTGATCCTTTTATTTGTTACCTATTGTGTTAAGGCCATCCAAAACTTTGTTGTCAAATGATATCAACGTTCTAAAATAATTTTGACCTTCAAGGTCATATATACAGGGTTATCCAAATTAAGTGTCCACCATTAGTAACTTTGTTATTAGTGAAAATACAAAGTTGTTTGAATTAGCAAACTAGTAGCATTTTTAACGCTGGTAAAAATGAGAAATAAAAAAAAACAATTGAGAGTCGTTATTTTGATTTTTTTCAGTAAAATAACATTTTTTTAAATGGAAACCCCTGTATATTATATTTTTTTCTGTTAAAGCATCAAATTTTAAACAAAAAAGCTTACAATAACTTTTCTCCTAGGTTACAAATTGTTGAAGTTATGGCCTCCAATCTGAAACAATTAAATTGTATCGACAAACTTTATTTTCAACATCAACTTATAATCTTACAAAATACAATAACAATTTTTTTTAAAGAAGATGCTCGAAAACACCACCTTGTTCTTCAATACATTTTTGGGCACGTTTTTCAACTGCTCGAACTGTCTTAAGTATGGTCCTACCATCTATCTGGGTTATCTTTTCGCTAACTGCAGTCTTTAACGCGTCAAGGTTATCGTACCTTCGCTTGTAAATTTGGTTCTTTAAGTAACCCCACAAGAAGTAATCAAGTGGGTTTAGATCTGGTGATCTGGGAGGCCACTGTATTGGGCCATTTGTTCCTATCCACTGATCATTAAAAGTAGTACTTAGAAAATGATAAGTACCTCTGGAGTTGTGGGCAGGTGCGCCATCTTGCTGAAAATGCAGATGATGTCTACTTATAAGATCCAATTCGTCTAAGAAATTAGTCAGAATTTCTGACATAAATTCCACATATCTTTCACCAGTTAGGGTTCTCTCATAAAAGAACGGGCCAACAATTTTTGAACCAATTATACCGCACCAAACGTTGAAACTGAAACGGACTTGTGGGCCTCTTGGATGTACTAACAAAAGATTTTCTCTTGACCAATAATGGTGGTTTTTTCTATTAAACATTCCAGAATTTGAAAAATTTGATTCATCTGTCCATAAAAGGTAACGAAAGTTATTTACATTTTGGCGACAGAAGCTAAGATACCAATGGCAAAAAACAAGTCTTCTCTCTGGATCCCCTGCCAAAAGCGTTTGAACTGGTCGGTACTTATACGGAATAAATTTGTATTTTTTTAAAATCCTTTGAACAGTACCATAACTGAAATTAGAGTCCTTGAGAATATCTGCTATTGAATTCTCACGATAAGCTTCAAAATATCCAATAACTGCAATTTCCGTGGCCTCGCTTATTATGAATTCTTTTTTTGCCCTTGTTTTAGCAAAAACATTTTCGTTGCCCCTAAATTTTCGATAAAGTCTCAGAAAATATCGTTCATACGGTTGAATGCGAGCGGGATATAATTCACTGTAGTATTCTCTTGCTCTCAAGGAGGATTTTCTGCACACTAAATAGCATTCTAACATATCACACTTTTCTTCATGGGAGAACATTTTTCTTTAAATTAATGACACAATAAAGCTTATAAACAAGTATTTACACTAATGTTTGACATTATTTGATTTTATCATTGTTTTCCAAAGCCTTCTAGTTGCGAGTATGTCCAGTTTAACAATTTGTCGCTTATCTTAATGCTGTCAAATCGCGAACGCCATGTTGTTTTCATAGCCGTCTTAATATTATAATACTGCAAATAATTAAAAATATTTATCGTTATTTTGACTTTAGCGGAAAAGTCATTATGAACTTTCTTGTTTAAAATTTGATGCTTTAACAGAAAAAAATATAATATACAGGGGTTTCCATTTAAAAAAATGTTATTTTACTGAAAAAAATCAAAATAACGACTCTCAATTGTTTTTTTTTATTTCTCATTTTTACCAGCGTTAAAAATGCTACTAGTTTGCTAATTCAAACAACTTTGTATTTTCACTAATAACAAAGTTACTAATGGTGGACACTTAATTTGGATAACCCTGTATGTCAACTTAAAAACGAATACATTTTACCATCGATGGGAAGAGCGAAAAGGTCTACTTTCGAAAGTGGCATTGACATGTTACCATGAAAACGTTCTAAAGAGATTTTATCCTTCAAGGTCATTTGTATGTCAGGTTGAAAACGTATCGTTTTTACCATCGATAGAAAGAGCGAACAAGTCTACGTTCGAAAGTGACCTTGACTTTCAAGGTCATTTAGTTGTCAACATAAAAACATCTTTTACACCTATGATGAAGAGCGAAAATTATTCCAGCAAAAGTGTCCTTGACCTTCAAGGTCATTTATATGCTAACTTGAAAACGTCTTAGCAACCACCGATTGAAAGAGCGAAAATTCTTCCAACGAAAGTATCCCTGACCTTCAAGGACATCTAGATGTCACCTTGAGAACATGTTTTACCAAAAATTCTACGTTCGAAGGTGAACTTGACTTTCAAGGTCATTTAGATGTCAACTTGAAAACGTATCTTTTTGACTACATCCTTTATATTTTGATTTTTTTTTTTTAGATGACTGCAGAACTGAACTGATACATGGTATGTGCTACAACTTTTTGACCAACACCTGGCACTGGTGTCCTGACACGTCGATCAACTATGCTTTGCACGCCGTAAAAATAAAATCTGAAGATTAAGAATGAAACAACAACAGTGTAATTATAATTATATTGGAAAATTATTATACAAAATATTACCATCGAACATTTGTATCTATATAACCTACTAAAATATAATCTGCAAAACAGAACATTCAAACACATTTTCCACGACCTCAAAAAAATTACCATAATGCGACATTCACTTCAGACAGTTTGAAAAGAAAAAAACATTTCAAATTCATAAAATTCTGAGATGACGGAAACGAAAGCTCATACATGAATGAAAAGTAAAATGCTTGGAAAGAAAACCTACAAGCTGTGTGTGGGAATCATCGAACGTACGACGTTTGTAGGTCGCAAGTTAAAAAATACTTGTTAAATTTTAAATTTATTCTTTTGCTGGCACTTCAATCACTCGCGGCTTGTCGATGATGCGAGCTGTTCGGTTTCCTTTCTCTACAATACCGATGATCCAAGCCTGGTAGCCTATAACAAAAAATATATACCTAGAATCTGGTTTAGAGAAGGTAGGCCTGTTACTATGCGCACATTCTATCGCCGCATTCGAGCCTTTGAACTTTTTACCGTCCACGGTTAGTGCTTCCTCTAACTGCGGACCACTGTCGTCAACGATTGAGCTGGAGCAGAGAACGGCAACATTGGGAGGCAGAATGGCATACTGTCATAATCAGCAACGAAACGCGATTCTGTCTAGGTACGCACAATGGTCGCAGAAGGGTAGACGCCGCCGTGGAGAACGGCGTGATATTGGATTTGATGTTGAGAGACATGTACATAGGACATTTTTGCTCGTCGTGCTACCGACTTCCTTCAAGGAGCTGGCGTTAATGTTTTGCCGTTCACCGCATTTAAATCTCAACGAACATGTGTGGAATTTGATGGGGAGGAGACTATCCGCCACAAACTCTACCACCGGTAATCCACATAGTTCGAGTTGCTTTAAATGAGGTGCCACAAGACATTGATCATCTCATTTTGTCGATGCCTTGACGTATACAGGAGTGTATTCAGCTGCTGGTCGCCCAACACATTCTTATTAATTGTCAATAAAATTTCGTCAGAATGTTATCGTTTCAATCTGGATGTAAGACTGCCAACAAATCAAATTGAGCAAATTATTATTTCTGGGTGTAACGCTTCTAATGTCACTGAGTATATATTGATTATCAACTAAAGTTTGAGTATCACTATGAATACATTATTTAAAAAATTGACAAAAAACAAATTACTTTTTCGAGGGATGTCTTTTAAGTTTTGCATATAGAAACATGGTAGGCCGCGCGGATCGAACGTCAGTACTGAATCTTAACCTCAATCTTTAATAAACTTAAATTCATAGTTTCACAACAATACGTGCAGTGTTCTCACTACAGTGAATTTTTAAGTGTCACCAAGTCATTAGAAAAATGGAACTCAACCGAGAACGTTTTCGCGCCATAATTTATTACAACTTTCAGAGACAAATATCGCAACAAGAATGCCTTGCTGAGTTACTGTCTGTTTTCGGCAACGAAGCGCCACATCAGTCGACAATTTCCCTTTGGTATGGAGAATTCAAACGTGGACGGGTGAGTCTTAGCGACGATCCCAGGGTGGGTGCACCAAAAACGACAGTCACTCAGGAAAAGTCGATGCTGTGCGCAAACTCACCATTGAAGATAGACATGGGACATCTCGCGAGGTTGACGCGTCCTTGAAGATCTCAAAGACCTCAATTCAAAAAATTTTACATGAAGAATTAGGAGTAAGAAAATTAGTTTCTCGTTGGATACCCCACCTGTTGAATGAAGAGCAGAAAGCAGCCAGGGTTAATTGGTGTCAAAAAACGCTTGACCGTTTCATTCCGGAAACTCAAAAAATGTGTACATCTTTGTTAGTGGTGATGAATCGTGGATTTACTGTTATGAACCAGACAATAAACGACAGTCGGCTGTTTGGATGTTCCAAGGTGAAGAAAAGCCAACAAAAGTCAGCCGTTCTCGAAGTGTTTCGAAAAAGATGGTCGCGACATTTATGTCAAAAGCGCAACAATTCCTCTTAATGAGCAAAGGACTGTTACTGCAGATTTTTATACCACCATTTGTTTGCCAAAAGTCATCACCGAGCTTCGAAAAATCAACCCCGAAAGAAGAATCATCCTCACCAAGACAATGCAAGCTCGCACACAGCCCAAAAAACAAGTCAGTATTTAACGGAAGAAAACGTGGAATTATTGGACCATCCTCCATATAGTCCCGATCTAAGTCCTATCGATTTGTTTACTTTCCCGAAAATTAAAAACAGATTGCGTGGTCAAACGAGTGAAATAAGTGCTTCGAAAATTGGTTCGAGCGCATGCAGATGTGTATTAATCTTCGTGGAGAATACTTCGAAAAACAATAAAGTCATTTAAAATTACCAACCATGTTGTTTTATTTCCATGTGCAAAACTTAAAAGACATCCCTCGTATATGGTTTCTCATAATCTTGGTACATATTCCAAAAAACTAGCAAATCAATATTTCAGAAAGGATTTTTTGAATTTAATACACTAAATAATGATATAAAGTTTACTTGCAATTTAAAGACGTTTAAAAGAAAACTAAAGGAACATTTCATGGAATTTTCCCGCTGTTACCGGGATCAGATGCTTCTTAATGACAGAACGTCTTTGACGAATACTAAAGACGTTACACAACTCCCTACAACCCCCAAGGCTCAAGTTTCAACCCCTACAAAAAAAAATCCGAAAATGATCAGGAGGAGCCTCTGAAACGTCAAAAAATGAAGTTTTAAACGATTTTTTTCGTACTTCTGCCGCTACTCCGCCACCACTGGGCCGATTTTCAAAAACTACAATTTTTCACCATTGGCATAGTAGTAACCTTGTGTGGAAACGTAATCAAAATCCGAGCGGTACTTCTCATGCTATATATACTAAGTGACATATAAATCCGAACACCCAGTTTAAATGGTTTTATTTTAATAAAATTTTGTATAAGTACTTAATGAAGCGTAATAAGTAAATGATAAAAATTTCAAAATGATTGCACTGCTTTAAAGCCCATTGACTTTTAATAATGTGTTAATGCACCCTGATGTGCTACGCATTCTCCAACGCGCCTAGGCATGCTTCTGATCAGGTGGTCAATGTCCTCCTGTGGTATCTCATTCCAGGCAACCACCAGCTCCTCTCGAAGTGCTTCTAGAGTCTGAGGAGGACGTTGCAAATTGAGCAATCTCCTACCCATCATATCCCACACGTGCTCAATTGGGGGAAAGTCGGGAGATCTTGGTGGCCATGGTAACAATGTGACATCATTATGTTGAAAGAAGTCTATTGTGACTCTTGCAACATGTGGTCGGGCATTATCTTGTTGGAAAGTTGGATCTGCCAGGGTGTCAAGATGGGGTTCTAGAACTTCGTGGATATAACGCTGCGCGTTCATGTTACCTCTGATGAAGATTAAAGGTGACCTGGAACCATAAGCTATAGCACTCCAAACCATAACTCCAACAGTGTGATGAACATGTCTTTCAACAAAAAACTGTGGATTCCTCCTTTCACCACGTCGCCTTCTAACCCTAGCACGACCATCGTGCATGCCTAAACAAAATCGAGACTCATCACTAAAGACAATACTGTTCCATTCCTGATCCCAGAGTGACCGTTGTCTGCACCACTCAAGGCGATTACGTCGGTGTTCTCGAGTTAAAGGGAGGACCCAGTGTGGCCGGTATGAAAACAAGCCAAAACTTCTCATTCGTCGGTAAACACTTCGCATGCCAATAGGTCTTCCGTGTTCTGCAAACCATTCATTTGCAATGAACCTGGTAGTGGAGAAACGGTCCCTTAAGGCCAATAATCTTAGGCGGCGATCTTCACGGTCTGTTGTTCTACGGCGGCGTCCAGTGCCCCTTGCTCTTTGCGTACGGCCTTCTCGAAGCCATGCCTGACAACACCTAACCACAGTGTCTACACTTCTTTGCACTCTAACTGCAATTGCCCGAAAAGAAAGTCCAGCTTCCCGAAGTCCCACTATACGGCCTCTATCATACTCACTAAGTTGACGAAATCGTACAGGTCTCCGTACTCTAAGCATCGTAACCGATCGTAAAGGATGTCAAGAACCAAAATCCGCCAACGTTGATTCTTTACTGCGGCTGAACTATTCATTTTTAGAGCGTTAGTGAATTAAAAAAAAGCAGTATAAAAACCGGAATGTCCAACTGATAAGGCTGAAAATTTTTTCACTTGTTATTTACAGTAAGATAAATACATTCACCAACTTTTATTAAAATAAAACCATTTAAACTGGGTGTTCGGATTTATATGTCACTTAGTATATTTGTAAGCGTTGTTCGTTCGTGTACTTCACCATGACGAAAATGTTTTCTTTACTGAATGTTTTGACGACAGTTCGGTAATTGATTTAAAGGTGCGTTCACAGTGAAAGTTCAAAGTCGTCAAGTCCCTATTGGAAAACCCGATACATGTCATATTACATCCAAAAAAAAACCATATAATAATATAATACTTCCTCGCGCAGCGGCACAGGAAGTAAAAAAGAATGTTTGGAAAACAATGTACCGTATTAATTTTTGGAACGACCGATTAATAACAAATACTACATTCTTGACGAAACTTACCCTCTTGCTTTTCAATATCCTTGCAATACGCCGCAGCCTGACCGATTAATAACAAATACTACATTCTTGACGAAACTTACCCTCTTGCTTTTCAATATCCTTGCAATACGCCGCAGCCTGCTCCCTGGGCAGGCAGATCAACAGTCCTCCCGACGTTTCCGCTGAGTGACCCTGCAACAGCTGGAACATGTTGCCGCAAGCTTTCGCCACCGCGGCCATCTTCGCGATCACTGGCAAGTTGTGGATCACGAACGATACTTCGTTCTTTTGATGGGAGGCTAACGTTTGCGCGTGACCTAGTAGACCGAAACCTACAGACGAGAAAATCTGTATAGTAGATATTTGAATTACTGAGATCGCAAAGTGTTAGTCACCAAATAACAACCCGAATATTTTCCGCATTCTCTTCATCAACACAAATATCCCGGGCGAACTGTATTTATTGTTAAACCTGCTTAGTTATTTGTTGCTAAGGGAAAGAAAGAATTTTATTATAAAGCATGCCGTACCTGTGATGTCTGTGGCTCCGTGCGCGTTGTATTTGTGCATCAACCGACTCGCGATGCGGTTCAGCCTGGCCATGGAATCCATCGCTCGATGGTACGCTTTCCTTACATCCTCTTCGCTAACAACCAACTTGATTCTATTCCATCGTTCCGGTTGGTCCAGCCATTGATGCGCATTCACAGCAACCTGTAATATCAAGTATCATAAAAAAGGGTTGTCCAATAGGGACGCAGGAAAGTAAACGTCAATTTGACATAGACGCCATCTTTGTTTTCTGTCACCGACATGTCATTTTGTTAGTTGAATGTTTACCATTGATCGCTATGGAGTCGTATTCGATTGAAGACCGCATTAAAGTTATTCAAGAGCACTACAAAAATGGTGCAAAAATAAAAAACACGTTTCGCGCGCTTCGTGAACATTTCGGTCGCAACAACCGCCCAAACGAAACAACCGTCGGTCGTCTGGTGCGTAAATTCGAGGCAACAGGTTCTGTGGCAAATCTGCCAGGCTCTGGCCGGCCAAGGAGCGTTCGCACACCGGAACATATTGCTGTTGTGAAGGAGAGGGTGAGAGACGATCCGAAACAATCAACGACGCGTCGATCCCAAGAATTGGGCATTTCGAGAACCAGTTTGCTCCGCATTCTCCACAAGGATTTGAATGTACACGCCTACAAGATCCAATTGACGCAAGAGCTGCGTCGGGCCGACCATTTTTCGCGCCGAACGTTCTCAGATTGGCTCCTTGAACACCGCCAAATTGATGCCAATTTTTCATCAAAAATCATGTTCAGCGACGAAGCGCATTTCACTTTGAATGGGACGGTAAACAAGCAAAACTGCCGCATCTGGGCGAACGAAAATCGTCGTGAGTATCAAGAGCAGCCGATGCATCCTCAAAAAGTGACTGTGTGGTGTGCATTGTGGTCAAAAGGCAACATCGGACCTTACTTTTTCGAAAATGCGGCCGGGGACGCCGTTACCGTCAATTCTGAGCGATATCACGTGATGATAGAGGACTATTTTTTGCCGCAACTTGAAGGAAGGATATGGACGATGTTTATTTCCAACAAGACGGTGCAACATGCCACACAACCAACGTCAATATCCATCGATTGCAGTCCTTCTTCGGTGAGCGCGTGATTGGACTTCTTTTTATGGGGATATTTGAAAAGCAAAGTCTACGTCAACAAACCAGCCACCCTCCAAGAACTCAAAAACAACATCATTGCCGAGATAAATGCCATAGAACCGACCATGTTGCAAAATGTCATTGAAAATTTCGACCATCGCGTGGGCATCTGTAAATCCAGTCGTGGTGAACATTTGAGCGATATTATTTTTCATACATAAATGGTATAAATAAACCTTCAAAATAAAGTACCCAACTTGATTTGAATCTCAATCTTTCTTGTTTTAATAGAAGTGTGATGTACTATGTAAGTGGCTTTCATGCTACGAGATTCTTTTTCCACTGTGAATAAATGAAATAAAACGAACTATATGTATGATGACAACTTGGCACTAGGTCCAATGGGCGGCCCCTAACAATGTCAGATATGTACATGTCACGCTTTAGAAATTATGTTGAAAAATTATCAGTTTGCCTTAATAAATACCCATAACTGCTTTTACCTGTGTTCCTAATGGCTTAGTCAATACCAGCACATCCCCAACAACAGCATTGTCGGGTACAATGTACTCATTGGGTTGACACACTGTCGTGGCCACACCTCCAATCGTACACCATGGATTCACAACTGTCTGGCCTCCTGTCACAGTCGTACCTGTTGAATAAGAATACAATTTGGTCAACATACATATCGAAATTCTATTTTTTTTTGCATTGTATTAACTCTCTCTTGGACGGAACTTCACTTGAACTGACGCGGACACGAGAAAATGCAGACCAGACAAAAAGCAAAATCCTTTATCTTTTTTTTTTCTGTTGAGAGAATCGCTATTGCGTTTCTTAATCGTGCAGGGGATTCACCGACTTCCGGCACAAACGCAGCCTATGTGGTGCATTTCTGTCCGAGGTGAATTAGGGACTTCCCCGAGTTGGTTATTCTTTGGGTACACGCTTTCGATTAAACATTCATTCAGTACTAGTCTGACGTCTATGCGTGGCCGACACATTTTTTGTAGAAATTATGAGAGACCTAGATTGGAAAATGGCTAAAGAAAACAGAAACATTTTTTGTTATTTTTAGACAATGCCCTGGTACAGTTTTCGAGTTAATAAAGAAAATTACATCCCTGAATGCAGTTTATTTGGCAAATGACACTTGAGACCAAGTAACCAAAGAAACAGTACAAAACTGCAGGATTTAGTCATGAAAATATGCGAAGTGAAGAGCAGTTAAATGAGGCTGATAAACCTGACTCAGAAGATGACTTACCACTTAATGAACTTTCAGATATCCTCAAAAAGAATTTATTGAAAGTGACTGATAATGAAAACCTTTATGATTTTTTGAACCTGGATGAAAGTTTGTATGTTGAAGATCCAGATTCAGGCCGAACAATTGAAAATCCATTTGAAATACAAGAACTTTTTGAAGATTCTTATGTTGATGAGGTTCCAGTACCAACAGAAACTATTCCAAATTATGGTAAAGCTATTACCTTGACCGAGCAGCTCCAAAGTTTTGTCAAAAATCAGGGAGATACAGAGTCTTTGGAGCTTCTATTTAAATCGGAAACACGATTTCAAGACGTCATTTTAAACGAAAAGAGGAGACAAACGACAATATATGAATTTTTCCGTCTTTAAAATGAATTTTCATTTAATTGTTCTTACAACATATATGTACATACTTTGTATATACAGTAATGGACAAAAGTATATAGACAAATTAATATTGTACTTTATTTCTTCTTTAACTTGTTTTATTAATACACCAACCTGTATACAATGTTATAGGATAATACTCACTTATAAATAGATAAATTCATTAGACTCCCTTCAATAAAAAATTAATTAGAAAAAACTGGAACTATGAAGTACAAAAATATATAGACAAAGCAAAACAATTATAGAAAAAAGAAGCAATTATCAATCACCGCCTGGCATCATCTCGGCATAGAATGTAGAAGTTTCTTGACATAAAATTCAGCAATCTGTCTCCACTTTTGCTCTAAATTGGCAAAAAGTTGATCATTGTTTGAATAATTTTTATCTCGTATTTGCTTATATAAGTATTATTCCATAGATCTTCAATGGGGAGACTGTGAAGGCCATTTGAGAACTGGTATTTTTTCATACAGAAAGAATTTTTTTGCAAGATTTGAAGTGTGCTTCAGGTCATTATCTTGCTGGAAGACTGATCTTAAGGGCATATTGTCTTCCATATAGGGTAACATGACATGCTTTAATATGTCCGTGTATACAAACTTATCCATAATGCCATCTATTCTATGTAAAGGTCCCATCGAAAACCCTGAAAAGCACCCCCAAACCATAACAGACCTGCCTCCATGTTTGACAGTGGGCAAAGTGCACTTTGGGGTTCAATCTTTGTCCACTTGGGCGACGTGCAAATAACTTCAAATCATTTAATCTTCTGGTTATAGTTTTCATAGAAACACTGACAATTCCTTTTGTCTCGATTTCGGCTTGTATTTGTCTTGGGGTTTTAAACGGATCTTTGGACGAAATTACTCTTATTAATCTAACTGATCCAGCATTTAGTTTTCCAGGCCGACCACTTCTCTTAGAAGCTTCCAAGATACCTTTTTGTTTATATTCGTTCAATATTGCCTTACGCTTCAGCTTCAAATTTTTGGCAATGTCGACTTGATGTTAACCATCTTTGTATAACTCAATGATCTTAGTTTTCACATCGAAAGAAATTTCTGGACCACATGGCGTGGTCTTAAAATCACTCAACCCATTCCACAATACTTGATGAATACAAACTAATCCTCTTCTGACACGAAACTGTACTAAACTAATGTTGAAAAGAATTTGTCTACATATTTTTGTCCCTCATAAAAAAGTGCTTATATTCAGATTTGTATTGTTCATTGCAGATAATGTAAAAAACAAGGAATTTAGTTTTTCTACTAATAACGCATTTGTTCATGGAGCAATGAAATATGAATTCATTTTCTAAAGGTATTTAGGTAAATATTCATATTTGTCTATATAGTTTTGTCCATTACCACTACATACTTTGTATATATCTAACGGTAACAAACCTATTTTCCTTAAAGTTTAAAGTTTTTTGTTCAATTAAAAGAAAAATTACATACACAAACGTTTTGAATGACCCAGTTTCTCTCATATATTCAGTTTTCATTGAAAACACAATTTTTGAAGTATTTCTTTTATATGCCCCTCTTGAACGATCATTTTCAGCTGGTCCTGGTGGTGCCTGACCAAAGATGATTTCACAGTATATAAAATGTCTTACCAGCTTCAAGAGCCGAATCCTTAAATCCCCTCATGATCAGAGGAATGACAACGTCTCTCTCCTTCTCGGTCATCTTGGTGCTGACTCCGAGCAGCATCAACATATTGTCACACTCTGTCACTCCCATGGCGTACAGATCGCTCAGAACGTTGGCGCATGCTATTTTGCCCATCATGTACGGGTCATCCACCAAAGGATAGAAGAAGTCAGTGGTTTGGACGAGACACAGACCTCCATGGCGTAAAGGAGTAACCTGAGAAAAAAAAGATACTTTAGAAAATATAGTATATGACTGAAAAATACATGTCCAGATAAATAATTGTTTAAAGTAGTAGTAGTAGTAGTAGTAGAAAGATTTATTTAGCACATTTGGCTACATAAACAGAATAATTGTAAACAACTTAGAACTAGTAAATTCAAGCCATATGGTGTATGATGTAAATGCTGGGCAACCTATAATTGTAGATTTAACAAGTGATTTCTCAATTTTACTTTAAATTTTGTCAAAGTTTTCTGGTCTTTTATCTCGGAGTATAATTTATTATATTCAATCAACCCTTGATGGAATACAGATTTGTAGCATATGTTATACTTTTTGGTCATTAAATGGAAGTCATCTTTATTACTGGTATTATATAAATGATGGTCGACATTTGATGATGTTAAATTAGTTAGACTTGATGGAAACATATTACTTTTTACTTTATAAATGAATATCATTACAAGATATTTGATAAAATTTTTTACATTGAGCCATTTTAATTTGCTAAGCATTTGACTAATTGGAGTATATTTATCTTTATTTAGTATTATTCTCATGCACTTATTTTGTAAAATTTACAGTCTTTCAAAAATGGAATTATTTGCTAAATATAGAACAGTCGAACAGTACAAGAAATTTGGAAGAATGATGGTATTATAGATAATTTTTACTGCTATATGAACTCAGACATCCAAAAACTCTCGATAAATATCCCACTTTACTACTAATCTTATTTATAACTTTTTCATAATGAATATCAAAAATTAATCGAGAGTCAACAAAAACCCCCAGGTATTTAAAATTTTCTACGAATTTAATATCTTCACCATCAATATTCAGTTGAACATTTGTACATTGTTTTTTTCCGATTATCAAGGCTTTCGTTTTACTTGCATTTAATTTTAGTCTGTTAGATGCTAACCATTTTGAGACAAGCTTCAAGTCTTCATTTATATAAGAGATACCAGACTGAATATTTTTAGTACTTATATATAAATCATAGTGTCATCGGCGAAAATCTGAATTTTGCATTTTTTTACTATGGCAGGTAAATCATTTTTGTATAAAATAAAAAGAAGTGGTCCCAGGATACTGCCCTGTGGAACACCCAACGTATTTTCAATTTTTGATGAAATAGTGTCATTAACTTTTGTAACTTGCATCCTTTTAGACAAATAATTTCTAAACCAATCTAAAACACTTCCTGTTATACCATATGCCTTCAATTTACCTAACAAAATATCTCTATCAATCGTTTCAAGTGTATCTGAGATTTATAGCTAATTGCCATTTGCAGCTGACACAGCAAATTGCAAGTTTTAACTGACAATTAGAGATAATTGCAATTTATATGTAGCAATCAAATAGCCAATTGCAACTTGTAGCTGAAAATCACAGCTAATTGCCTGTTGAAGCTGGCAATCATAGCTATTTGTACCTTGAAGCTGACAAGTATAGCTAATTAACTGTTATAAGTGATAATTAAAGCTAATTGTGATTTGTAACTGACAGCCAATTGCTACTTTTAGCTGACAGTTAGAGCTCGTTGCAACTTGTAGAGGGAAATTGCAGCTAATTGCCACTTGAAGGTGTCAATTATTCATAATAGCAACTTGTAGATCACAAATAAATTGACAAGTGTATCTTATAACTGAGAGTTATAGCTAATTGCCATTTGTAGCTGATAGAGCCTATTGTAAGTTTTAACTGACAATTAGAGATAATTGCCACTTACGTATAGCAATAAAATAGCCAATTGGCTGCATCTTGAAGCTGTCAAGTACAGCTAATTGGCTGTTATAAGTGATAATTACAGCTAATTGTGATTTGTAACTGACAGCCCATTGCAAATTTTAGTTGACAACTGGTAGCTAAAAATTATAGCTAACTGTCAATTCATAACTAATCACTATAAATTTATAGTTTTCTATATGTCATTTTAATGCTTTCATAGTTTAAACCTGCAACATTAGTGTTCCAAATCTGTATCTCACCCTTAGCGCCATAAATACAAACATAAAAACGATTCAAGCGCCACCTACAATTTGTAAATAAACAATTGAAGTGTGGATAGTGGACGGTTGTTTTGTAATTTGCATTGTTTGGTGTAAAAAGCATGGAAAGAGGGAAAATATAAGATATGAGCCGGTGGGCTCAAGCCGGTCCTGGCGCCGCTATGGAAATACTAGGTCAGGTCCAAATAAACAAAGAACAAAAAATTTTGAGTGATGAAAGAAGCCATTACATTGAAAACCGGTATTTATCCTGTTGTACTTCTGCCGATTCCAGAATGCAAACTTACCGAACAATCAAGGCCGATTCCGATGCGCGGAATGGCCATATGCATGAAATGAGCATGTTCATGCTCGGCGGCCGAGTTGTAGTCCTGCTGGAGGCCCTCGACGAGCTTATTGAGCACCTCCTGGGGCACTTTGCATCCGCGGCCCTTCAGATCCGCGAAACGCGTCAGCCTAAAACTTGCTTCCAAGTCGTGAGCCAACGGGTCGAACGGCCGCCGCAACGCCAATGCGTTCGGGTTCCCTCCGAGTTCCAGCTGAACAGCACCGAGAGCATCTTGCTGGACACCTGCTACTTGGTAATCACCCATACCGCCGGCTTCCAAGTTTTGAACTTGAGATGAAAATTCACTCGTACTACCGTGTTAAAAACACTCGCTCCACAAGAGCGTTTCTCAAACAATCGCGAGACGCTTGTAAAATGGCGTTCGTTACCGCCGCTGTTGCCAGATCGACTATTTTTACACAAGATCCCAATTGGACCAACCAACTTTCTACCGAATGGGCAAATTCAGACACATTTCAATAGTTTTAAATCTAAAATATACAATAGCAATAGCATAAAATTTTTAAGCTTGCTTGTGGAATTGCAGAATTACAGATTCATCTGAATAAAACGTGTTTGTTGTTTCCTTTATATTTGTCGATGTATTTTAAGGTTTTATATTTCACTGGTCTATGTTTGAGTAAATATACGGGGTGAAAATATTTACAGAACTAAAAGAATTTCCAAACATAACATAAAAGAGCACATGATATTATAATGTTCCGTCACCAAGATAATCAATTTTAATTTGAAAGACAAAAGTCCAAAATGGATAAATATAGGTATAAAGTTGGGACACAAAAGTGACGTAAATATGGGACAAGATGTATATACAAAGGGAAAAAGATGTTTATTCAAACAACAAATATTAAACTGACAAAAAAGGTAGTGGCGTACATTTTTCTGACAATAATATTCACTAAGGTGCCCCCGGCAGGACACTGGACCTGATAATTTTAATCTACTTAGGGCTAAATCAGCCTCTTCATACAACAAATAATATTGCCAAATTTCAACCGAACCGAGTAAATATTTTTTAAGATATTGATACATTTTTTTATTTATCACCCCGTACCTTAAAAAGTCTGCATTTCCAGACCCATGTTTTTAGAAACTTTTTTCATATTATTTAACAAATAATCACTCTACAAAATATCTCTGTCTATTTTTCGAACACCCTGTAAGTAAATGCCAATTACTAAGAACTTCATTTTACAGTAATCTGATTTTTGCAGTAACCCAAACGATATGTTTTCGTCTTCAACGATACAAATAAACTTTTAACACCTTTGTATCTTGGTAATGAATAATTGGATATTGTATTAGCGATGATAAATATATATATATATTTAATGAACTTAATGTTTTTTGTCTATGAGAATCCTGTTTGACCTTCGAGTATACTTATTTAGTACGATTTTGTGAACTATTTTGATGATTTTTATGACCGCCGCTCTATTCAAGAAGTTTTAGGAGCAGGCACACTCTTTCACAGTAAGTTATTATCTCTTGCCGATGATCGCCTCACTGAGAAAGTTCGTCGCACGCCTATGGCTGCTGCATACACATGAATCTTTCAATGATTCCTTAGATCACCCTGTATACGCATAACATTTTATTGAAGTGAAATTAGTCAAGTTCAATGGCTTAGCTTTATTGAGCCTGTCAAGCTTTAAAATTGCTATTAAGGAGATTTGTCTTTTGATAACTATGTTATTGCTTACTACATACGGTGACATATTTATACTACATGGTGGTGATGTTTTTATTAAGCTTAAAAATGACAGTATAGAAATATTTTTTGGTTTATAAGGTCTACCAAAATAACGTGAAAAGTACGAATGGTAGTCACGGAATGAGCTATTCTTTTTATATAATAATAATATTATGTTACATGAGGTACAGTTATTCCATATTATAGTTTCAGTCCTTTTTCTGTATATTTTTAGTGATTTACTCTGGGGATTGCTGAGCGATATACTTTTTTCGCTATGAGTTGATGATCAGGTTCATTTGATTTGCTATATGATTGACAAGAAGCTTTATCGGAAAGCCGAAATCCCATACAAACTTTTTTTCACTAGAAATTTTTACTGCCTGGTCGTAAAATCGATCTGGCAACACTGACCACCTATGCAGCCACACACCAATGCGCCTGTCAAGACACGAGATAAGTTCTAATTGGTCGATTTCGGCTGCAGGATTATACGTGCAGTTGCCAAAAGTTTTGCGGCTTTCCAAGAGTTTTCTTTATATTATGGTATTAAAATAAAATTTGGTGAAAAAATGCTCCACAAACATTTAATGACGAATTTTACATTTATCGCCGTACTTTACCTGCTTTGAAGTAATGCACACACTGCTTTAAATAATGATATCGTATTTATAATTTTTGAAATCCGAGGCCAATGGAGGGAAATATTCTGTCGGACGAGTAGTAATTTGCTTGCATAGTTGCCGATTCATTCGCCGGTTTTCAAAGTTTACGACCCAAAACAGGCTATTCCCAGTTATCTTGCGTTAAAATAACTTGATTGCATTTATGTTGATCATGGTTATTAAACAGAATACAAGAAAATCTATTGGTATTCTTTATTTTTCGAGTCCATTGTTCCCCCTCCTACTCTTTGTTCGCTTGGCAATAGTGGACGTATTTCCTGTACGACGTTGCCTAATTTCAGCAAGATGTATTGATTATGATACACATTTTCCAGTAATTGCAATTATAACACCGATATCGTTCTTAGCGAAAATTGATTTTGACGTAAATAAAAGTACTTGACCTCGTGCATCAACGCGGCATCTATAGTACGCACGTTTAGACGGCAGGAGATTTTAAATCGGAAATTCTAGAAATAATATACCAGTGTGTCCAAAAAAGTGACAACGCAGCATGCTTGACGTTTCTTGAAAAAATGACGTATGACAGATTTGACGCGTTGCTTGACTTTTGGTCTGTTTGGCCGCTTGGAAAATAGAAAATAGGTTTTTTCCAAATCCTGAATTGGATCCTTTTGTAGTTATTTGGTTAATGTAGGATATTAAACTAACATTTTTATTCATAATTGGGTGTTTAGACTCTTACATTGCATCCTAATTAATAACAGGTATGGAAGTACTATGTAAAATTTTACTCAATTGTATATTGAAGCAAAATTTAAAGTGATCTATTGAAACTAGACACATCTTGATCTTTAATATGAACCACTTGTTTTACAGATTAAAAAATGGGAGATACAGTGAACGACACAATCTTGGACATGGTCAAGAACTTGAAATCGACTGTAGAAATTCGGAGAACTACACGTGAGTTCCTTTCCCTAAAACGCTCTATAAGTAGCGTAAACTCAAACGACAGCAGTATAGAAGACTCCACCCCTGTAAAAAGGTTGAAGCAAGATAGCCTAATGGATTTGTCTTATATTGGCTCACCGAGAGAAGTGCGTCGATTAAGAGCCGATTTGCTAGAGGCAAGAAATACAATCAAAGCTCTCGAAAGTAGAATAAGTCACATGCACTGTGTACAGAAAGAGATGCAACTTATGTTTGACGAGGAGAGTCAAGTACTAAAAAGGCAGAACGAGTATAATAATCGCACTATAGAGGGGTTAGAGAATCAGCTGCAGAGTATTAGGAAGAGGGAAACAGAACTAAAAGCAGAAATGATGCAGGTATGATTATTAAAATAAATTTCAAAATTTCCATTTTTGTTTAACTATACAGTAGACCTCCGGTAATCTGATAAACATTATGCAGGGCAGTGTCGGACTATTGAATTTGTCGGATTATAGAGGAATGCCTAAGACCCACTATAGTCAGGAATTTTTTACAAAAGAGTACCTTGTAATCCGACAAATTACATATCCAATGGTAAGATTATATATGTTATGTATATGTATGTACTTTGAAGTATAAATCATACATAGTTTATGTATGTCGAATTTAGTAAATTAAATAACAATAGAGAGCTTATGTTTTATTATAAAATTAAGCATAAATGCACATACATATGTACCAAAATAATCGAGAATTATTAATCAAAATCATTAATGAATTTATCAAATTATAAAGCTTGGAAGTATTCATCAGTTTTTTTTTGTTTGGTTGTTATAACGCGAGACTAGAGCTTTGTCCCTCAGTCTTCTCAAAAGTAAAAGTTCGTTGTAGGATGTACCATTCTCTTCAGCCTATTGTAAACCTAGCTCAAAGGCGTTAATTGCATCTTGTGCTGTGACTTGTAGAGCAGTTGCAATCACATCGTCGTTATTTTCCTGATTGTTTGTTGTATAATTAGAAACCTCTTTTATAATCTTTTCGTCAGACATTACATGCAAAACATTTTCCTTTTTATCCATTCCACGGCACCAGATTTCCAAATCTTCTGGACTTATCTGCGTTTCAGTAGCGACTAGTTCTATAACTTCCGAAGCTACACTGATTTGTGGAACGTTGCTAGGAGTGGTGACTATATCTGGCAATAACTTTTTCCAAGACGATTTAATAGTTGATGACGGTAACGCATTCTATGACTGACAAAGAGCAAAAACCAAGTCTTTCATATTAAATTCTTTTAAAGTTTTTTCTATTGGTTGGTCTTTTGATACGGCTCTCAGAAGTAGGTTTTTCTTATAGTCTTGCTTGACAAACTGAACGATATTCTGGTCCGTTGGTTGAATTAGTGCAGTGCAATTTGGCGGAAGAAACATTGCAGTGATGCATTTATCCTCAGTTGTTAGTTCTTCTTCAGACGGATGACCGGGAGCATTATCAAGAAGCAACAATGCTTTTTGAGGAAAATTATGGTCTTTTAACCATTCTCTAACTTCAGGTACGAAGCATTCATCACACCACTTTTTGCAAATGTCTTTTGTCATCCATGCACTTTTTGTCCATAATAGTGTATAGTTAAGGTAAATCAATGTTTTTGATTGCCCGTGGTTTATTAGATTTCCCAATGACCATCATCTTAAGCGCGTGTGTGCCCGCAGCCTTAGCACATGGTAGTATGCTTACATGCTCTTTACTTACTTTTCGTCCAGGTATGGATTTTTCGATAAAGTTTTGTGCATCACACGCCAAAAAAGCCCTGATTCGTCTGCATTGTACAGCTGTGACGGGTCAAGATTTAAATCTTTCACCTTTTGCAAAAATCTTGATTTAAAGGGCTCTCTATACAGGTGGCATCGTTAGAAAGTTTCTCTCCTGTAATAGTCATTAAATGTATGCCATGACGACTTTTAAAACTCTCTAGCCATCCTTTGCTGGTCACAAAATCATCTTTTTTTATTTCCTTATAAAAAAACTTAGCTTTCATGGCCAACATGGGTCCTGAAATTGGTGCATGTCTATTTCTTTCCTGAAGAAACCACATGTACAAAGCTTCTTCCACTTCTGGATGTTCAGCTTTCTTGAGTGTCTGTCTCTTGCCTGGTCCGCAGTCAGTAGTTGACACGAACTTCTTGATCTTCTCGTGGTTTCTTTTAATATCATAACTTGTAGTTCGGCCTACGCCATATTCACTTGCTAAACTACTGAAAGTTTCATTGCGATTTAAGCAGTCTAAAATATCACATTTTTGTTTAATTGTCAATGTTTTGTGCTTTCGCTTCTGAGTTTGTGATGACATTACTATATCATCAGTCGTTCCTACAATTGTAGGACGCCTTCATGGCCTTCTTGATTTCCTTAGTATGTACTCTCCTTCAGAAAGGCTGTGGTATTTTCAGATTTCTACTGTTCTGTGTCACCGTCAGTGAAGCTATGTTTTCTTTTTGAATTGTAGGAAATATCAGGCTGATATAACAGATCATATAAATCAAAACCATGAACAGTTCGATGCGAATAGTTAATTGTAACATAACCTCAAAATAGAGCGCTGAGACGGAACAGTAGAAAACTATGAAAATCAAGGAGGGCATCCTACAATAATTGTAGGAAGGACTGACAATACGACCCTTAGACATTGATTAGTTTCTGATACAAAACATTAATGCAGGTAAACGATAAATATAACATGCTGAAGCTAAAGACCTCGGAACAAATAGAAAAACTCGAGAAGACAGTAGAGGAGTTCAAAGAAGAAAGTAGACAAATCACATCAGAAGAACATAGTGCTGTGCCAAAATTAGAAAGGAAAATAGCAGCTTTGGAAACTATGCTAGTAGCTGCAGAAGAAGATGCAGAGGCCCAGAAGAAATTAGCGGCAGAATTAGGTAGCATTTTTAGTTATGCAGAATGCAGTGTTAAAAAAGGGACAAAATGTCAAGATACCTAATACCTTTTAGGCATAAAACAACATGTCTATTTCAACCTTTTCAATCATTGTTACTATTTTTTTATTCCAGAGAAAAGGCTTTCTGAGCATAACGCTGCTGAAAGGAATATGGAGCAAAAAGAACAAGCACTCCAAAGAGCTAGACTGCAAATCAAAGAACTAGAGTATGCAAAAGAAACTTATCTGGAATTTCAAGAACAGGCGAAGGTTTTAGCACTTTTCATCTACTTTATCTGTCTATTCATTTTATAAATTGCGTATAACTCATCTGATTTTTTAGAGTCAGTCACAGAAGTTGGCACATTATGCGGAGCTGGAAAAAGAAAATGTCCAGCTGAAGGAAGAGAACGCAAGAATAAGGGATGCTATTCAGAACAAGCTTATTCTTGAGGAGGAGGTGAATGATTTGAGGAATAGGTTGATTAAGTATAAGGAGCAGGAGAAAAAGCTGGTTGAATTACAGGTATTATAAATTGAAAATGTATAAGCCTGCAAGGTTGACCAAACTATTTTGGAGTTGGTACAAATATTTTTATATTTGGGATATAATCGGTGATTTTTAGGCGCAAGAATCTCAAAATGCGAGGTATCTAAACGAATGGCGCGCCGTAGCAAGAGGCATTTGCGAATCTACAGAATCCGACGCTTCATTGCCGCATTTATTGCGAGCAGCCGTGGAAAGACTGCAAACGCAAGAATTAACCTTGACTTCGGAAAAAGTCGACCTGGAGTCTCAACTTAAAACTGCTCTCTATGTAAGTTACACTCACTTGTTTATTTCGGTAATGCAAAATCGAAGGCCACAAAAGACATGTTTATTTATTATCTGATTTCACTGATCAACAGCCAAAAAATATCCTAAATAAAATCAACAAAATATTACTATTTTTAATGTGCTAAAACCGGAATGAAACTTATTTTATCAATATTAGTTCAAGTTTTAGAGATACGGTAATTATATGTGTTCCTGCTGTGACAGTGTTAATATACTGTAATTCACAAGAATGCACGTGCTACATTTTTATATTCGGCAAGAAAAGATGATGTAATCGGCATGATTGTGTTACGTTATACATACGTGTACATTATATTGTTTTATATTAGCCATTTTTTCCTCAGTTGGCTGACAGCGTTCATGCAAGATGTCTCGAAAGTGTGTAAACAATCCAGATCAGTTTTGTTACGTGTGTGGTGATATGACTTTTGCGTCTCAGAGACGGTCTATTACTCCACTAATAACAAAGGCATATCAGCTTTATTTCGGTTGTAAACTAGGTGATCAAGACAAACAGTGGGCACCCCACATCTGCTGTAATACATGTGCTTCAAGTCTGAGGAGCTGGTTAAATGGCAAAAAACGGTCTATGCGCTTTGCTGTCCCAATGGTTTGGAGAGAGCCTACAAATCATATTAATGATTGTTACTTTTGCATGGTACCTTGTGTTGGACAAGCCACAGGTATGCCCAAGAAAAAAAATCGGTTATTAGCTTCCCAAACATACCATCTGCGATGAGACCTGTGCTTCACAGTGACGAAAATCCTATTCCAAAACCCCCAGAATCCTACACTTGCGAATCAGAAAACGAATCAGATCATGGCGATCGAGTGATTCGTCAGGAAGAAGATATGCCATAACACAGTCAGAATTAAATGATCTTGTAAGAGATTTAGAACTTCCAAAATGTAAGGCAGAGTTACTTGGATCAAGACTGCAGCAGTGGAACTTGTTAGAAGACGATGTTTCAGTATGTGTTTTTCGTAAACGCCACAAAGACTTAGAACCATTTTTCAATATGGAGAATAACTTGGTTTTCTGCAATAACATTAACGGCTTACTGGCGGCTTTAAATATAAACTATAACCCAGAAGAATGGAGATTGTTTACAGACAGTTCAACATTGAGTTCAAAGGCAGTGTTATCGCATATTGGAAATATTTTACCATCTCTTCCTGTAGGGTATGCAGTTCACATGAAAGAATCATATGACAGTATAAAGTACCTATTGACATGCATAAAATACGATGAGCACCAATGGCATATTTGTGGCGATTTGAAAGTTGTTGCACTTTTACTTGGGCTGCAGCTGGACTACACAAAGTTTTGCTGTTTTTTGTGTGAATGGGACAGTCGGGCAAAGGCACTTCATTACACCAGGCAAAACTGGCCTGTTCGTCAATTCCTAGAGCCAGGTCAAAAAAATGTACAGCATATGCCATTAGTAGATTCGAACAAAATTTTATTACCACCACTGCATATCAAGTTGGGCCTAATGAAAAACTTTGTCAAGGCATTAGATAGAGATGGGTCAGCTTTTCAATACCTGCGTCAGATTTCCAAGACTAAGTGAGGCAAAGGTTAAAGAAGGTATTTTTGTTCGGCCACAGATTCGAAATATTTTGAAAGATACACAGTTTGAAAACACTTTAACAGGTATTAAAAAAACTGCTTGGAATGATTTCCGTCTGGTGGTCACTAATTTCTTGGGAAATAGAAAAGCTGACAACTATAAAACCCTTGTCAAAAATATGCTGTCATCGTATCAAAAGATGGGCTGTAATATGTCTCTTAAGATACATTTCCTACACTCACACCTGGACTTTTTTCCTGACAATTGCGGAGCCGTAAGTGATGAGCACGGCGAACGTTTTCATCAGGATATTTCAACAATGGAAAAAAGGTACCAGGGAAAGTGGAATCCTTCCATGCTTGCAGACTACTGTTGGACTCTTGGTAGAGATGCTCCAGTAACGATCCATAAAAGAACAGCAGAAAGACAGCGCATATAGTGATTCTTATAAGTATATGAATCTTGTTACTTTTTTTAATATATCCTTAAAACTAAAAAATTTTTTTCTAAACCGCAACTAATTTTTTTATTTCATTGTCATTTTTGGATTCAGCGCCCCAAAATTAACAAAGAAGTGCACTTTTCCCACAAGATACAATTGAAAAACTAAAATTTGTTGTCCAGTGTATCGACCTGTATAAAAATATGTCCTGAATAGGATTCCAATATTCATACATTTTTTAAATACCGTAGGAGGCTAAGGCGGCAAAATCGGAAGTCGAAAAGAATCAGAAGCTGATCACAGAATTGAAGGTCACAGGAGAACAAAAACAGAATTTGATTCATCGCATGCAGAAAAAATTGCTTTTGGTCAGCCGCGAAAGAGACAGCTACAGATTACAGCTTGGTGAGTTAATGCCCTTGATTCATTTCCATTGCAGCCATGTTTCCAAGTAGGATCTCACCAATTCCCTTAGAAGCCCATTTTCTTAAGGAGCAGACGACCTTTAAAATAAGGAATCACTCTTTGGATTTAAGATTTTGGGGGTGGTGTCACCCCGCTTAGGGGGCTGCACGTGCTAACGTGATTTTTTGCCAAACTTGTGTCCTCCTCGAAAACAAAATCGACGGGTCTGAGCGTTTTTCCAAAAAAAAACTGAGCTGCCAGTAAATGCGTCTGTTTCGTTTTCGATGCGCCACCCTTATATGCTGCATCTAGTTGACCTAGATTCAATAGCGAACTGAGTAATTTTCAGATTCTTATGAAAGGGATTTGACCATGTGCATGAACACATCGACTACCGGATCTGCGTCTAATCAACTTCAAAGCCAGAAGGAGAGAATCGAAAATCTTGAAAAGATTGTCGAAGGATACAGAGACATGGTCAGCAAGTTGGAAAATGATCTACAGACCATCCAACCTATGCAGTCAGGTAGTTTTGAATACAACTTAAAATGAACTGCAATTATTCAAAAGACATGGATTTGTACAATAACGGCCTAAAACTTGAACTGATGTTTGTTCTAGATATTGTACCAGTTCGGGCAGATCAAATTGCTCGCTTACAAAACGAAATTCGGCAATTGAAGAATGAGAACGAGAAACTACACGACAAGAGAGATGAACTAGAAATGCAGTTAGAATCTTATGTTGTTGGTCAGGATTCTCTACGTGGCGGGGAGGTAAGCAAACTTTAGTTTTAGATAAAAAAGATTTAATGTTGGGTAGACCCCCTACTTACCTGATATTGATTTCTTGTATATTTCTAACTGTAGTGAATTTAGTGTTAAAAACTTAAAGTAAAAACACATGTTAATTTATACATTTATTAATTGAATTTAAATTAAAACTACTCAAAATATAATTTTGTATCTGTTATGTAAAATATACGTAACATTAAATAAACAGGTGTCTGATAAATAAGTGCCCGCATTGGGAATAAGTGCCCGAATTGAAAAAAAATAAGAGAGATAAAATAAAAAAAAAATGAAAAATAATAAAAAAAAAGTTTTTTACTTAAAATAGTACAATAAGCGAGTTCGTTTATTAATTATAACATAAACGCATGTTCTACAATAATTTCACTGTTAGTTTGATTAAATTCCGCTTCTTATACGTTTAAGTTATCTAAAAATAGGCAAAAAATTAACGAATTTTAGTGTGTACCTATCCTTGAATTTTCAGAATAATTTAAAAAAAAATATTTTCTATAAAGGGGGGTTCTTTAAAAAAATCAATGCGGGCACTTATTCCCAATGCGGGCATTTATTGGTCAGACACCAATAAACATAAAATAAACTATAAATAAAATAACATAAGCAATAAGTCAATATTTTTAGTGAGAAGGATGAACTTGATGCTTTAATAATAAATTATCAACATTTGGCGTCAATTTTTTAAGGGTTAATCTTAAATCTCCTCGGCTAATGATGTCCAGTATGTTTCTTTTTTTCGTTAGGAGATTGGTAACAGCGCTGAACCCCTTTCCACTAGGTATGACGATTAAAAATTTCCTCGCTATATTCCATAATACGGGATAAGTAACGGGTATGTTGTTTTGCAGCCAGAATTGCTGATATCCGTTTTTAAACTGAACCTTAAGTTCTTCGTTTGTACTTAGTTCAGTCAGTTCCTCTTGTATTATGACATTCGTTTCTTCTATGTCACCATATGGATTAATTATCCGCGGTGGTATTACCATAGTCAAAATTTCCTCAAACCTAGATTCAAAATCTGAATAGAGGGCATTTAAACGTTGAACGTAAGTTGAAACGTCGTCTTCCTGGCAGCTCTGTGACAAATTGGGGAACTGAGAAAATTCGCCCCGTCCAATATTTTGCTTCATTAGTTTAACTCTGGCAAGAAACGCTGATAAGATGGACTTTGTTTTAATCAAATTTAAACTGTCGCCTTGTAATTGCAAATTAACCATATTAAATTTTGTAAACAAATCTGTTAAATAGGCGATGTCCGTTTTCCTCTCCATTAAATTTTCTTTTAAAATTTTATCTTTAGTATCGAGAAATTCTAAAATAGTCTCAAAAAGTGCAAAAAATCTTGTCAAACATAAGCCTTTCGACAGCCAGCGTACTTCAGTGTGAAGGAGTAATTGGTGAAAGTGTTCGTCATTTTCTTTACACAACCGCGCAAATAACCGCGTATTCAACGCGTTGCTTCGGATTCGGTTTACTGCATCAATGACTAAATGAAGTGATTCATGCAATCTAACATTCAAATTTTTAGCAACTAAATGTTGTCGATGGATGACGCAATGTATTGCTAACACCCCTGACACATTTTGTTTTAAATAGCTTATAAATCCACGATAACGTCCAACCATGGCAGGTGCTCCATCTGTAGCTACTGATATTATATTTGATAAAGGAATTGCTTTTTCAATGAAGTAATCCTTCAAAACATGAAATTTTGATTCACCTTTAGTGTCGGTTATCAAAGTTCTTGCGAAGAGCAGTTATTCGTAGATTTCTTGATTCATGATAAAACGAACATATGCCAATAATAATGCTGCATTATCAGGTAAAGTTGACTCGTCCAGTAGTATAGAGAAATGGGTCGTTTGCAAATAATTACATAAGAAGCTTTCAATATCAGAACTCATTTCATCAATACGTCTTTCAACAGTATTGTTGCTTAAAGGGAATTCTTTTAATGATATCAGATGCAGGTTTGTGTAAAACAGTTTTTAAAACCTCTTCAACGGCTGGCAAAATTAACTTCTCTCCGATAGGATGCGGTTTTCCGGATTTTGCTATAAGTAACGAGATATTGTAAGACACCCGCAAACCATCATCGTTTCTTTGTGACGTCGAAGCGAACATTCTGTCCAGTGTAGGTCTCTTCTGAAATTTACCTTTGAGTGTTTGAAAGTATTTCAACTCTTTGTCTGTTTTATCAGGGTGGCATCTTCTCAGATGATCTTGCAGTTTAGATGGTTTCATAGCGTCATTGGCCAAAACTTTGTTGCATAAAAGGCACATAGGCGATTGTTTGTCCGGCAATGATGGAATGAAGCCAAATTTCAAATAATCAACACTATACTGTCTACATTTCTTTTTAGATTCGGACATGGCATCAGTCATCTGTGGGCAAAATTAAATTATTTAAATAAGACAGAAAATCCAGCAGCTGTATATTAAAAATATTTTTTGATTTTTCCGAAAACATTTCATAATTCGAACATCTTCTTGCAACAATTAGCTCAAAATATGGAGATTGCACTGTAATTATATTACCGATTGCTAAAACTTTCAAAGAGAAATTATTGAGGAGTACTCGTGTAATTTTGCATGATTGAATATTTAACTACTAATAACTAAAGTCATGATTGGCTTAATTTATCTATCTTTGCTAACTACGAGTACAAAACTAAAATTTAATAAAAAATAATGTACTTACTTTTCTTCAGCACTCTCAAACAAAATAACACTCACTATAATTTGTGTGATATACTATCTGTTTATATTTTTTAAAATATTTTCTTAGCACTTTCCTTTTCAAGATTCAGGAAACGAATAAACGTATTTGTCCCACATTCGTATTTATAGAGTGACGAATTGAACAAGACAGTACAAGGTAGCGACTCTCAGGTTTTTACAAGTTCAAAATGTATTGCGACCACAAAACGAATACCAACATCCTACAACTTACACAATTTTATAAACATATATAATACATTTTTTACTTCATAGGTACTTTTATAAATAATGTATATGTTTTGATATTATAAGATAATATGATGTAAGTAAATAGGTACTATCAGTGTATGTGTTGAGATCCACTATAGTGGACCCCCATATTCATTTCATGGACCCCCAAATTTTTTTTCGCTGACGTAGACCCCTTGCAGGTTGTCATAGACCCCTAGGGGTCGATATAGACCACTTTGGGAATCAATGTTCTACATCAATGAATAATTCCTTTCATCTCGTTTGTTTACAGATTGATTTTTAATTTTATCGACAGGTACTACATCTCGCCAACAATCCTCTGTCGGAGTGCATCGCTCAAAGGGAAAGCTACATCGAAAGGCTTGAGCAAGACGTGGAAAAGCTGAAAAAGAAGATAAAGAGCTTGGAAAAGGGACTCGAAACCTCGAAGTTATCGGACGCGACTTTGAACCCGCAGGAAGTGAGCGCTTTGAAGGAACAACTGAAGGCCCAGGAGTCGCAAGCGCAGATGTTGAAAGAGTATTTCAAGTCCCAAATGCAGGAGTTCAGAAATGTCATCTATATGTTGCTCGGATACAAGATCGATCGGACGCAGACGTTGTATAAGTTGAGGAGCATGTACGCTGATAGATCAGAGGACCATCTCTGTTTTCAGGTAAAAAAAAGACGTTATTCTGTATTATATTTGTGTTTGTTGAAGATTTATTTAGCATCAATGCTACAAGTCTATTTTGTATAATATTCGTTTACACATTTTTTTGAATCAATTTTCCATAATTTTACATTCTTGTCCGTTAAAAGTACATCTCAATGCATAAAGTGATTTTTTTTTATTTCACATTGAACATTTTAAAATTCGAACACTGTTTAATATAATTACACAATTTATTAAATTCAAATATTCAGTCTTTGAATTACAGTATAGTAGCATAATACAGGGTGGTCCATACGTCCTTTGAAATTTCAAATTTGAATAAAATTTAACGGGTGAGCGTGAGCGGCGCGGGCGAGGTGGGGGCAGTATCTTCAGTGACTGGGAATTCAGTCGCCATGGAGTGTTTCACTAGAGCGGATCGTGCTTTTTGTGTGCGCGCGTTTTATCAAAATAATGATGCGGCAACCATTGCGCGGCGTAAATATCGAGAATACCACAATTTACACAATTTTACAAAGTGTCCAACAGCTCAAACGATTAAGAACTGGGTTGCTAAGTTCGAAGAGACTGGTTCGACGTTAGATAAACAGCGGTGGGGTCGACTAAGGACAACTCGTATTGAAGAAAAAATCAATATTGTGGCACAGTCTGTTCGTCAAAATCCTACCCAGTCTACTCGTAAGCGTTCCGGTGCATTAAACGTACCCAGAACATCTTTACAGCGGATTTTAAGGAAAGATTTACGTCTGCACGCTTACAAAATTCAGTTAGTGCAGGAATTAAAAGATAATGACGCTATTCAGAGACTAAACTTTGCGAATGAAATGTTGAATCGATTTTCTTCGCTCAATAATGTGTTGTTCTCGGACGAGGCTCACTTCCATTTAAACGGGCATGTAAATAAACAAAATTGCCGTTATTGGAGCCCCGAAAATCCAAGGCGTAAGCATCAGAAGCCCTTACACAGCCCTAAAGTTACAATTTGGGCTGCTATGTCAGCGCATGGCATCGTAGGCCCTTATTTTTTTGAGGACGACAGAGGTCGCGCATTAACTGTTACTTCGGAGCGGTATGTAGCAATGATAGAAGAGTTTTTGACACCAGCGTTGCAGAATTTTCCAGGCTATAATACGCAGACCTGGTTTCAACAGGACGGAGCAATTGCCCACACCTCCAACACTTCTATGCCCGTCGTCTGTCAACTTTTTCCCAGCAAAGTAATTTCTCGAAGAGGAGACATTTCCTGGCCACCACGTAGTCCAGATTTGACCCCAATGGACTTCTTTTTATGGGGCTACCTCAAGAGTAAAGTGTACGACACCACTCCGCGATCAGTTGATGTCCTGAAAGAAATGGCAAGCATTACAGTGTTGACTTGCCGCGCAGTCATCGACAATTTTAGACGTCGTTTATATGAGTGCCGTGATCGTAATGGATTGCATTTAGACAATGTGATTTTTAAAACATAATTCCCATTCAATAAAGATGATAACAAAATATAATAATTCTTCATAATGTAACTAGTTTGGTTTTATTCCTTTTTTTCCAGCTCAAAGGACTTATGGGCCACCCTGTATTACAATTTTCTAGATGAAAACCTATACTGCCTCTAGTCTCGTAGTTATGATAATTATTTATCTGAAGTTTTTTAAATGTTTTTTTTTATGGTGGTAATAAATGATTTTTTAATTTGAATATGAGAATGAGAACTAAATAATATTTGAAATTTTTTACATTCAACCACTGTAGTTCTGACATAATCAAGCATATTTGTTTTTATTCAAAATGATTCTCATAGCTTTATTTTGTAGAATTTGTAATTTTAAAAATATGTTTTCATTCATATGTTCCAAGATGGTGGAACAATATAAAAAATGGGGAAGACTGATAGTGTTATACACAATTTTTTTGGAACACATTCTGAGATTGTGGGAAACTCTATAGAAGTAATTTATCTTTTTTATTTTTGAAATAATGTATTCATAATGATAACTGAAACAATGGTTTACTATCCACACATATACCGAGATCTCTAAATGATTCAACTATTTCAGTTTTTTCATCATTAATCATGAGCCTAATTATTGTATTGTTTATTCATTTTTTTTTTAGGTTTATTAACATTTAACCAGTTCATACTGTTTTAATATCACTATTTAACAGTTCTGACACAGTTTATGTTTATGAGCTATATATATCAATGTATCGCCCGCAAATATTTGCATTCTGCATTGTTAAAAAATGTCCGAGATATCATTTATACTCGTATAAATAGTAACGGGCCTAATTTACTCCCCCTGTGGCACCCCTACTGATAATATCTTGAATGCTTGACATATTTCCAACTTTAGGCTTTTGACTTCCATTTACTATCATTTATATAATATATAATAAATAGTAACGGCCCTAATTTACTCCCCTGTGTCACCCCTACTGCTATATTTTGAACACTTGACAAAATATTTCCGAATTTAGTTTTTTGACTTATATTTGCTAAATAATTTTGTAAAATGTTTAATACTCGTCCTTTAAAAGCATAGTGATGCAATTTCGTTAACAATTCGCCCCTATCTATAGTCTCAAATGTCCTTTTGAAGTTTATAAATACTGTTACGAGAGATGTATTTTAAGTTTCGTATATGGAAATAAAACAACACGGTAGGAAGTTTTAAATGACTTTATTGCTTTTCGGCCTACTATGTTTCTATATGCAAAACTTAAAAGACATCCCTCGTAGAATACAATTTCTTATCTATACTTCTTCTCCAGTTTTCCACCACCATTTGGATTGCTGTTTCTGTAGAATAGTTTTTTCGAAATCCAGCTTGATTTTTTGTCAAAACTTTATTTTCTTCAAAGAATTCAATGATTTGTTCGTATATGTACTAAGTGACATATAAATCCGAACACCCAGTTCAAATGGTTCTATTTTAATAAAATTTTGTATAAGTACTTAATGAAGCATAATAAGTAAATGATAAAAATTTCAAAATGATTGCACTGCTTTAAAACCCTTTGACCTTTAATAATGTGTGGATGCACCCTGATGTGCTACGCATTCTCCAACGCGCCTAGGCATGCTTCTGATCAGGTGGTCAATGTCCTCCTGTGGTATCTCATTCCAGGCAACCACCAACTCCTCTCGAAGTGCTTCTAGATTCTGAGGAGGACGTTGCAAACTGAGCAATCTCCTACCCATCATATCCCACACGTGCTCAATTGGGGATAAGTCGGGAGATCTTGGTGGCCATGGTAACAATGTGACATCATTATGTTGAAAGAAGTCTATTGTGACTCTTGCAACATGTGGTCGGGCATTATCTTGTTGGAAACTTGGATCTGCCAGGGTATCAAGATAGGGTTCTAGAACTTCGTGGATATAACGCTGCGCGTTCATATTACCTCTGATGAAGATTAAAGGTGACCTGGTACCATAAGCTATAGCACCCCAAACCATAACTCCAACAGTGTGATGAACATGTCTTTCAACAAAAAACTGTGGATTCCTCCTTTCACCACGTCGCCTTCTAACCCTGGCACGACCATCGTGCGTGCCTAAACAAAATCGAGACTCGTCACTAAAGACAATACTGTTCCATTCCTGATCCCAGAGTGACCGTTGTCTGCACCACTCAAGGCGATTACGTCGGTGTTCTCGAGTTAAAAGGAGGACCCAGTGTGGCCGGTATGAAAACAAGCCAAAACTTCTCATTCGTCGGTAAACACTTCGCATGCCAATAGGTCTTCCGTGTTCTGCAAACCGTTCATTTGCAATGGACCTGGTAGTGGAGAAACGGTCCCTTAAGGCGATCTTCACGGTCTGTTGTTCTACAGCGGCGTCCAGTGCCCCTTGCTCTTTGCTTGCGGCCTTCTCGAAGCCATGCCTGACAACACCTAACCACAGTGTCTACACTTCTTTGCACTATAACTGCAATTGCCCGAAAAGAAAGTCCAGCTTCCCGAAGTCCCACTATACGGCCCCTATCAAACTCACTAAGTTGACGAAATCGTACAGGTCTCCGTACTCTAGGCATCGTAACCGATCGTAAAGGATGTCAAGAACCAAAATCCGCCAACGTTGATTCTTTACTGCGGCTGAAATATTCATTTTTAGAGCGTTAGTGAATTAAAAAAAAAGCAGTATAAAAACCGGAATGTCCAACTGATAAGGCTGAAAATTTTTTCACTTGTTATTTACAGTAAAATAAATACATTCACCAACTTTTATTAAAATAAAACCATTTAAACTGGATGTTCGGATTTATATGTCACTTAGAATATATCACTACTACTTCATGGTATTTTTTGCGTATTTGTCATTCCATCATTCGAAGGACCCTTTGTGTTCATGATATTCATAAAAAATTATTGACTATCTTGTTTTATTCCAGGTAAACAAAGATGGTGAACTGAATTTGTTAGAGAACGAATACAGCGCCACTTTGGAGGACATGATCGACCTCCATTTGCGACATCAAAAGTCGATTCCAGTATTTTTGAGTGCTATCACGATGGATTTGTTTACTAGCAAAACTATGACAAAAACTATACAGATCGAATAGTACGTCAGTAGGTTAGAGCATTGATTAACGGTGACGATATGCAACCTAATACTATATTCTCACCATACCATCGTATGAGGATTTGTCACAGCTATGCTTCAGCGCTCCGCACTAATTTTAAATTTACTTTGCGGCGTCTCACAGATGGCGCTGTTAATATAGTTAGCTGCAGCGCCATCTATGGGACACTAACCTTTTCAAGATGGATTTTTAATTAGCGCATAGTATCTGTGATAAATTTATCTCGGATATATGGTATTAGGTTGGTTATGTTCGCGTTGAATTTGTTAATTAATGGTTAGAGTAAGTCTGAAACTTTATATATTTGCGTAAAGTTAAGATTATAATTTTGGTAGCTCATTTGTATGTTCGTTTTGAAAAATGTGTAATGGTAAATAAATGCTACCACCCATACGATTGTTTCTATTGAATTTGACGAATGCGGTGTGTCCGTCAAATTGTTTCCCATATTAAAAAAAATTACTAACGTCGAAAATGTGTCAATGTCAAAAATGTGGCAGAATTTCCAAAATGATTGACATGTCGCATGCGCATTCGTTTGGCCGATATTTTTAATCCAGACTTCCACGTTCTCGATACGAAACGACCTAATAGGCTAGTCGACAGAGTAATGTTATTTGATATACAGGGTGTAAACGTTATGGTAGTCATTATTCAAATGGGTAATAGGGAGGGTCAAAAAGTTCATATGACCCATGGTCTAAAAGGCAATAGATTTTTGTTAAATGGCTTTATAGTTTAAGTGCTTTATATCGTCCAGAATCTTACTAATTTTTATAATCTAAAACGTTTTTAAATTGGGTAATTAACAAATAAATGGCATTAACTTTTTCTAAGTTAAGCCAGAATTTGTAGTCAGAAAGTAAGTTTCATTAAATTAAATATTTAAAACACACATGACAACAGCGCGTCGGTCATTCATCACTCTTATCGAACCGGCAATCGATCGCAAACGGTAACAGTGGTTAGTTATCGGGCGTGTTGTTTTATTTTTGTTCGCGTACGTCGTCGTGTTTATTTACAATGTTCTCGAATCAAGAGTTCGCCGACATGGTGTTAGTTTACGGTGAAGCTCGTCAGAATTCAAATCTTGCAGCCCAAATATATCGCGACATATTTCGCCAACGGGTACACCCCGACAGAAGGATATTTGTGCAAGTGTACCAAAGACTTCGAGATACAGGAAGTGTTCAGCCCACTAATATTCGCACTCGAGAAAAACACGTTACTGTAGAGCAGGAGGAAAAAATTTTAAATATGGTGGAAATCAATGGAGATATCAGCACTCGGGAATTAGGCCGCCGCACAGTGTGTTCCTCTATAGGGATCAGGGACAAAATTCGATATCTTAAAAACTAGTGGTCCTATTTGAATTCCGTAAACGCAGGGCGATTACTTATTTAAGTAGCTTTCTAAAGTATGACAAAAATTATTTGAAATAAGAAGGGGTGGGGGAGCAGGCGGGATGCATTTCGCATAAATCGTTTTTTTTTGTAAAAGTCAAAATATTAAGTTGATGATCTCGAATAAATTGGGATAAGGTAGGATATTATTATAGCATTCTTAAGAGAGACAAAAAAGTCACGCTTTTATTTTTCAAGATCTTTACCGAATGATTTAAAAGATAATGTAGCCAACTTGTGGCGGGCGCAATATGATTTATTAAATTTGTCTATCTATTTGAAAAAATAATAAGAATAATTCAAATAAAAAATAAATCTGTATAATTTGAAATTGATATTTAGGTTTTTATTTAAAAAAATATATTTAACAAAATAACAATTACTTAGTAGGTAATGTATGAAATAATAATATAAACTATATTAAAAAAATAACACTAAATATACCCATTCTAATCGGAATAGGATTTCTTGCTCGGTGCTGTGTCATTCGTTATTGTACCTAAGTCAATACCTAAATCATCATTTTCTTGCTTTTTTAAATAGTTCTGAACTGCCTCGTTGCATTTCTTATATTTTTTTGAGCTCACCTTTCTTTTTGAGGATATAAAAGGATCAGAAGTAAGTAAAAGAACACGCATGAGATCCTTATTCGTATCTGTTCTTGAACATTTTCTGGTGTGAGATAATCGATGTTTCCTAACCTCTTTATGGCGAGCCTCAAGCGCATTCTCCGACAGTTCTCCAATGGGCAAACAAAATGCATCAATTATCTCACACCCATGAACAAGGACCTTATGTACCGTGTTTGGCATGTTGTACCACTTATAAAGGTGGATATACAAATTTCTTGCTTCTTCCAGCAATGACGCAAACTTTTCCATATCAATAGCGCAACCACTAGCTAACACTCCTAAGATGATCGCAAATTTCTCGATTAATTCCCTGTCAACCCCTGTGATATCTGAACTTGTTTGTGGATTGTGGAAAAAAATTCTGGCCGTATTGCCATCATTTGAGGAGCCATACTCGGGTTTTGGTTTGTCAACTATTAGAGACAGCTTGGCTCTGAACTCGGCTTGGATTCGTTTTTTGTTTGCTTCGACTATAGCTTTGTTTTCAGGCCCACGAACCTGCCAAGATTTACTTGGCAGGCGGTATCCAATATGGAGTAAGCATTCAAAAAAAAAAACGAATCCAGCAGTGTAAAGTTGACAAACCAAACCGGTAATTGTCTACGTTAGGAGGACGGTTAATCCCTGCTAACGTGCTCATGTCCTTGGGTGTGGCTCCGCAAATGATGCACTTCATAGTTGAATTTGTCTCTGATAGAACGTTTCCAACACTGCCGTCCAACATTGTTAACATCATATCAACTTCAATTATACGAGTGCCCTTCTTTTGTTTTAATCTCAATAGGAATCAAATTTTCAATTTTTGTTATTATTTCCTTTTCCGTATTCCGCACTAAATCAGCATTTTCCTTTTTAAATAAAAACTTGATCGGCCTACAATATAAAGTAGATGAAGGGCTCTCATTTTTCCACAATACCTTATTCGTTTCCATATCAATCAATCCGAGTGGCGTCATTGCTACAAGAAACAGAAATTCGTCGGTGTTTTCTAAATCAGAAAATTTCTGCTTATATTGGCTATGCCCAGAACTGCCATCAAATCCCCACTTGCATATCACTTTAATCCGGCAATCTCTCTCTTCAAAATTTATTATTAAAAGGATACCTTCAGCTGTTTTCCGTAGAAGTTCTTGCAAATCAACTTCTGCAGAAATTTCAGTAATAATAAATTGTGAAGGGAGGATAGCATTTCTCTAATTCTTTATAACTAGGAAGACAGTTCTGGGCCTTACCATTAATAAGAGACCTAAGTAGCAAATACTTTCTTACGGATATATCCAAATCTACCATAAGGGCTAAAGCTTTAGCTGTACTAAAACTAAAAATTTGTGGCGAGACCTCACTGTGATTGCTTCCAGAAACGACATTTACAGCAAATTGAAGTTCATTTGCAGATCTGTCTGTTCGGCTACACGTCTTCGTTTTGTTTTCTTCGATGCCTCTTCAAATGGCACCCGTGGCCGTCCAACTGAGCGACAAGGAGGTTCTTGTTCCTCATCCGAAGATGTGTTTTCTTCAGAATCATTATTTATTCTATATATAATCTTGTCTAACCCATATACCTGATTTTGTAAAAGTCGATTCCGAGATTGTCCTACTTTCTGCCATTTATTTGCCATTTTCAACCCAAACAACTGGCTGCATTTCATAATATTACTTTTAAGATGTTTGGAAGGTTCATCTGTTATATCAATAAGAGATAATATCTTTTCATAAACCACCTGTTTTCTATTTCCTCTCGGTGCTTCTATCCACACATCAATCAAATCTCTATTTCTGACAATAGCACCATGTCCTAAAAAAAATTATATCTCCCTTAGACGTGGCATGACGTGATTTAAACTTTTTATCAAAACTTACTATGGACAGATAAACAATAAATAAAAAAATGTTTAGGGTGATGTGAGGTGATTTTTTGTAAAACTCTAAACAAAGTCAAAAGTTTAAAAAAAATAAAAAAATCGGTAATAGTCACTTTAACTTAAAAAATTATCTAATTATAATTATATTTTAAATAAATCTATACATCAATATAATGTACTTACCAGCCTCATTACCAGCCATATTGGAAAAGTTAAAATATTTAAATATTTCGACACAAAATTTATATCTTTCCCGAGCAATAAACCAGAGAGATTTTTCGCCTTCTTGACAGGTCTCGACATGTCCAACTTTAAAGTTGCTAAAATAGGTAAATCGCATCCAACTTGATTAAAGTACTATACTTACGTGTTGCAGTGACTATTTATCTATCCAATGGTATAATAAAAGCAACAGAATTCTAATGTCAAAAATTATGTTTTTGAGTAATTTTGTCCATTGGGCGCCACACTGTGCGCCACGTAGGACTATCGCATACCATAGTCCATAGAATCTTACGGAAAATTTTGCTTTATCCGTACTATGTACAACGAGTGCAGTGGTTTTTTCACAAAAACATTGAAAATCAGGATTTTTTTTTTAAAACATTCTAGCGACGGACGAATGTACTTTTACGCGAGACGGGTTATTAAATTTCCATAATACTCACACGTGGCCCCAAGAAAATCCTCATACCATTCGTGAAGGTCGTTTCCAACAACGTTTTAAAATAAATATTTGGGCGGGTATTCTTGACGATCAGGTAATTGGTCCTTTCGAGTTACCCCCAAAGTCGTCAGGAGAAGGATATCTTAGCTTTCTAGCTAATAATCTACCAGAACTTTTGGAACAGACCTTAGTTTCGTTGGTACTAGGCATGTTCCATTTGTCCCAGAAATAAAATAGTAAGTCAGTTATACACTTTATTCAAATTGAGTATTTACAATAAATATGAGTCTTATATACATGCATACTGATTAGTTAAGAAAATATACCAATAAAAAGAGACAGAAACACATCTATCCATAAAATTTCTTGAATAAGTTAAACCTTCGTTGATTTTTTTTAATCTACTCGCCCAGTAGGATACATGGAATGCAACGAATAATATTTGAATGATTTTTGTTAGACTATTTTGTATATATACAACAAATAACAGGACATATAAGATTTTTGATGCGGAAAACTTATTTTTGGCAATCATGGATACAAAAAAATACATGTCCAAAAACTACTTTAAGGTACTGAAAGTTTCAATCATTTCATAAGTCAATTTAGTTGAAAAAATTAAATGATTCAGTCGTGTTATTTGGTTAGACTAAAAACACATCAACAGAAAATAACGTTTTGATTAAATAGAATTATTTAAATAATTCGGAGATTAAATAATATAAAAAACGTTTCCACTTAGGACGCAGTATTATATCAGCTTTGAAAGAAAAATATATAACGACACGATTCACTTTTTATCATTATTTCAGTCGACGTACATATATTTATTGCAAGTTTCAAGTTTCTTAAGTACTATAAATCGGATGCATTTTTTGTGAAAAAGATCTCTAACAAGATTCCGAAAAATTATGACTATGGCCGATTGGTAGTTTGTAGATTAAAATATTTTTATTAGATTTTTTCACATAAAAGCTATGTGAGGTAAGCTACAGTATGAACTTAATACTGTCAGAATTTCATAAATAAACTACTTAAAATGAAGTACGAAAATGGGACAGCATGATTTTTAAAGTATAACCTGGCAAAATATTCGAGATTGCTGTTTTATTTCACACTGCTTAAAATAGTTCCAGCATTTACATTTAGGCTCTCGTTCCATAACACATAGAATACCTCAATTAACCCATCGTTCAAATGCAGTTTATATAAAAAATTGGTTAAAACTGAAAGATCCCGGGGATGCCAGACATTTCTTATTTTCTGGAAAATATTCTTATCTGTACTGGGTGATTCGTAACTACACGGTGATCCAAACATGCATTTTTTGGATACACTTTTTGTATGCCTAAAGACGCATCCTGTATACTTACTACATAATTACAAAACAACCTTTCAGCAATTGTAGTTGTTCAGGCGAGTGGTGCATCTCTTTGTATTTTTACGTTGGATATTGTGTCTTCTTCCGATCTTTCTGGAGAAACTGATTGTCTTCACAGCAAACTAAGTAAGTCATTCAAACGAATCTACTACTGTGTTAGCTTTGAGCTCGTTATGTCAAGATTCACTTCGTATTATTCCGCCTCAGAAGTTATCCTCGGTAAATGCCCATGATGAGCTCTGGTTGGGATCAAACAAGACCGATTCAGCGGGATGTGCCATAGAATATTCTACTGCTATGCTAAGTTGTTTACTTGTTGTTGTATACTTTGTAAAACATTACAAAGCAATCTTTCAGCACTGTTACACTCATGGGTTTATTGAGGTTGAGTGTTAGGGGCGTGCGCCTATTTTTTCTATTCGCACTAATCTGAAATCCTAGAGATTGCGATGCTCTTCAACTAAATGCATTATAAAAATAGTTTTGTTCAACCTCGGAAATGGAAGTTCAATCCTAACAGTTATATTCTGCCCTAAAGAACTTTTTTTTAAATAACCTCCTGATGAATCACAAGAAATGTACATTGTTGAACTAGTGAGGAATACTGGATAAAATGACAATAACCAACAGCTTGTAATGTTGCAATGACCCTTTAAACATTTATGCCCAATAAATGATAGCTTCGATCACAAAGTAGGCCAGGAAACAGGTGGATTTTATATTGCAACGTCCTCGTAAGTGGGACCTTGATTAACGATGAGACGTTTTGGCGACCAGAGTTACGCCGCGTCAAGAGTGCATCATCGAGAAGGATCGGGAGCATTCGAGAAGTATCGATCGACATGAAGAGAACTTCAAAAACGTAAAAAAACGAAAATCGAGCGATTTTTCCGACCGGTACTTCTCAGGTGCAAGTTTTTAGTGATGTAAATGTTATACAACATCAAGAAAACATCTCATTTCAGACAATTTTGTAGGGAATTAAATTCTTTATCATTTTGCTTCTATAAAAATTATATAGTCAACAGGTTACGAGAAATTTAAGGTAAATATAATGATATTTCTCGCTTGGTTGAACTGAGAATTCCAACAGTATAAAACACTACAATTTATGTAGAGAATAAAACTTGCTATAAAAAGTAGTTTTTTTACGTTATTGTGGGGAAAAATTACCTATTTCCTGGCCTGAAAACTAACTTCAATAATGTTTTACCATAAAGGCGTTGAATCAATGAAGTAACTCAAAATCTAAGAAGCAGCAGTAAAAAAGGGCTCAATTAAAAAACGACTATAATTCGAGCTACATCTAAATTTGGGTCATATAGGATTTCCTTATTCCAACTTCACCATTCAGTAATATACTCTAACATACAACAAATATCAGAACCAACTTGTGCCTTTGTGAAGAATTGGAATTACCTTTTTCTCAGTAGTAAATTTAAAAAATAGGAGGCTGAATCATAAGTTTTTCAATATTGAATTTTATAAAAATTATAAAGCAGGCATTTATATTTAGATGAATTTCCCCAACGAAATATTTCGAAAACTGCGCATTTTAGAAAAAAGTTTCAAACGAACGTTATTGGCTTTCGGAGGGTGATGGTGACCTTGACTACGATCTTCAAGGTCAAGTAAATATTTTCAAATGGAACCCCTTGAAAAGAAGAACAAAATTCACGTCTTATATTATTCTAGAAATGGGAAAAGCAGGAAATTTTACGTTTGAGTGATATTCGAGCTTGACACGACCTTGACTTTGAGGTCACAGTCATATCTGAAATTTCCTACTTTTTCCATTCCCAGTATAAAAATCAGATTGGCAATTTTTACGTGACCTTGAAGGTCATTGTCAAGGTCACTTTTGGGAGGTCCCCACAAACGTGCCGTCGAACATTTTTACTAGATCAAATTGTTCCCATTTAACCTTGCAATGAACTTGAGGAAAATGGTCAAGGTCATAGCCAAGGTGATGATCGGACGTAAAATTTGCTTCTTTTTCCAATTCCGATGTGAAAAAGGGAGGTTCTATTTGAAAGTATTCCCTTGACCTTGAAGTTCATTGTCAAGGTCACCATTATTGTGCTCTCTGAACCTTACACCTTCTATCAAAATAAGACAGCACAAAGTGCCATCTATTACCAGGTGCATTACTAGCCTTTTTCTTGAAACTTTTTTTCTGGGAAGGTTAAAATTGATATACAGGGTATTTTTCGAGTCAAAATAAGTCGATTGGACATGATTTACCTCTGCAAAAGTGCTTTGTTTGTCCGTTAGACTGGTACTACTGTATATTGGGACACCCTGTAGACATCTCTTTTGAAACCTAAAGTATAGCAAACAAACAATAGAACTACTGGAAATATCATTGGAATCCGATTTAAATCGAAACATAAGTTGGTTCCGTTGCTAAAACGATTTATAAAACATTTAAGAAGTAATCGGAAAGGCAACCATCGAATTCAACATGTCTAAGATTTCATGTGTAAATTGTTAAACGTTTCTCATATATACAAGAACTTCAGAGGAAAATGTTAATATCTACACGCTAATTTTTCTTGGAAAGACGAAAAGTGTTGTATCCTAGGAATATCGTATTGTCATGAGATTTGAGTATGATTCGAGAATACTGATTTCTAAAAAGGAAGACCACACAAGAAATACGGAAAAATAGTATAAAATCAATTTTAAAAATGTATAGCGCACGTTTGGTAAGTAATGAGACAATCTCTTGCGTTGTGGCTAGAGTTCGTTAGCCAAAAATCGACCCCTATATGACAAGCGCCTCATCGAGAGATACGAAAAATTTTGCTGGCTATCTTTTTTATTAAACGTCAAAGAATTATGAGATTTTTTTATATCAACCATGTAACAAAACGTCGAAATGGTTAACATTTTTTTTCGTCCAGCAAGGCAGCTGCTCTCATTACTTCCAACGCAACCCTGTAGGAATAAAATATGTATATGTGTAAATAAAAATTGTATAAAAAAGAATCACATAAATATCATTGCAACCTATAACTAAATAAATAAGTATTTTTTGGCAAGATTGTCCATCTCTCTATTTGGAAATTACGAGTATCAAAAATAAAATACGATTTTGAGAAGCTTTTTAAATGTAAAGCAATAAGTACAGGGTATTCAAAAAGTTAGAATTCGGTGAATAATTTCGAGAACCACGAGACTAATCAAATCCTACCCAGGCGTAGGTATAGGATTTTCCATGGCTATCTGACCGTGACCTTGTTTGATCTTGACTTTCAAGATCACTCTAAGGTCAAGTCCATTTTTTTAAAAGACTATATTTGTGAATGTCGGAAATGGACAGAGCAGAAAAGTTTATATTTGAATTCTGAATAATTTTGACTTTGAAGTTCGAAGTCTAATCGGTAAATACAGGGTTTTAATTAAGTACGTACCATAAATTCAACAGATGATTCTTCGGGTGGTTTTAAGACAAAAAGTTCATATAAACATGGAAAATTCTTCGTTCTCAAGATACAGGGTGTTAAAATTTAAAAAAGCGGTTTTTCGTAAATATTTTGAATATCCTTTACCTGATTTTGTTGTAATTTGACAGTGATGTTTATCACATTGAGGAGCTAACTTAGCCTTACTTACAACACCCTGTATCTTGAGAACGAAGAATTTTTGGGCTTATGTTTATATGCAATTTTTGTCTTAAAATCACCCAAAGAATCGTATGGTACCTATTTTATTAATCAAAAGAAATTCTGCCCAAACAGAGGCTTAGAATTGTTCCTTAGCTATCTGACGGTGACCTTAAATTTGACCTTAGCATTAACTTTCTAGACCATTTCAAAATCAAAGCCATTTTTAATAGTGAATTCCAAATAATTTTGACTTTAAAGGTGTAATATCTAATCGGTAAATATAATCAGAAAAAATTATGCCCAAACACAGGATTTTTCCGTAGCTTTCTGACAGTGACCTTGAAGTTAACCTTAGCACTGACCATTTTAAAGTCGAGGCCATTTTTAACAGGATTCTATCTTTTCGAAACCCAAAATGGATAGCGCAGAACGTTTTACGTTCGGTGACTACAAACATATAACCTTTGAAGGTCAGAGAAAACCTTTTATCATTTAAAGTATTACCAAAATTAAACGTTTAGGTTTATAAATTCTGAAACCGTTTTTAACACCGACATATTTCTAAGTACAACACAACAATAGAAAAGATGGACAGCCTCGGGAACAACATACAATAATAAAATAGTACATAGAGGTTCTAACACAGCGAACCTTTTAACTTAAGTGTAAGACACTAAAGGAGATAAATTGTGGAAAATCTTCAAGAATATAACAGTTCCATACAGCATATTTAAAGTCATTCACATCCTCGTATTTATCAGGGAATAAATAAAGTGTTTCGTCCTACTTGAGAGTCGTCAGAAGTATATCACTTCTTCGTCTGTGGGAGGCTGCTGATCATTACGCACCTAGAAAGCAAAAATAAGCATGACTGAACAAGCTTATGAAGAGTCATGCCAAGAAATTTAAAATACAGTTGAAAAACAAGAACTCCGAAGGTAAAGCCCTGACCAAGCAGCTCAAAAGTTTTATCGAAAAATTTCTCTTCTTTTTTATCGTGAATATCATACGAGAAACGTATACAGGGTTATCCAAATTAAGTGTCCACCATTAGTAACTTTGTTATTAGTGAAAATACAAAGTTGTTTGAATTAGCAAACTAGTAGCATTTTTAACGCTGGTAAAAATGAGAAATAAAAAAAAAACAATTGAGAGTCGTTATTTTGATTTTTTTCAGTAAAATAACATTTTTTTAAATGGAAACCCCTGTATATTATATTTTTTTCTGTTAAAGCATCAAATTTTAAACAGAAAAGCTTACAATAACTTTTCTCCTAGGTTACAAATTGTTGAAGTTATGGCCTCCAATCTGAAACAATTAAATTGTATCGACAAACTTTATTTTCAACATCAACTTATAATCTTACAAAATACAATAACAATTTTTTTTAAAGAAGATGCTCGAAAATACCACCTTGTTCTTCAATACATTTTTGGGCACGTTTTTCAACTGCTCGAACTCTCTTAAGTATGGTCCTACCATCTATCTGGGTTATCTTTTCCCTAACTGCAGTCTTTAACGCGTCAAGGTTATCGTACCTTCGCTTGTAAATTTGGTTCTTTAAGTAACCCCACAAGAAGTAATCAAGTGGGTTTAGATCTGGTGATCTGGGAGGCCACTGTATTGGGCCATTTGTTCCTATCCATTGATCATTAAAAGTAGTACTTAGAAAATGATAAGTACCTCTGGAGTTGTGGGCAGGTGCGCCATCTTGCTGAAAATGCAGATGATGTCTACTTATAAGATCCAATTCGTCTAAGAAATTAGTCAGAATTTCTGACATAAATCCACATATCTTTCACCAGTTAGGGTTCCCTCATAAAAGAACGGGCCAACAATTTTTGAACCAATTATACCGCACCAAACGTTGAAACTGAAACGGACTTGTGGGCCTCTTGGATGTACTAACAAAAGATTTTCTCTTGACCAATAATGGTGGTTTTTTCTATTAAACATTCCAGAATTTGAAAAATTTGATTCATCTGTCCATAAAAGGTAACGAAAGTTATTTACATTTTGGCGACAGAAGCTAAGATACCAATGGCAAAAAACAAGTCTTCTCTCTGGATCCCCTGCCAAAAGCGTTTGAACTGGTCGGTACTTATACGGAATAAATTTGTATTTTTTTAAAATCCTTTGAACAGTACCATAACTGAAATTAGAGTCCTTGAGAATATCTGCTATTGAATTCTCACGATAAGCTTCAAAATATCCAATAACTGCAATTTCCGTGGCCTCGCTTATTATGAATTCTTTTTTTGCCCTTGTTTTAGCAAAAACATTTTCGTTGCCCCTAAATTTTCGATAAAGTCTCAGAAAATATCGTTCATACGGTTGAATGCGAGCGGGATATAATTCACTGTAGTATTCTCTTGCTCTCAAGGAGGATTTTCTGCACACTAAATAGCATTCTAACATATCACACTTTTCTTCATGGGAGAACATTTTTCTTTAAATTAATGACACAATAAAGCTTATAAACAAGTATTTACACTAATGTTTGACATTATTTGATTTTATCATTGTTTTCCAAAGCCTTCTAGTTGCGAGTATGTCCAGTTTAACAATTTGTCGCTTATCTTAATGCTGTCAAATCGCGAACGCCATGTTGTTTTCATAGCCGTCTTAATATTATAATACTGCAAATAATTAAAAATATTTATCGTTATTTTGACTTTATTTTTGACTTTAGCGGAAAAGTCATTATGAACTTTTTTGTTTAAAATTTGATGCTTTAACAGAAAAAAATATAATATACAGGGGTTTCCATTTAAAAAAATGTTATTTTACTGAAAAAAATCAAAATAACGACTGTCAATTGTTTTTTTTATTTCTCATTTTTACCAGCGTTAAAAATGCTACTAGTTTGCTAATTCAAACAACTTTGTATTTTCACTAATAACAAAGTTACTAATGGTGGACACTTAATTTGGATAACCCTGTATTGATGAGAATGAATGGCAAACGAGACATCCTGTTAAAAGTACCTATTGGACCAACACCGATGTCACATGTTGTAAAAATCGCAGGCAAATATCGTTTTGTTCTAAATGTTTACCTTGAACTTATCCGGTAACTTCGGGTAAGTGTGCGTCCTTGAAGCTTTGGCACTAGTAGGGCTCTGACATTGACTCGGAGCTGTCGAGTTTGGTGGCGACGCTTGCATCATGGCTGGACTTGAACCGGTACGACTGTGCGCGTGCATCTGACCCGTTGGAGTCTAACATAGGAAAAAATATACGAGTATAGAACATACAAAGGGTATACAGTTTTGCAATAAAGCTAAATTTATTGATTTCGTTCAAAGTAATTTCCAACACATCCAATACGCTTCTTCTCCATCCGCCAAAACTAGTCTTTAAACCAGCTCTGCCAAGTTTCAACCGGAAGTGCGGCACACTCAAATACTCGGTGCAGACTTTGGCCGCAGGTTTTCCATAGACTCTATGACTTTAGGCAGGCACTGTTCCGTGTACCACTTAGTTGTGACTGTCTTCTGTGTGTCCACAATCCCGCTCGATTTGAAAAATACAGCTATAATTTTTGTCTTAACAGATCGGGATTTTCTGACAGCTAGGGGTATGTCCTCATCATCAAAGACCCAAACTATGTTTTGAGTCTTGGTCGGTACATCGTAATAATAGAGCCAAGTCTCGTCACCTGTCACGATGCTGTTCACATACCGAGATTGCCCATCCAAGTCGTACGACGAGTTTTTTGCTCTTCCGTCAGACTATGCGGTACCCAGAGAGAACAAAGTTTCTTTGGGTTATTATTAAAATTTGACAGTTTAAACTTACCGTTTCACCGGAAGGAGGACTGAAACTGTTATCGGACGCGAGCCTTTGGTATCCGGACGTACTAGTCCTTCTCACCTTCTCATCCTGGCTCAGTTTCAACGGCAACATTTGCTGCGGTCCGGAAGCGGGTTTGGCCGCTTCGCCACTGCTCAGTCTCGAGGCCAACTTCAGAGGGATCTGCTGTTTGATCGGCACGTTCTGTTGCACTTTTTGCTGATTCGTCGCCGAGATCAGGTTCAGAGGCAGGTGGGCCTTTTGCGTCGTAGTCGAAGCTGCTACAAGAAAAAAAAGTATGCTACATACCTCGATTGACAGGTGGCACGTAATAATAATAATGATAATAATAATGTATTCACATCAATTACACATTGTGAACAAATGCCTATGCCACACAACATACATAATATAGCATATCAGTTATAATAAACAGATAGAACTAAAAAAATTTATACAGGGTGTCCCAGAAGTCGACGTCAAGCCGAAACCGGATGAATCCTTTAGATTTGTTTACTGGGGAACTGTAAAAGAAAAAGTTTATTTCAAGCCGATTCAAAATGTAGCTGAGCTACGGCAAAGACTATTGGAAGCAGCTGAGTTTGTTAATAACCGTGGATTCGCTCGTTTAATAACCCGATCTTTTTTAAGAAGATGTCGAGCGTGTATTGCGGCTGAAGGAAAACAGTTTGAGCATTTGCTGTAAAGGTAAATCATCATCAGCAGCATTTTGACGCCCACTGTTGTGCAAACAGTTATCCTTAAGGGTCCTTGTGCGTTTTCATAATCGCTGTTTAATTAGGAAATTTTGAAAAATGTTCATCAGTTTTTTTTTTCAAATAAAAATGTGTTAACGAGTAATCTTCTAAGTGTTATACTTGCCAAACTCTCGTAGTACATTTTTTCCAGTACAGCCAGTTAAAGTTGAGCAAAGTTTTACTTTGGAATACTTGGTTGGGAAATAAGTGGCAATTTTTCCTGAACGAGAAAAGTTGGCAGTAAGGTTGAGACACCAGTTTGAAGATGCATTATTCATCATTACATTGTAAAAATAAAATCCAAAAAAAGTTAATATTTGTAGTAACAGGAGTTGACAGACTGCCGTAGGGTGTGAAATTTCTATATTTTTTTCAAAGACCTATAATTTTCAAAACACATACATAATTTTTTTTTAAATATTTTTCTGATAGCTGTTATGACTTTGCCTATCACCCGGTTTCGGCTTGACGTCGACTTCTGGGACACCCTGTATAAGTATAATATGTACATTAATTTTGGATAGTAGACTTAAAATGAAGAAAATATATGTGTTAGATTTTTATAAATTACATCATGTTTATATTAGTTTTCAAAAGCCACTCGTATACATCTATTTTTAATAATGATATTCGGTTTTTTCTAATATATTTTGGTTAAGTTACGATATAATTTTGGACCTAAGTATATAGAGATTTCAAAATTATTTCTTTTTTTGGTGTTGCAATAATTACTGGTTTAGTTTTATTTCTAGTATCATATTCATAATTTTTTTCGAATGTTTGTTTTTATGGAATTTTAGTATAACATTATACCAAAATAATTTTTTTATAACTAAAAGTTTTGATTCCAGAAACAGTGATTTGGAGGGATATAATAAAGGTTTATAGGTTTATTATGAATTGTTTTTATGATAAGTTTTTGTATTACTTGATGGTTATTATTGGTGGATCCCCGGATAATAATTCCATAGGTTATGTGGCTTTCAACTAATGTTTGATATAAAATTTTTGATTGAGTTTCATTGAAAATTTGTCTGTAGGATCTGAATTTATATAATATAAATATAATGTTTTTAATCTATTGAATATGTTCATCCCAACGAAGATGACATTAGAACGACCACAATAACCACAATCTTACTACTTTTCATAACCTAATCTAAAACGTTTTTAAATTGGGTAATTAACAAATAAATGGCATTATGTTTTTCTAAGTTAATCCAAAATTTGTAGTCAGTAAGTAAGTTTCATCAAATTAAATATTTAAAACGCGCGTCGGTCTTTCATCACTGTTATCGAACCGGCAATCGATCGCAAACGGTGGTTAGTTATCGGGCATCGGGCGTGTTGTTTTATTTTTGTTCGCGTACGTCGTCGTGTTTATTTACAATGTTCTCGAATCAAGAGTTTGCCGACATGTTGTTAGTTTACGGTGAAGCTCCTCAGAATTCAAATCTTGCAGCTCAAATTTATCGCGACGGGATATTAAATTTCCATAATAATCACACGTGGGTCCAAGAAAATAAATATTTGGGCGGGTATTCTTGAAGATCAGGTAATTGGCGCTTCCGAGTTACCTCCAAAATTTGTGGTTTCTTCATGACGGGGCACCACCACACGTTTTTAGAAGCGGCATTCAGTATTTGTATGAACATTATCCAAATCGCTGGATCAGTCGAAATGCTCCTGATCCTCGAAAATGGCCAGCAAGATCTCCTGATCTCAATCCGATGGATTTCTGGTATTGGGGAGAACTTAAAGGGATGGTTTATGGGGCTGGTCCAATAACAACTGAAGCACAACTTCGCGAAAAAAAATTTAATGCGGCTGAAATAATGAATGGACCTAGAGTAAGAAGAAACTGGGTTCGTCGTAACACGCGAGCCACCTTAGCCGAAAATTGCTTCTGGTTTACTTACTCTGTGGTTAGATAATGATTTTCGCTTCAAAATCGTGAACCTATAATACCTTCTTATACCACAACGTCACCATAATCCCCCCTTAAAAAAATATAAAACCACACTTAAGTGTCCGAAGAGCAGAAAAGTGCTTTTCGAAGTGCTGCACACACTGACATGCTAAACCTCAACAAAAGGGAACAGTGCTAGAAAGGGAAAGACAACAATCGTTTTGGACATTGTTCAAGCAAAATTCGAGGGTAAATTTATTTTGGGACCCATGAACACGCTGTAGATGTACGAACCTTTTGACCACTTGCCGTCTTTTCTCCTCTCGCTACCCTGCATCTGCAACGTATTCCCTCCGCCACTGGCAGTCGACGACGTGTCCGACTGCGGACTGCTATCCTCCGTCGATGTCTCCTTGCTACTGTTATCCTTGCTGCTGTCGTCAGCCGCTGCTCCTGTCAAAGGAATGGCCACGTTCGGCGATATCAGCAGACCCTGACTGGTCAGTATCTCCATTTTGCGGTAGAGCTGCTCGCGTTGCTGGGCTATGTCCGACTGGTCGGCGCGGATTTGTTCCTGAAAATAGTCGTATTTTGAAAACACATATACGTTTTAAATGTCGCACTTTCTTTAATATATTCAGTTTTCACGATTTCTATATGTCAACAACAACGAAATTTCAGTAGGTATTGCATGTACATGCAGGATGCTTTTTAATAATCATTCTGAACATTACCTGCAATCTTAATAGTTCCGCTTTCTTCTCTTCTAATTCTTTGGCTTCTTGGTCTCGCATAGCTGCCCACGCGGCTTTTTCACCGCTCAGTTTGTCTTGTAAATTTCTTAATTCTTCTAGTTGCTGATTATGCCTATATTGCTTTGAATCTGCACCTCCTCTCAAGGTGACTATTTGAGCTTGAAGACTGTAACAAATGCAATCATGTTAAAGACAAAAAAATGTAAAGTGGAAAACATACAGTTATGGAACTTTGGAAATCAATATGTTGTCGAACCAACGAAAATTGCCATATCCGTACGCAAGAGGTTAAGCCGCCAGTTTGACATTAAATTTGCGTTTTAACGGGAACATTATATGAAAGCGCATGGGTTTCCATATAAACCTCGTGTCATAGACAATTGCCGAAAATAGTCAATGATTTTATGGGCTGCAAAAGGTTTACGCTGAATAAAAGCCCTTTTTATCGATAAGTGTTAGAAAATTTTGGGAATTTAGAGCATTTAGCGAATCTGGAGAATTTAGAGAGATCGACAATTCAGAGAATTGAGAAAATTTAGAGAATTAAAAAAATCTAGAGAATTAGGAGAATCTAGAGAATTTAGTCAAATTGGAGAATTTCGTTAATTTAGAGAATCTAGAGAGTTTAAAGAATTTATATATAAATACTCGACCAGATGACAAAAGCAGTTAGTCACAGCCGAGATAGTTGCAAGTGAGAGACTTTATAGAACTTGAGGAATTTATGAGAATTTAGAAAATTCAGATAATTTAAGAGAATTAAGAAACTCTAGAAAAACTAGAAAACTTTACAGAAATTTACAGAATTGAGAACATTTTTAGAATTCATAGAATTTAGAGAATTAAGAAAATCTAAAGAATCAAGAAAATTTGGAAAACTTACGAGAATTTAAAGAACTCGGAGAATTTAGAGAATCTTGAGAATTTGGAAGAGTTAGAGAATTTCGAGAATTTAGAGAACTCGGAAAATTTTTAGAATGCAGAGAATTTAGAGATTTAAGGAAATGTAGAGAATTTCGAGAATTTAGAAAATTTGTATTTGAAGAATTAAGAGAATTGAGAAAATCTAGAGAATTTAAAGATTGAAGAAAATTCAGAGAATTTAATGAATTTAGAGAGTTTAGATAATTTGACAGAATTTAGAAAATTAAGAAAATTTAGAGAATTAAGGAAATTAGAGGATTAATAAAATGTAGAGAATATAGAAAACTTGAGAATTTAGAGAATTTTAATAATTTAGAGAATTTGGAAAATTTGAAGAATTGGAGAATTAAGAAAATTTAGAGAATTGAGAAAATTTTTAGAATTCATAGAATTTAGAGAATTGAGAAAATCTAGAAAATTTGAAAAACCTAGGGAATTTAAAGAGCTCAGAATTTAGAGAATATAGAGTTTGAAAAACTGAGAGAATTTGAAGAATTTAGAGAACAGAAAATTTTGGAATTCAGAGAATTTAGAGAATTAAGAAAATCTAAAGAATCTAGAAAATTTGGAAAACTTACGAGAATTTAAAGAACTCGGAGAATTTAGAGAATCTTGAGAATTTGGAAGACTTAGAGTTTCGAGAATTTAGAGAACTCGGTAAATTTTTAGAATTTAGAGATTTAAGGAAATGTAGAGAATTTCGAGAATTTAGAAAATTTGTATTTGAAGAATTAAGAGAATTGAGAAAATCTAGAGAATTTAAAGATTGAAGATAATTCAGAGAATTTAATGAATTTAGAGAGTTTAGATAATTTGACAGAATTTAGAAAATTAAGAAAATTTAGAGAATTAAGGAAATTAGAGGATTAATAAAATGTAGAGAATATAGAAAACTTGAGAATTTAGAGAATTTGGAAAATTTGAAGAATTGGAGAATTAAGAAAATTTAGAGAATTGAGAAAATTTTTAGAATTCATAGAATTTAGAGAATTGAGAAAATCTAGAAAATTTGAAAAACCTAGGGAATTTAAAGAGCTCAGAATTTAGAGAATATAGAGTTTGAAAAACTAAGAGAATTTGAAGAATTCAGAGAACAGAAAATTTTGGAATTCAGAGAATTTAGAGAATTAAGAAAATAAACAGGATTTCGAGAATTTAGAAAATTTGAAGAATTAAGGGAATTTAGAGATTTAAAAAAATCTAGAGAATTTAGACAGTTTAGAGGATTTAAAGATTGAAAAAATTTTAGTGAATTTAGAGAATTTACAGAATTAAGGAAATTTAGAGAATTAAGAAAATGTAGAGAATCTAGAAAACTGGAGCATTTGAACAATTTAGAGAATTTGGAAAATTTGAGGAATTAGGAAAATTTACAGAACTAAAAAATCTACAGTAACTACAGAATTTGAAGAACTCACAGAATTTAGGAGAAATCTAGAGCATTTGAAAAAGAGTTTAGAAAATTTGAAGAATTTAGAGAATTTAGAAAATTACGGCAATCTAGAGCGTTTAGACGATTTAGAGAATATAAAGATTGAAGACAATTTAAAGAATTCAGAAAATATACAGCATTTAGAAAATTTGGAGGATTTAGACTTTAGAGAATTTGGAGAGTTTATAGAATTTAGAAAACGAGAATTTGGAGAATTTAGAGAATTCAGAAAACACAGAGAAATTGGAGGATTTAGAGAGGGTAGAGAATTTAGGGAATGAAGAAAATTTAGATAATTTGGAGAATTTAGTGAATTTAGAGTGTTTCAAGATTTTAGAGAATTTGGATAATTAAGAGAATTTGAAGGATTTAGAAAATGTAGAGAATTTCGAGAATTTAGAAAATTTGGAGAATTTAGAAAATTACGGCAATCTAGAGAGTTTAGAGGATTTAGAGAATTTAAAGATTGAAGATAATTTAGAGAATTCAGAAAATATACAGCATTTAGAAAATTTGGAGGTTTTAGACTTTAGAGAATTTAGAAAATTTGGAGAATTTAGAAAATTACGGCAATCTGGAGAGATTAGAGGATTTAGAGAATTTAAAGATTCAAGATAATTTAGATAATTCAGAAAATATACAGCATTTAGAAAATTTGGAGGATTTAGACTTGAGAATTTGGAGAGTTTATAGAATTTAGAAAACGAGAATTTGGAGAATTTAGAGAATTCAGAAAACACAGAGAAATTGGTGGATTTAGAGAGGGTAGAGAATTTAGGGAATGAAGAAAATTTAGATAATTTGGAGAATTTAGTGAATTTAGAGTGTTTCAAGATTTTATAGAATTTGGATAATTAAGAGAATTTGGAGGATTTAGAGAATTCAGAGAAAGTAAATGTTAGAGATTTTTGAGTATTTAGCGAATTTAGAGAATTTGGATAATTGAGGGAATTTGGAAGATATAGAGAATGTATAGGTTAGAGAATTTGGAGAGTTTATAGAAGAAAATACAGAGAAATCGGTGGATTTATAGAGTTTAGAGAATTTAGGGAATGAAGAAAATTTAGATAATTTGGAGAATTTAGTGAATTTAGAGTGTTTAAAGATTTTAGAGAATTTTGAGGATTTAGAGAATTCAGAGAATGTAAATGTTGAGAATTTTGAGTATTTAGTGAATTTAGAGAATTTGGATAATTGAGGGAATTTGGAGGATTTAGAGAACGTATAGGTTAGAGAATTTGGAGTGTTTATAGCATTTAGAGAATTTGTTGAGTGTATATAAAGAATTGAGAATTTAGAAAATTCAGGGAATTTATATACAGGGTGACTTCGAAGTTGAGTCATTTATTTTAACAGTGAGTAGATCTGATCAAAAGAAATGTTTTTTTCCTTTAACATTTTTCTGGTAAAATTAAATTAACAAAGTTATAGGCCTTTAGAAGTTTGAGTACCGCCCTGTCTCAATAATAATATTATGTGCTCGTGTTTGGCAACAACGGATATAATCCGCCTTATCTGTTCATCGCATCGGAAACAAAAAAGCGAAAGAATTTGAAACGTTTATCACGATGTCAGTCAATGTTTCAGTCGGTAACGCGTGAGTGAATAGTGGTGTTTGTTGCGTGGCTCAAACGAAATAAAAAATGGCACATGTTTATGAAAATGCTGAACTTGTGGACATGATTCTTATTTAATCGAGTGCAACCAATCCCTCGTGCCTTTGTTAATGTAGTACAAAGGGCTCGTGAATCAGGTGACTTAAGACCTCCCTGGGGAGAGCATGCCGGTGCTCCAAGACCGCACGAACAAATACAGGTCCGCACTGAAATACTTGTCGGGAGGATACTTTATAAAACAAGGTAACATTTTTTTTTATTTTTACACACATATTTTGGTTTATCTTCCTTCTACAATCATTATCTGAAAATTAATGACTCAACTTCAAAGTATAAATGTCAGACCAGATGACAAAAGTAGTTAGTCACAGTCCAGATAGTCGCAAGTGTTATAAATTATTATAGTAGCGTAGTATTTACCTTTCGTTAGTGGTCATCAGCTGCGAGATGATACACAGCAAAGTGTAAACGTAATGCGACAGCTGAATAGCCGCGTATTGCTGTTCTCTTCCCAAATTTAGCAACGCAGGAGCATCCGGGGTGCTCATGTGCTGGTGGGACAAAGGAACTTGTTGTTGCTGGGATTGCGCTGGTATCACGTTTTCATTGCTGCTATTTAGCAGCGTTGTATTGCCATTTTGCAAAGGCCCTCCGGTTATCACACAGTTTCTATAAGGCAATCGTTCCTGGAAAGCAAAACGTACACGTTTGGTTACGGTTGTTGTAATATATAATTTTTGAGACGATATACTTTCTGAAAGTGTTAGGGGTCCGCCGTTGACGCTTTTCGGAAGAAAGGACAAATCAAGTTAGCACCATTTAACTTTGATAATTTTAAAATGTAATGTGGCAGGGCGTTTGGATTAGATATCTACTTACAAACAACCTCGCATCGCCCGGCCTGAGCATAACCTCCTGTTCCGCAAGCGAGCCCTGGCTGGTAGGCGGCTGCGTGACGCTGCCGCCGCTCATCTTCTTCCCGAGCAATCTGATTGGCTGATTGTCGAACCCGCCGAACGTCTCGGCGCGTTTCGGCAACACCGGCGACACGTACGCCTCGCTGTGGTGTTCGCCGGCGGAACTAACGCTGCGCGACAGGTTCGTGCCGGTCGTGTACAGGCTGCTAGCCAATTGGCTCACCTCCTGTCAAACATACAATTTAATACGGGCGTCCAATGGGAAAGTTCACGTTTAAAATTCGAATTACGCGGCCACCGTATACGCGAGGAAGTGGGGAGCGGGTGCGGGTTAAATAGTCACAATGGAACGTTGGACCGGACCGCAACGTGCTCTGCTATCGCGGCTTACTTTAGGAGTGGTGATTCATAAGCAGCTGCCTTTCGGAAATTCACACAAACAATATGTTGATAGTAATAAATATTTTCTTTTCATTAAGTTTGTATTTTTTTTCTTAAATCAAAAAGTGAACTTTCCCACGTTTCCTGTTGTAAAATTCGTGTATATATTTTTTCCGAAGCTCTTGATATCCTGGTCTTCTTATAGATTGTGGTCAAAAATGTTAATTTCTCAGGTTAATAGTGAAAAAAAACTGTACCTGTACGGCAGTCAAGACCTCCTTCCACATCTGTCCCGTATCCGCATTTTCGCTGACTAGATGCCTATAGGATGGCGGTGACGGAGGTTCGAGTCCTGCAGCTGCCAGCAGCTTCAGTTGCAATGACATTTTCTCTTCCAACAGCAACGCCTGTTCTATATCCTTCTGCCGCAATAAACCTGAAATTACGATACTGTTCAATATTACGATCTTTCAGATTCGGACAGTCATGCATCAAAACTAGGACAGTCATCAAGGATTATGTCATATTTATCGCACACACACGCGCTACAAGCAACGAGGAAATGGAAAGATTAGACAAAATAGGGCTAAATTAGGTCGATATTGTACAGTCCGCGAAACCCAAAAGTTCGAAAAACAAGGTTGAATCAAAATACTAAAAGACTTCAAGACAAAAAGATAATAGAGTTCTCGAGTGCTGAAAGGGTCACGCAAATACTGATCAAAAGTCAATAACTAATTTATTTAAAGTCAAAATCGTGTGCCAGCTAAAATACGAGGGTTGCCTAAAAAATAACGTTCCCAGCGTGGTATCTATCTCTCTATTTAAAATTCTCCAAAGCCTAAAAATGCACCATGACAATGCGCATCCTCATGTCTCGCAACAAACGGAGGACTGGATGGAGCGATTTCACGTCTAAAAAATGCATAGAAAACACTGCGACTATGGAGAAAAATAGCTTAAAAATCAACGTTTACAATGGGGAATTCGTTTTTTAAATAAAAAATCCTTGTGCCTGAAAAAAATGTGAGACCTTATTTTTGAAACAACCCTCGTATTGTGTTTGTCTATTGAGCTACTACATTATTCTACGTATGTAAAACTCATCGTAATTTTTCGTTCATTTTTAGATTAGAGGTACATTTAATGAAGTTTTCACAAGTATCCATTACGTTTTGACGTCTACTGGGCTGAACAGCCGAACAGCAAGTGACATCTTTGTATTAGTCAGTAACGTTGACACTAATGAATCGGGTTTAAATCTGGGACCTTACACTTTAAGTCACTGGAAATTTTGTCAATAAAGTATGCAAAACACGCATAGAAACATTATTAACAAAGTCCAAAATTGTTTACCTCATTTCATTCCTATCTGACTTAACATGTAGTTATGATCATTTGTGACACGATGTGCAATTGAAGAATGTTTTAACATAGCTATTTCATTTTATTTCTTAAAGTTAATAGTTTTAATCAAAATGTTTGACTTATTAAGAAGACCGGAGAAGAAGTATAGATGAGAAAGAATATAGTGTAACAATATTTTTAGACTTCAAAAGGGCATTTGAGACTATAGATAGGTAAAAATTGTTAAAGAAATTGCGTCACTATGGCTTTAAAGGATCAGTAATACACATTTTACAAAAACTACAGTTGGAAACGTTATGTCAAGTGTTCAAAATATATCAGTGGGTGTGCCACAGGGTAGTACATTAGGGCCGTTACTATTTATTATTTATATAAATGATATCTCTGACATTTTAGAACACTGCAAAATTCAAATATTTGCGGAAGATACACTTATATATATACAGTTATATATATACTTTAATTTCTTTGGGTAGAATGCAAAGTACTGCAAAAGTACACTCTTATAACTTAAACTCTCAAGCTTTCGAAGATCTATGTCTTCATCGTCTGGAGTAAGTCGGCGAGATTGTTGAAGAAATATGGAGATTCAACTATCCATCAACTACCAACTAACGAAAATCAATCAACGCTTAGTTTAAAAAAACCTTTCAAAATGATTTGGCATTTACTAATAAAATAATTCCGTTCTAACCGAACCTCATCAGTCCAGTTTTTTATTCGTCGACTATGTGTTCCCTTCACTGTTGTTTTAAAAACAATTTCAGCAACAATCTCGCCGACTTACTCCAGACGATGAAGACACAGATCTTCGAAAGCTTGAGAGTTTAAGTTATAAGAGTGTACTTTTGCAATAATTTGCCTTCTACCCAAAGAAATTAAAGTATATATATATATATATATATAGGTGAAAAATTAAAGCTTCCGCCTTTTGTTGGGTACTTCGACAAAATTTAAGCAAAGAGGACTCTTTATACTTTTTTTAATTCTTTCTAGCTTTCAATGGACTTTGCCATCATCATCAGGAGCTGCAATTACAATGATAACAGTAGCAACAAAAGTGTAAAATGAATTTAAATTGAATCAACTTACAGTAGTATGTGAGGATGTTGCTAATTGTTGTTTTCGTATAGGATGAGGGAAACGTCCAGTAACATGGTGAGAGCTGGATAGATGGTACAATGGTCAAAATTATATAAAATATGACAAGACAAGTTAAAGACAGATTAAAAATTATTTAGAAAACATATATAATATAAATAAATTTTAACCATTGTACCATGTATCCAGCTCTCACCATGTTACTGGACGTTTCCCTCATCAAAACAACAATTAGCAACATCCTCACATACTACTGTAAGTTGATTCAATTTAAATTCATTTTACACTTTTGTTGCTACTGTTATCATTGTAATTGCAGCTCCTGATGATGATGGCAAAGTCCATTGAAAGCTAGAGAGAATTAAAAAAAAGTATAAAGAGTCCTCTTTGCTTAAATTTTGTCGAAGTACCCAACAAAAGGCGGAAGCTTTAATTTTTCACCTAACTGGTCTAGACGACAATGACCACGTCTCAAGTTATATATATATATATATAGTTACACGTAGACGATTTAACGATATGGTCGAATTTCGTTGGCCATTTTATTGAATGCTTGATCATTCCATGCAATGACAAATTTTACGATATATAAACAAAGTCAATCTACTTGATGCAATCATGCAGTAAGCTCGTTAAATTAAACCTATTCTTAAATCAGTTCGAGGGATATCATTCCATGATCATTCCAAAAATCTTGTACTATTTTTAGTTACGAAAAATACTATTTTTCCAAAAGTCTGCTTACATTCGACTTTTCCAAAAACAAAAATTAAAATTAATCGTGAGGCGATGCAATCCTGAAGCGGTACTTTAAAAATTCCTAATTAATGTTACTGTAATGTAAAATAATTTGCAGCGATTAACTAAAAAGCAAAAATGCATGCAAGTGACGCTTTTTAGGGTTACCTTCTATATCCAAATCTGCCTCTGTCAGAAAACAGAGCAATAGAGTATATATTTACACTATGGAATTTTTCATATTGCAGGTTAGGGAAGAGGTTCTATACTAAGGGAATGTAATGGGGAAGCATGCACATCTTTTTGGTTAGTTTTCACACATAGGCTACTAATCTTCAGATGTACAAAATCTATAGGTGACACAAACTTGTGACAGGATAATACCATGTATATGGAACAAACAAAATGCGTGTCTTTTCAGGATATTTTTTTCACGTTGTCATTATTTAGCTGAGGTTGTAAGCTTGTTGACATAGACACCACTTTTAATACTTAGCTACTGCTAAAAACATTTTACATAGAAATAAGAAACAACAGTTTTGGGACATTGCAACAACATACACTAATGTACGATTTACTGTAAATCAAGAACAGGTTAGTTGCATTAACCAGTATTGCGTTTATTATGTAGTTTTAAAAACTAAAGAACCATTCGAAAGTTACGAAATACAAACTTCCTGAAACATAATATTTTGATGAAAAAATCTGTAGTTCTATGTAAATATTCTTGTAAGGTGAATCTTACCTATTAAATGCCTAACTTGATTCTGCTTTGCAGCCATCACGTTCTGTCTTTCCTCTGCATTCATATTCAGATCTTCATCGTCCTCAGGACATGCTTGCACAGCCTCCCTATAAAAACCATATTCATATAATTATATACTAAGTGACATATAAATCCGAACACCCAGTTTAAATGGTTTTATTTTAATAAAAGTTGGTGAATGTATTTATCTTACTGTAAATAACAAGTGAAAAAATTTTCAGCCTTATCAGTTGGACATTCCGGTTTTTATACTGCTTTTTTTTAATTCACTAACGCTCTAAAAATGAATATTTCAGCCGCAGTAAAGAATCAACGTTGGCGGATTTTGGTTCTTGACATCCTTTACGATCGGTTACGATGCCTAGAGTACGGAGACCTGTACGATTTCGTCAACTTAGTGAGTTTGATAGGGGCCGTATAGTGGGACTTCGGGAAGCTGGACTTTCTTTTCGGGCAATTGCAGTTAGAGTGCAAAGAAGTGTAGACACTGTGGTTAGGTGTTGTCAGGCATGGCTTCGAGAAGGCCGTACGCAAAGAGCAAGGGGCACTGGACGCCGCCGTAGAACAACAGACCGTGAAGATCGCCGCCTAAGATTATTGGCCTTACGGGACCGTTTCTCCACTACCAGGTCCATTGCAAGTGAATGGTTTGCAGAACACGGAAGACCTATTGGCTTGCGAAGTGTTTACCGACGAATGAGAAGTTTTGGATTATTTTCATACCGGCCACACTGGGTCCTCCCTTTAACTCGAGAACACCGACGTAATCGCCTTGAGTGGTGCAGACAACGGTCACTCTGGGATCAGGAATGGAACAGTATTGTCTTTAGTGACGAGTCTCGATTTTGTTTAGGCATGCACGATGGTCGTGCCAGGGTTAGAAGGCGATGTGGTGAAAGGAGGAATCCACAGTTTTTTGTTGAAAGACATGTTCATCACACTGTTGGAGTTATGGTTTGGGGTGCTATAGCTTATGGTTCCAGGTCACCTTTAATCTTCATCAGAGGTAACATGAACGCGCAGCGTTATATCCACGAAGTTCTAGAACCCCATCTTTTACCCTATCTTGACACCCTGGCAGATCCAACTTTCCAACAAGATAATGCCCGACCACATGTCGCAAGAGTCACAATAGACTTCTTTCAAAATAATGATGTCACATTGTTACCATGGCCACCAAGATCTCCCGACTTATCCCCAATTGAGCACGTGTGGGATATGATGGGTAGGAGATTGCTCAATTTGCAACGTCCTCCTCAGACTCTAGAAGCACTTCGAGAGGAGTTGGTGGTTGCCTGGAATGAGATACCACAGGAGGACATTGACCACCTGATCAGAAGCATGCCTAGGCGCGTTGCAGAATGCGTAGCACATCAGGGTGCATCCACACATTATTAAAGGTCAAAGGGCTTTAAAGCAGTGCAATCATTTTGAAATTTTTATCATTTACTTATTATGCTTCATTAAGTACTTATACAAAATTTTATCAAAATAAAACCATTTAAACTGGGTGTTCGGATTTATATGTCACTTAGTATATTTAGGGAACGTGAACATCTTGCTCCCCTTTTAAAGAAAATTGTTTGTTGTTAAACGTGACATCACAAGGAACGATCACCCCTCAACCCCCTAAGTATTCACATTATCAGAATCATTCAACAGTGCAAAAAGGAAATCCCATAACCAATGCCAACTCAGGAACATAAAGAGGCTGTTTGACAAGTCATAATAGTTATCAGGAAAGTATAAAAAAAATCGTGTAGTTTTCAAATTATAGGCTTTGAAAAAATCGGAAAAATCCCTGTGAAGATCTTTTAGTTCTCATTACTACAAAAATATTTTTTTTCTTAGACGGAGTGGCGGACAGTGTTATCTACGACAAATCAGTCAGTTATATATTGGCCACCCTGTATTTATTGAATTCACAATAAATGTTCAAATTGTCTTCCTTCAGCAGCAATGCAAGCTTGACATCTTAAAAAATGATCGGGGGAATCTTCCGTTATTAACAAATTCAGCCGCTTCCGTTATTTTGCCCCGTAACTAAATTTTCGATTGCCTTGGAGTAAATTTTTCTTAGTGTAAAGTATAGGTGATTCGTTTCGTATTATTGCGATAGAGATTGGTTTCGGAGAAGTTGCTTTGGCAATTAACATTTTTAATGTCACACTAAATTAATTTCAATGTTGATTGTAGTCACGGTTTGACTTGTACAGGGTACATCGAAATGATGATTCATTACCCCAACTTTGAGTCACTCTGTGGAGTGACTCCAGTTGCCAATCACACCGCAATGCTTTCCATTATCAAGAACCACATTATCCCTATAATCCTGTTTTTTATTCACGTCAATATACAGGGTGTTTCAGTTTATTGTTGCATAACTTTAAGATTCGTTAGAACTTTTAAAATTAATGCATAAAGTCCATATAAACATGGGTCGAAAAATGCGTGGCTTCCGAAATACAGGGTGTTTAAATTTACTTTCTAAAATAGTTTTTTTTAAATATTTCGAACAATATTTGATGTACAACAGTGAAAATTGGTATACAAGGGTTTTTTGGTACGACAAAACGAACCATGGGCATAGTTTTACTGTAGCCGCTAGAGGGCGCTCTCTACTGTACCTTTAGTGTATTAAAATAACCGAAATTTTTTTCTTAGTGCAATTTTTTGCTTTTTGAATTAAAAAACTGATTCTTCGTACTTTTCAACATAAAAAAGCTCTCTTGTGAGTTTTCGTTATAGTTAGCCGTTTTTGAGATATTTCGATTTTTAAGGTTCGATGCATTTTTAATTATTTATGGGAAAATAATATTTTTTTTACATTTTCGATTTGGGCATTACAAGTAATTAAGATGATCGTTTAGATTGTGTTTTTAAACACAGCAATAATTCCTAACTCCAAATAAACACAAAAAAACAGAATATTAATTTGTTTAATTTTCCAATATTATTTTTAACAAATTAAATTATTTACAACTAAAATGCTATTGGATAGTTAGGACGAACATACAAAATCTAAAGTAGTTGCTCGAAATGTAAACCCAATTGTTCAATACACAATTCACATCTACGAATAATCGACCGTGGTATAGCATTATTCAAATAAGGCCTTATTTCATCACATGCATTCCTGATTCTGTCTATTAGCATATCTCTTGTGGTTACGGGAGTCTGGTACACTTTTTCTTTTAGAAATCCCCACACAAAGAAATCTAATGGATTTAGGTCAGGGGATCGTGGAGGCCAGGCGACTGGTCTTCCACGGCCGATCCATCTTTCTGGATAATTTTCGTCCAGCCAGTTTCTAACTATTCTCGAATAATGAGCTGGACAACCATCAAGCTGGAACCAGGCCAATCTTCTTAAATCTAACATAACATCAGCCCACATATTTGCATGTTCAGCCTTTAAAAATTCCAAGAAGGTCGCAGCATTAAACCTTGCAGGCAAAATGTAGGGTCCAAATATTCGATTACGGTAGATACCAATCCACACTAAATTCATGCTGAAAATTTATTTCCCGAACTGCATGCGGATTTTCATGCGACCAAATATGTTGATTATGAAAATTTACCACTCCACGTCTAGTGAAGCATGACTCATCGGTCCATAAAACGTTACTTAAAAACTCCCTATTATTATCAGTTCTATCAAGAATCCACTGACAAACTGTGATTCTTCGTTCTCCGTCCCCTGGCTGTAGTCCTTGCACAGGTTGCAAATGGTAAGGACGTCTATGGTCATTTCTAAGAACACGGTGAACATGGCTTGCTGAAATTCCCAAGGCACCAGAAACTCTCCTAACACTTGTGGTCGGATCTCTATCAAACTCACGCAGAATCATACGGGTAAATCTGCGCTGACGAACATTTATGTTTCGATCCCTTTGGAGATTTCCAAAACCATTTTCAATTATTTGGCGAGGCACTCTTACAAATACTGAGCGAGTTGGATGTCGTCTGTTTGGAAATCTTCGTGCGTATTCTCTGGCTGCTTCTGCTGCGTTTCCATTTACAAAGTCATACACAAAACGAATATCCGCTAACTCTTGATTGGAGAATAAAAATGGCATTTTTATAAAACTTACAAAAAAAAAACAGGTAAAAGAAACTAAATTTCGTGCATTCACAATTGCAAAAAAACGTTTCAGGTTTCAACAGACAACAAAACTAACTGTCAACTAATTGACGTTTAACCTTATTCTGCTTTCAATTTCAAAAATATTTGCAGGCACAGCCTACTTCTAAAAATTATCGAGATACTGACTTTTTAACGTTATTTTATCATAAATAATTAAAAATGCATCGAACCTTAAAAATCGAAATATCTCAAAAACGGTTAACTACAACGAAAATTCACAAGAGAGCTTTTTTATGTTGAAAAGTGCGAAGAATCAGTTTTTTTATTCAAAAAGCAAAAAGTTGCACTAAGAAAAAATTTTCGGTCATTTTAATACACTACAGGTACAGTAGAGAGCGCACTCTAGCGGCTACAGTAAAACTATGCCCATGGTTCGTTTTGTCGTACCAAAAAACCCTTGTATACCAATTTTCACTGTTATACATCAAATATTGTTCGAAATATTTAAAAAAATCTATTTTAGAAAGCAAATTTAAACACCCTGTATTTCGGAAGCCACGCATTTTTCGACCCATGTTTATATAGACTTTATGCATTCATTTTAGAAGTTCTATCGAATCTTAAAGTTATGCAACAATAAACTGAAACACCCTGTATACGGTGGTTGAAGTTTTAGAGGCAAGTGGACCAATTTTACTTCCTCCTTTCATATCTTTTTTAATTCCCGTACGAATTCAAAAAGTTGTTCATCAAATTGTACAGGAATCTATCGCCTTTCTGCGTTAGATTCACATTTTTCAAATTGTCGTTGATACCATTTATCTATAGTGGTGAAAAAAATGAAAACTTTTGACTCAAATTAAAAACATGCTGTATGATACTTTCACGCTCTACCCTTTTGAATAATAATCATATAACCATATCTCCCGTATCCTCCAATTTAGTGTTCCTGAAAATTCTAGCGCGGATTGTTCTTTTAGAACAAAATGAACGTAATACAACAATTTACAAAATCCAAAAAAAATCAATAGAATCAAGGTAAAAGTAAAAAAGTTATGGCGTTCCGAATTTGATCAACATTTTGCTTGTTGCGTGCATTTTGAACCTGAGTGTAACATAGATAAGGATAAATATATTTTGTTGCAATATGTTATTATTCTTACCGTATTGCTTGTATCCAAACTTGTTTATCCTTTGGTTTGTGTACTTTAAGCTCGAACATTTCCGGGTCTGCAGGATTTGAAGATATCAAATAAATACCTCTCGAATCTTGACCCGCCTTTTCTCTTACTAGTAGTTTTTGCAAAGATACCACGCCGGCCTGAAAACAAAATCAATCGATTTCCGATTTATATACAGTATGTTACCGCTAATACTATACGTATACGTTCTCGTCGAAAGCAAATAACAACCACAACCAGCCTCGACACGTACATTCAGAAAGATTTATTGAGCAAATAAAAATCAACAATCTAAGGAAAGCTATATCGGAATTGAAATCTAATAAAAATCCAAGTGAGAATGTCTCAAAAAATATCCTAAATAAAATCAACAAAATATAACTATTTTTAATGTGCTAAAACCGGAATGTAACTATTTTTTCAATATTAGTTCAAGTTTTAGAGATACGGTAATTATATGTGTTCCTGCTGTGACAGTGTTACTATACAGTAATTCACAAGAATGCACGTGCTACATTTTTATATTCGCCAAGGAAAGATGATGTAATCGGCATGATTGTGTTACGTTATACATACGTGTACATTATATTGTTTTATATTAGCCATTTTTTCCTCAGTTGGCTGACAGCGTTCATGCAAGATGTCTCGAAAGTGTGTAAACAATCCAGATCAGTTTTGTTACGTGTGTGGTGATGTGACTTTTGCGTCTCAGAGACGGTCTATTACTCCACTAATAACAAAGGCATATCAGCTTTATTTCGGTTGTAAACTAGGTGATCAAGACAAACAGTGGGCACCCCACATCTGCTGTAATACATGTGCTTCAAGTCTGAGGAGCTGGTTAAATGGCAAAAAACGGTCTATGCGCTTTGCTGTCCCAATGGTTTGGAGAGAGCCTACAAATCATATTAATGATTGTTATTTTTGCATGGTACCTTGTGTTGGACAAGCCACAGGTATGTCCAAGAAAAAAAATCGCTTATTAACTACCCAAACATACCATTTGCGATGAGACCTGTGCCTCACAGTGACGAAAATCCTATTCCAAAATCCCCAGAATCCTACACTTGCGAATCAGAAAACGAATCAGATCATGGCGATCGAGTGATTCGTCAGGAAGAAGATATGCCATCAACGTCAAGAGATCCTGATTTTATACCGAGCACGTCATGCGACCAACCGCACAAAATAACACAGTCAGAATTAAATGATCTTGTAAGAGATTTAGAACTTCCAAAATGTAAGGCAGAGTTACTTGGATCAAGACTGCAGCAGTGGGACTTGTTAGAAGATGATGTTTCGGCATGTGTTTTTCGTAAACGCCACAAAGACTTAGAACCATTTTTCAATATGGCGAATAACTTGGTTTTCTGCAGTAACATTAACGGCTTACTGGCGGCTTTAAATATAAACTATAACCCAGAAGAATGGAGATTGTTTATAGACAGTTCAACATTGAGTTTAAAGGCAGTGTTATTGCATATTGGAAATATTTTACCATCTCTTCCTGTAGGGTATGCAGTTCACATGAAAGAATCATATGACAATATGAAGTACCTATTGACATGCATAAAATACGATGAGCACCAATGGCATATTTGTGGCGATTTGAAAGTTGTTGCACTTTTACTTGGGCTGCAGCTGGGCTATACAAAGTTTTGCTGTTTTTTGTGTGAATGGGACAGTCGGGCAAAGGCACTTCATTACACCAGACAAAACTGGCCTGTTCGTCAATTCCTAGAGCCAGGTCAAAAAAATGTACAGCATATGCCATTAGTAGATTCGAAAAAAATTTTATTACCACCACTGCATATCAAGTTGAGCCTAATGAAAAACTTTGTCGAGGCATTAGATAGAGATGGGTCAGCTTTTCAATACCTGCGTCAGAAATTTCCAAGACTAAGTGAGGCAAAGGTTAAAGAAGGTAATTTTGTTGGGCCACAGATTCGAAATATTTTGAAAGATACACAGTTTGAAAACACTTTAACAGGTATTGAAAAAACTGCTTGGAATGATTTCCGTCTGGTGGTCACTAATTTCTTGGGAAATAGAAAAGCTGACAACTATAAAACCCTTGTCAAAAATATGCTGTCATCGTACCAAAAGATGGGCTGTAATATGTCTCTTAACATACATTTCCTACACTCACACCTGGACTTTTTTCCTGACAATTGCGGAGCCGTAAGTGATGAGCACGGCGAACGTTTTCATCAGGATATTTCAACAATGGAAAAAAGGTACCAGGGAAAGTAGAATCCTTCGATGCTTGCCGACTACTGTTGGACTCTTGGTAGAGATGCTCCAGAAACGATCCATAAAAGAACAGCAAAAAGACAGCGCATATAGTGATTCTTATAAGTATATGAATCTTGTTACTATTTTTAATATATCGTTAAAAATAAAAAGTTTTTTTTCTAAACCGCAACTAATTTTTTTATTTCATTGTCATTTTTGGATTCAGCGCCCCAAAATTAATAGAGAAGTGCACTTTTCCCACAAGATACAATTAAAAAACTAAAATTTGTTGTCCAGTGATTGGCGAATCATTGTTCAGTACATGGTGAATTCCTATCAAAATTAAGGAGTTCTACCATCACTCTTGTGCCAAAAGTTCAACAAGTACAAACATTCGAATTTAATAAATTGTATAATGATATTAAACGTTCGAATTTAAAAATGTTTAAGATGAAATTAAAACAAATCACGTTATGAATACTATGTATAGTGATATAATCTTAATAGACAAGAATGTCATTTAACAGAAAATTGATTCAAAAAAATGTGTACATTTAGCATTAGTGCTGAATAAATCTTCAACAAACAAACAAAATTGTTATACAATTTTTTTTGATGCGTCATTTGAAAAAAGAAGGAGCTGACTAGAAACCCTTACAGTAATTTTCCACCAAATAAATATGAATAGTGAGTACTTTTCTTAAATTTCTTTTTTGTTTCCGCATTTGTTTCAGCGCACCGATTCTTCAAACGTAATCGTTTCTGAAAAGAAAACTCTCAACTTTTAAGAGACGCGCAATGCAAACAAAGTCGACATACGGTTGAAGTCGCATTGCTATCGGCGAAAACAGTTGCATAGAGGTCGAATTACCTTATTGTCAGGAGTAAAAAAAGTGTACTTTTGAGAATTCTCGTGCAGAAAAAACAGAACGTCCGAAAGTACTATCACAAGAACGACTTGCATCTTGCCTCTGCCTTGCATCAACATGGCCACGCCTTCGAATTTCAGCGATCTGTTGCCTTGCAGGATGTCCGACTTCTTGAATTTGTGTCCCCTAAAAATAAGACAATCGGTGAGCGAGATAAAAAAAATCTGATGTAAAAAAAATTGGGACAGTCCATTTGAATAAAACTGTAAAATCGGTCAGTTTTTTCTAAACAGAATGTCCCATATTTCACTGCACGTTTTTTTCTAAAAGATGAAGAGATAATAAATAATAATAGTCTTTATTTTTAATTAATATATATATATATATATATATATATATATATAACTTAAGACGTGGTCATTGTCGTCTAGACCAGTTAGGTGAAAAATTAAAGCTTCCGCCTTTTGTTGGGTACTTCGACAAAATTTAAGCAAAGAGGACTCTTTATACTTTTTTAATTCTCTCTAGCTTTCAATGGACTTTGCCATCATCATCAGGAGAGTAGTATGTGAGGATGTTGCTAATTGTTGTTTACGTATAGGATGAGGGAAACGTCCAGTAACATGGTGAGAGCTGGATAGATGGTACAATGGTCAAAATTATATAAAATATGACAAGAACAAGTTAAAAACAGATTAAAAATTATTTAAAAACATTAAAGCATTACATCGTGAAGCCACTTGATGATTGCACAAAATGGTGGTCCTGGAATAATGGCATTATATATACATAATAATTTTTAATCTGTTTTTAACTTGTTCTTGTCATATTTTATATAATTTTGACCATTGTACCATCTATCCAGCTCTCACCATGTTACTGGACGTTTTCCTCATCCTATACGTAAACAATAATTAGCAACATCCTCACATACTACTGTAAGTTGAGACAATTTAAATTCATTTTACATTTTTGTTGCTACTGTTATCATTGTAATCGCAGCTCCTGATGATGATGGCAAAGTCCATTGAAAGCTAGAGAGAATTAAAAAAGTATAGAGTCCTCTTTGCTTAAATTTTGTCGAAGTACCCAACAAAAGGCGGAAGCTTTAATTTTTCACCTATATATATATATATATATACAGCAGACGCTCGATAACGTAAACACGGGATAATGAAAACTTGCGCTAATGTAAACACAAACTTGGTTCTGTAGGATCAAACGGAACGCGCGATAACGTAAACAATGTGTACGCTCGATAACGTAAACAACTCTCGGCGCACGGAAACAGCGCGACGGTAAAATGCTGAAGCCTCGATGATTTATGTCGGGCGTCGGGGAGTCCCCGATTTATGATGTAGAGTGTAGGGGATTCACCTCTGCGATAAAATACGACAAACTCGGTCAAGCGTATGATTGTTTAGGATACGTTTATACGTACGTATGTATTTCATTTTTGAACTTAAGTGAATACATTGCACGCGTTAATATATTTTACGACTATGGCATCCTCATCCTGTAAAAGAAAGTGTTTAAAGTTGATTGAGAAAGTGAAAATCATAGACGAAGTTGCACTAGGTGCGGGAGTGACACAGTTAGCAAAAAAATATGGAGTATCGAAAGCAACAATCTGTAAAATTAAGCGTATGAAAACTCAAATTTTACAAAGAACGTGCAATACATTTGGAGGTCCGGGAAAAAGAAATACTTTAAAAAATGCGAAGGCACCTAAAATGGAAAATTCCCTGTATAAGTGGTTTTTAAAACAACGGGAAAATCATGTCCCAGTTAGTGGCGAAGTACTTAAACAGAGAGCGAGACTGTCAAATGAAAAACTGAAAGAAACTGAAAATTTCGTAGCTAGTGATGGCTGCCTACAACGATTCAAAACAAGATATGGAATTCGACTGCTGTCTATATCTAGTGAAAAATTATCAGCACAACCACAATTAGTGCAACCATTCAAAGAAAAAGTGATGAAAACAATTACCGAGCTAGATTTAAGAATGGAACAAATTTACAACGCAGATGAAAGTGGCCTTTATTGGAAAATGTTACCAGAGAAAACCTATGCTGCATCATTTGAAAAATCTGCCCCGGGAAGAAAGCCGGAGAAACAACGAATAACGTTTCTAGCCTGCACTAATGCTAATGGTTCACACAAAATAAAGCCACTGGTAATTGGGAAAGCGTGCTCATTTAAAAATGTTAATATCCCTGTTGATTATGACTGTTCAAAAACCGCTTGGATGACTAGCAGTATATTCCTGAAATGGTTCCACAGGTGCTTTGTCCCTCAGGTATGATAATCAATTATCACAAATGCTATATTCATAATTTGAAGATGTGTTTTCAATTTGTAGGTAAAAGGTTTCCTAAAACAACAGAAGCTTCCAATAAAAGCTTTGTTACTATTGGATAATGCACCAAGTCATCCTCCCGAGCAACAACTGAGGAGCAGGGATGGGTCAATTTTCGTCATGTACATGCCGCCCAACGTAACACGTTAATTCAACCGATGGACCAGAATATAATAAGACTCACCAAACTATACTATACGAAGTTTCTACTTTCGTCTGCCTTATCAAAGAATCCTGAAAACTTATCTGAGGCTTTAAAAAAAGTAACATTACGACAAGCTGTTTTAGATTTACATATGGTCTGGAATGAACTTAACCAGCAAACTATTCAAAAATGTTGGAACAATCTCTTTTGTACCAATAATGAAGATGATGAAGAAGACGATGTCCCCTTAAGCGTAATTAGAGAACGTTTGCGATCCAATAATGATAATGTTATTAGTGTGTCATTGGATGTTGTTCATTTATTGAAAACAGTGAATCCCAACATTGTTTGTACTCCTGCTGATATTAATTTATAAAACGAAGATAAGCAGACGAATGATGCTGATAAGGAGGAGGATATGGACAGTGAGGATGACGAGAACGATCCCATTGAAGTCAGAAGTGTAGTGACTGACGCGCAAGCTATACAAGTTTTTAACCAAGCTTTAGATTGGGCTGAAAGAAAAGAAGTTTCATACACGGATATTTTAGTTCTTCGTAAATTACGGGCGCAGGCATTGGAAGACAATGCTAAGCGCAAATTTACGCAGACAAAAAGTTTTGATTATTTTTCTTCTAATTAAAAAAATACTTATCGCTGTTAGAATATTTGTTTATTTTGTTATAAATAGTATGTATTAAACGTTTCTTTTAATAAATCAAATATTAGATAAATCACGTTCGCTAATGTAAACATTTCGATAATGTGAACCACACTTGGATTAAATTAGTTTACATTATCGAGCGTCTGCTGTATTATGTATATATTATAGAGAAAATGATCATGCGGAGAAAGGTATATAACAAAAAGTAGGAAAAAGAAAATAATGGGCAAAATCCGCAAAAAGTGGATTCGAGCAGAAAATATGATTGGTAACCCGAGCGATACGTCTATCTGCTGGTTGGCTTCATCAGGCCCGAAATGAATGCACATATGGAGCTACAAAAGTAGATACACATGCCCACACATCCGAATACGGGTGTAACCCGAGGAAACTAAGATGGAGACGGAAAAAAATCGACACACAAAGTCCGCAACCTACACATTGTAGTATAAAACTTTTTAGATCCTTTGGGCTTGAAGTACCACAACAAGTAATTGGTTAGCTGTTGGATAATAAAGCTATTATTATTATATCTTACCTGTGCATGGTACACGATTTGGCATCTATCCTATGGTAAATCTGCAACTTCCTGTCCTCCTTTTCCTTCTCAGCTACCCGGGCGTCCACCTCGATCAGTATCTCTTTAACTAACGACAACGCTTTTTGCAAAGCTTCTTGCTCCTGTCTATTCTCTTTGCTGGTCTTGATCAATGGCTCAATCAACAACGGGTACTTCGTCAGCCTTTGGGTTACGAACAGAATACATTCCGGTATGCCCTTTTTCTTCAACAAAGGGTTAGTTTGACAGTGCCTGACGAACTCGCCGAATCTTTGATCGTTTTGTAGGTAAAATTTGTAGATTTCTACGGCGTCCCTATGTCTGCTACAAAATTCCCCGTAGGCTGATTTAAGTTTATCCGCGTGGTCGTTAGAAAATTGTTCCAATAGAATATCGGCGAGAGAGGAAACTATGGGGCTTTCCCTTTGCCTTTGACGGAGCTTGGATAGTAACTTGAGGTGTAGATCAATCAGATCGTTCAGCCTTGGAAACATTCTCTCCAAGTTGGGGCCGAGCTGGAAGTATTTCTGCAACCCGTCCACAAACACCTACGATGAAATAGTACAATACAAAATTAGTAGTAATAGTGGAAAGATTTGTTTGGCAAACATAAACAGAATAATTATAAACAACCTAAAATTATTGAATTCAAGCCATTTAATGCACATGCTGGGTAAGCTATAATAATTATAGGTTTAACCAGTGACTCCTCAATTTTAATTTTGTCAAAGAATTCTTCTTTTATCTCTATGTTTAATTTGTTATATTCGATCAACGCTTGATGAAGTACAGATTTGTAGCTTTTTGTACATTAAATGGAAGTCATCTTTATTTCTAGTGTTATGTAAATGATGTGGCATTTGATGATGTTAATTTAGTTACACATGGTGGAAATACATCATTTTTTACTTACAAGATATTTGATAATTTTCACTTCGAGCTACATTAATTTGCTAAGCAATTGTCTAATTGGAGTATATTTATCTTAATTCAGTATTATTCTCATGCACTTGTTTTGTAAAATTTGCAGTCTTTCAGAAATTGAATTATTAGCTAAATATAGAATAGTCGGAAACTTCAAGTAATTTGGAAGAAAGTATTATAGATAAGTTTTCTACTATATGAATTTGGACATGTATAAACTCTTGATCAATATTCCACTTTACTACTAATTTTGTTTATAATTTTCCCATAATGAATATCAAAATTTAATTGAGAGTCAATGCACACGTTAGTGACTCTGAATAGGGTCATTTTACAATAGGCTACAATATATTAAACGTTTTCAAATTTTTCATGACCTTCGAAATTTTTTCCCAAATTCAAAATTTAGAAAATGCTCAACATTCTTAAAATTTCCACTTTTAAAAAATTCTCATAATTTCCAGGATTATTAAAATTCGCAGTTTTCCAACTTCCAAAACAAATCTTTTTAAATCGCGCAAAATATTCGGAATTCTTGAAATTTTCGAAATTTCCAGGTTTCAAGATTCTCAAAATTTGTAAAATTATCAGAATTTTCAGTCATCAAATTCCCAAAAAAGTTTAAGTATGAAAATCGCGTCAGTTTTGAAGTTCTTGAAAATCGTTGAAGAAATTTAGAAAAGTATAAAAATTTTGTAGATTATAGTAAAATTTTTCAAAATTTTTCGAGTTCCCAATTCTTCAGCATTTTCAAGATGTTTGAGATTCTTAAAATTTCCAGTTCTCAAATTTTGCAAAATAATCAAAAATTACAGTTTTTAAACGTCAAAAACAATTTTTTTCAATTTTAGAAAATCGCGATAGAATTCTTGATATTTAAAATCCCGAAAGCTCAGAAACTTAAGAAATTGTGAAGAGTGTCAAATTTCTGCAGATTATAGGAAGGTTTTCAAAATTTTCATAACTTTCAGGATGTTCAAGATTTTCCAGGTTTCCTAAATAATCAAATATTCAGTTTCCAAAAATTCTGAATATTTGCAGGATTATCACAGATTTCAGTTTTCAAATTCTCAAAACAATTTTTTACATTTCCAAATTCGCGACAGTTTATAAATCCTTTAAAATCTTTACAATCTCGAAAACTCAAAAATTTTAGAAAACTTGGAATGTGTTAAAAAATATTTTTAAACATTTTTTCGATATTTTCATAACTTCCGGGATTTTCAAAAATTTTCAGTTCTCCCAAATGATCAGGATGCTCAAAAGGTTCAGAATTCTTGAAATTTTCGAAATTTTCAGTTTTCAAAATTTTCAAACTTCGTAAAATTATCAAATTTTCAAAAAACGTTTAAAAATTCTGAAAATCGCGGCAGTTTTGAAGTTCTCGGAAATTGTTTAAGAAATTTTGTAGATTACCTATAGTGAAATTTTTCAAAATTTTCATAACTTTTACATTTTTTCCCAATAAATCAACATTTTCAAAATGTTTATGATACTTAAACTTTTCAGTTCTCAAATTTTGCAAGATTATCAAAAGTTTCAGTTTTCAAACTTCCAAAACAAATTTTTTTAAATTCTGAAAATCGAGATAGAATTCTTGAAAATATTTAAAACCCCAAAAACTCGGAAATTTAAGAAATTGTGAAGAGTGTAAAATTTCTGCAGATTGTAGGAAGATTTTTAAAAATGTTCATAACTTCCACGATTTTCAAAATTTTTCAGTTCTCCCAAATGATCAGAATCTTCAGAATGTTCAGAATTTTACGAATTTTAAAAATTTCCAGTTCAAACTCCGAAAAAAGTTTTGAAGTTCTTGGAAATCGTTTAAGAAATTTTAAAGAGTAGAAATTTTATAGATTACCTATAATGAAATTTTTCAAAATTTTCATAACTTTTACAATTTTTCCCAATAAATCAAAATTTTCAAAATGTTTATGATAGTTAAAATTTTCAGTTCTCAAATTTTGCAAGATTATCAAAAGTTTCAGTTTTCAAACTTCCAAAACAAATTCTTTTGAATTCTGAAAATCGAGATAGAATTCTTGAAAATATTTAAAACCCCAAAAACTCGGAAATTTAAGAAATTGTGAAGAGTGTAAAATTTCTGCAGATTGTGGGAAGATTTTTAAAAATGTTCATAACTTCCACGATTTTCAAAATTTTTCGAGTTCCCAATTCTTCAGAATTTTCAAGATGTTTGAGATTCTTAAAATTTCCAGTTCTCAAATTTTGCAAGATTATCAAAAATTTCAGTTTTTAAACGTCAAAAACAATTTTTTTCAATTTTCGAAAATCGCGATAGAATTCTTGATATTAAAATCCCGAACGCTCAGAAACTTAAGAAATTGTGAAGAGTGTCAAATTTCTACAGATTATAGGAAGATTTTCAAAATTTTCATAACTTTCAAGATGTTCAAGATTTTCCAGGTTTCCTAAATAATCAAATTTTCAGTTTCCAAAAATTCTGAAAATTTGCAGGATTATCACAGATTTCAGTTTTCAAATTCTCAAAATAATTTTTTACATATCCAAATTCGCGACAGTTTATAAATCCTTTAAAATCTTTACAATCTCGAAAACTCAAAAATTTTAGAAAATTTGGAATGTGTTAAAAACATTTTTTCGATATTTTCATAACTTCCGGGATTTTCAAAAATTGTCAGTTGTCCCACATGATCAGGATGCTCAAAAGGTTCAGAAATCTTGAAATTTTCAGTTTTCAAAATTCTCAAAAATCGTACAATTATCGGATTTTGAAAATCGCGTTAGTTTTGAAGTTCTCGGAAATTGTTTAAGAAATTTTAAAAAGTAGAAATTTTGTAGATTACCTATAGTGAAATTTTTCAAAATTTTCATAACTTTTACAATTTTCAAAATATTTTAAGTTTCCCAATAAATAAAAATTTTCAGTTCTCAAATTTTGCAAGATTATCAAAAGTTTCAGTTTTCAAACTTCCAAAACAAATTTTTTTAAATTCTGAAAATCGAGATAGAATCTTGAAAATATTTAAAACCCCAAAAACTCGGAAATTTAAGAAATTGTGAGAGTGTAAAATTTCTGCGGATTGTAGGAAGATTTTTAAAAATGTTCATAACTTCCACGATTTTCAAAATTTTTCAGTTCTCCCAAATGATCAGAATCTTCAGAATGTTCAGAATTTTAGGAATTTTAAAAATTCCCAGTTCAAACTACAAAAAAAGTTTTGAAGTTCTTGGAAATCGTTTGAGAAATTTTGAAAAGTGTAATATTTCTGTAGATTTTTGGAAAATTTTTCAAAATTTTCACAACTCGGAATTTTCAAAACTTTTTAGGTTTCCTAAATAACCAAAATTTTCAAAATGTTCAGAATTCTTATAAATTATCAGTTCTCAAAATTCTCAAATTTTGCAGGATTATCAAAAACTTCAGTTTTCAAACTTCCAAAACAAATTTTTTTAAATTTTGAAAATTGTGACTGTTGAAATTCCTAAAAATCTTTAAAATATCGAAATCACGAAAATTTAAGAAATTTTGAAAAGTAAATTTTTTTAAAAACCTACTACTTTCAGTATGTTCAAGATTTTCCAGGTTTTCTAAATAATCAAATTTTCAGTTTCCAAAAATTCTGAAAATTTGCAGGATTATCACAGATTTCAGTTTTCAAATTCTCAAAACAATTTTTTACATTTACAAATTCGCGACAGTTTATAAATCCTTTAAAATCTTTACAATCTCGAAAACTCAAAAATTTTAGAAAATTTGGAATGTGTTAAAAAATATTTTTAAACATTTTTTCGATATTTTCATAACTTCCGGGATTTTCAAAAATTTTCAGTTCTTCCAAATGATCAGGATGCTCAAAAGGTTCAGGATTCTTGAAATTTTCGAAATTTTCAGTTTTCAAAATTCTCAAACTTCATAAAATTATCAAATTTTCAAACAACGTTGAAAAATTCTGAAAATCGCGGCAGTTTTGAAGTTCTCGGAAATTGTTTAAGAAATTTTGTAGATTACCTATAGTGAAATTTTTCAAAATTTTCATAACTTTTACAATTTTTCCCAATAAATCAAAATTTTCAAAATGTTTATGATTGTTCTCAAATTTTGCAAGATTATCAAAAGTTTCAGTTTTCAAACTTCCAAACCCAAATTTTTTTAATGTCTGAAAATCGAGATAGAATTCTTGAAAATATTTAAAACCCCAAAAACTCGGAAATTTAAGAAATTGTGAAGAGTGTAAAATTTCTGCAGATTGTAGGAAGATTTTTAAAAATGTTCATAACTTCCACGATTTTTAAAATTTTTCAGTTCTCCCAAATGATCAGAATCTTCAGAATTTCAGGAATTTTAAAAATTTCCAGTTCAAACTCCGAAACAAGTTTTGAAGTTCTTGGAAATCGTTTGAGAAATTTTAAAAAGTGTAAAATTTCTGTAGATTTTTGGAAAAATTTTCAAAATTTTCACAACTCAGAATTTTCAAAACCTTTCAGGTTTCCTAAATAAACAAAATTTTCAAAATGTTCAGAATTCTTAAAATTATCAGTTCTCAAAATTCTCAAATTTTGTAGGATTATCAAAAACTTCAGTTTTCAAACTTCCAAAACAAATTTTTTTAAATTTTGAAAATTGTGACTGTTGAAATTCCTAAAAATCTTTAAAATATCGAAATCACGAAAATTTAAGAAATTTTGAAAAGGAAAATTTTTTAAAAACCTACTACTTTCAGTATGTTCAAGATTTTCCAGGTTTTCTAAATAATCAAATTTTCAGTTTCCAAAAATTCTGAAAATTTGCAGGATTATCACAGATTTCAGTTTTCAAATTCTCAAAACAATTTTTTACATTTCCAAATTCGCGACAGTTTATAAATCCTTTAAAATCCTTACAATCTCGAAAACTCAAAGATTTTAGAAAACTTGGAATGTGTTAAAAAACATTTTTTCGATATTTTCATAACTTCCAGGATTTTAAAAATTTTCAGTTCTCCCAAATGATCAGGATGTTCAAAAGGTTCAGAATTCTTGAAATTTTCGAAATTTTCAGTTTTCAAAATTCTCAAACTTCGTAAAGTTATCAAATTTTCAAACAACGTTGAAAAACTTTGAAATACGCGTCAGTTTTGAAGTTCTCGGAAATTGTTTAAGAAATTTTAATAAGTAGAAATTTTGTAGATTACCTATAGTGAAATTTTTCAAAATTGTCATATCTTTTACAATTTTTCCCAATAAAAAAAAAACTTCAAAATGTTTATGATTGTTCTCAAATTTTGCAAGATTATCAAAAGTTTCAGTTTTCAAACTTCCAAAACAATTTATTTAAATTCTGAAAATCGAGATAGAATTCTTGAAAATATTTAAAACCTCAAAAATTCGGAAATTTAAGAAATTGTGAAGAGTGCAAAATTTCTGCAGATTGTAGGAAGATTTTTAAAAATGTTCATAACTTCCACGATTTTCAAACTTTTTCAGTTCTGCCAAATGTTCAGAATTTTAGGAATTTTAAAAATTTCCAGTTCAAACTCCGAAAAAAGTTTTGAAGTTCTTGAAAATCGTTTAAGGAATTTTGAAAAGTGTAAAATTTCTGTAGATTTTTGGAAAATTTTTCAAAATTTTCACAACTCAGAATTTTCAAAACCTTTCAGGTTTCCTAAATAAACAAAACTTTCAAATTATCAGTTCTCAAAATTCTCAAATTTTGATTTGAGCTACGGCAAGTGGAATCTTTTTGACCTTCATTATATTTCAATAAACACTCTACTGAACTAAGAATACCTACCTTCTGCATGACCAACAGCGTCATGCAATGATGCTTCTCAGTCAGTATGAACTCGTATATGTGCTCCTGCCTCTTGATCTCTTTCTCCTTCAACTTCCTGGACACTTCTTTTCCTACGTACGGCGACCACGAGTCCGGTTCTGAATCGTGAAGTCCTAAGCTGAGGTCTGAACAGAGATCGGCTGCCGTCAGCGGCGAATCCGACAGGAATTCTAAGGGGACGATCGGAACATCGTCTGGGAAGCTAAAAGAAAAGCAACATTTACATACTCCTAGAGTTCCTCGAGGATACGAACGAATATAAATATACTAAAAAATCCACAAACCTCCCCCACAAGCCCGAACCGCCGAATTTCAAACGCTACAAAAACTTTTCTGAAATTGACCAGACGCGTCTGAAAAGTAGAAAAACGAAGTTTGAGCGATTTTGTTTTCATGTGTCAGCGGAGCGATTTTCAAAAACTGTAAAGCTTTTTCATCCTTGGCATAGTAGTCACCTTGTGTTACAATTTCATCTAAATCGGAGCGGTATTTCCCAAGTTATAGGCCGTTCAAGGATTACCGTACAGACAGACTGAAAGACAGAATTTTTTTGCGATTACAATACGTACTTCCTCGCCCAAATAACATCCTGGAAGATTAGCACGTTATTGAGAAACACCCTGTATAGTTATTCCAGCTCGGCATTCAGTAATGTAATAAGCTCCAATGGTTCGATTGATCAAACAAAATGAATACTAACGCAACGCCCTAATAATTCCCCTCGAATTTAATTTTGGCATTATAGTCCAGTTAATTTCGATTCACGTGTCCAACCGAACAGGGAAAGTAGTTTCACGAGCAAACTGGTAAAGAGATCAACAATCTGTTTCCGTGGCAACCTTGAAATGTTACTAATGCATATTTTAAAATATACAGGGTGTTCCTTAACTTAGTGCTATGTCAAACATATTTTTTTAAATACAGCACCCTATATTTTATTGCATATTTGAATAAAGCTTCTAAAAATAAGAAGTTCGATATTATACTTCGAAGTTGAGTCATTTATTTTAACAGTGAGTAGATCTGATCAAAATAAATGTTTTTTTCTTTTACCATTTTTCTGGTAAAATTAAAGTAACAAAGTTATAGCCCTTTGGAAGTTTGAGTACCGCCCTGTCTCAATAATAATATTATGTGCTCGTGTTTGGCAACAACGGATATAATCCGCCTTATCGGTTCATCGCATCGGAAACAAAAAAGCGAAAGAATTTGGAACGATGTTTTTACAATTATTTTATTCAGTTGTATTCAGTCAGTGTCAGTCGGTAACGCGTGAGTGAATAGTGGTGTCTGTTGCGTGGCTCAAACGAACGTTCAAGAACTAAATTTAATTTTGGAAAAGAGGACAGTTCGATTCGATACAAATCGTCTGAATATGAAATAGGTCTAAAAAATTTAAAAATACGAAATAATCGTGACATATATGAGTCGCTAATGCAGTTAACCTAATTAAAAGTATTTAGTTTACGTTTTTTGGTGTCAGCACACTGTGTTCCAACAGGCCCAGCTTGGAAATGTGGAGTTACCTGTTTGTTTTTAATACGTTTACTTTCAGTTTTACTGTTATTTTTCAATTTTACATAATCATTCAAAATTATGATTGAAAAAATAGACAAAAGCTTAGATAAAATATCTGCATAATTGCGGCCACAGATGCAAGTTAAAGAAAATTCACTGTATATAAAGTCAGACTGAATGCTGAGCAAGGTTAACTGACACAAAATAAATTTTTGATTATTGCTTTTCAAGAAGAAAATTTCCAATCTATCTACATTAATAATAGATTCAAAAATGGCATACATATGGTAGAATATGATTGGTACATAACTGGTTGGAATTGACAGTCCTCCTCTTTGCAAATGATCAAAATAAACATTTGTTGTTAATGAACCTTTTTCTTTAACTATTAGCGATTTGCATATCTCGCAGTTTAGGTTTTTAGAGATAGCGTGTGAAGCATATCCAGATATATAAGTCTTAGTAATATCCTCTATGTCACAATTGGCTAAGTAATTTGTCTCAAATACTTCATTGAATATATCCAAAACTTCAGGATTTTGTTTGGTATCCAAGAAATCAAAATTTTCTTGAGTTTCTAAGCAGTTTTGGAACCTTGTTTTAATTTCTGCTAAAGAAAATGACGATTTCTTTTCATTGAAAATATGCTTCAGCCGTATTTTCTTTTCAGCATTTAAAATTTCATCATATGACACATTGTAATTGCAGCCACATAAAAGTCTATAATTGCCAAATCGTTTTTCTAAATTATCAGTGGTGAATTTTCCAGGCAATACATACTCAATGTCAAATTGATTAAATGAATATTCAATTATGTTTAGTAGAGTCAGCGTGCTTTGATATAGAGCTGTATACGTTTCTGGTGTCAGGTGTCCATTATTATTCTCTAGATTATGCCATTTTTCTAACCATATCAGGAATTTTTTTAAAAATTGTACTCTATAATCATATTTATTGGTAATAGGCTTACAAAATTCGTTTCGCTTCAATTCTCCTTTTATTACACTTGTATTACTGACAATATCCCACCAATTCCTGATTATTTCCAAAAAGTGTGCAGCATCATTAAACTTTAATTCTTTCATAGCAGCGATTGTTGAGTGATGGAATAAATTATCTACAAAATTTACATTTTGCCTTTCAAATGAATTTGGATGCAATGTTTTATAATTTAATTTATATGCTTTCTTAACTACAGCTTTTTTTTCCAATTGATATACGAATGTTTTCAAATTTAGCATACTGAATAATATCATTATTGTCAAAATTAGGATATACAAAAGTTTTGTCTAGGTTTTTTAAATTAATCCAATTATTTCTGATACTCTTGAAAATATGCACAACATCATAAGTTAAATATATGTTCTTATCAGGATTATGTGGATTTGGAATAGAATGTTTTCAAAGCAGAATTATAGTTTGCATTGCATAAAGGAACACAGCAACAACGAGGCATATTGTCTGCGTCAAATACTTGATAAATGAAAAAAGAAAAATACAACCTGAATTTGCACGTTTTCAATAGTTGAAATCCTTAGCGTCCTGAGGCGCGAACAGCCACAGTCACACTTCTTAGTTTATTTTTAAAGCACAGAAGCACTACAACTGGAGTCTATTTCTCATATATTATAGTCACCGATCACTTTGAACACATACACACACTTTGAAGCTTAGAAAACAAGCTTATCTCTTAATTACAGCCTCTGGGATTCCGAAATCACAAATTGAAAAAGGTTATGTTTTCTCAGCGTTTTGAGCACGAGTTGCGTCGATGCAGCAAGCAGCGGCGGGAGTAACACTACCACCTACGTTGCCAGATTTCTTTGTTCACGGCTCGTAGTTGACGTCGGCTGTGGTTATAGGGCTAAGTGATTTCAAATATGTATTTTTTACGACTAGAGTGTTTAGTTTATAAAGGCATATTTTGGTAGAAATCGTGAAGTGGGCCAACTGAAGTGGGAAGTGGCTCGTATATACAAAATTTACAATCGATATCATATGTTATATGATATCAAACTTCTTACTTTTACAAGTTGTACCGAAATGTTGAAGTTATAGAATATCCTGTATATAAAAATAACTTAAACTCTCAATTTTTTATGGGACGTAGGTATGCAGTTCCCCGAAAGGCAAGTGAACCACCCTTACTTCCTCTCCTACACGCTTTCAAGAAATCACTTGGCCCGACGCCCATTTTTCACTAGCCTATAATTGCTACTTTATTGACAAACCACATGTCAGTCAATCGGATATCACTGTGACTTTGAATTTTGCAACTGGAGATCATTCTTCGTATCCAAAGACTTGTTTCAAAATGGACACAGAAACCCTAGATTGCGAAAAGGCAAAAGATGAGAAAGACAGAGACGACAACGAGAGTCTCCCCGAGCAATGTTGGGTGTCGACTTCGAAAAACGACAGCAGAAAATGGCTGATTCGGGACGCGTCGTACACGCTGCCCAAGGTACGAATAATGAAGTCAAATATGAAAATTAGTTGGTTCACAAATACTATTTGAGCCTCATTATTAATATACACCATTCCTGAGTATTCAACAACCGTATATCTACGCAGTGTCTCCTACAATGTCGCCACCATATACAGGGTGTTTCAGTTTATTGTTGCATAACTTTAAGATTCGATAGAACTTTTAAAATTAATGCATAGTGTCTATATAAACATGGGTCGAAAAATGCGTGGCTTCCGAAATACAGGGTGTTTAAATTTAATTTCTAAAATAGTTTTTTTTAAATATTTCGAACAATATTTGATGTATAACCGTGAAAATTGGTATACAAGGGTTTTTTGGTACGACAAAACGAACCATGGTATAAACAACACTCATTGCCAGCTTTTCGACAAAAAATGAAATCATCATTACTTCAATAACTTTATTATACAACCATGTTTTTTTTTTACTTTTCGATAATCTTTTTTGCTTTTCTATTTTTTGGAAGTATGCCAGTTTTCGTATTATTGTAATAATTTATTACTAAAAGTTTAAATTTATTGCGAGTAATATTTCACTATTACTAATATCTGCTAGTGACTCTTGTGGAATAGCAAATGCTAAATTTCATTACACTATTGTTGTAAAGAAAAAAAGACGTTTATTATGATTATCCTCAAAAACATGTAGAATTCAATTTTTGTCGGTTAAGGAGCCTCCAGCATCGACTACACGGACGACGTATCTCTATCCGCAAGTGAGGGATGAAACTGAGAACATCATCGGACAGAGGACGAAAGAAATGTTGAGACGGTTCGAGGAAGAAGCCGTTCAAGAGATCATTAAGGAGACCAGCGTGGACTGTACCGTGGATTACTGTACCGAGTACGACGGGAATTTCAATGGATCTGGGTTAGTATATAGGGTTGGTCGGTCCTGGACAAATGGTTCATAAGAAACGATACTGCGTTAGGAATCGAAGGAAGGAAGGATGGTTCCAAAGGAATCCATTCCGATGATTCTGGTGGTTTCGTTTCCAATCGGTTCGGATCGAATACTATTCATATAAAGGCAATATTTTCTAGTTTGAGATATATTTTTTCTATATTTTAACATAAACACCACGAAAATTTATGAATTCAGTTTTCATGTTTCAAAAATGGTAGAAAGCCCGTTAGCCTGAGACCGGAATCGTGAACGAATGGAAGGAGTTGTGACTTCGAGATAGGAATCGTGAACGTACTGAAGGAATCGACTCCGAGTCCAGGATCGCAAACGAATCAAAGGAATCGATTACGAGGCTGGAATCGGAATCGTGTACGAATGGAAGGAATCGGCCCCGAGACCGGAATCGGTATCGTGAACGTATCGAAGGAATCGATTACGAGGCCGCATTCGCAATCATAAACGAATGGAAGGGATAGATTCCGAGACCGGAATCAGAATCGTGAACGTACTGAAGGAATCGACTCCGAGTCCAGGATCGCAAACGAATCAAAGGAATCTATTACGAGGCTGGAATCGGAATCGTGTACGAATGGAAGGAATCGAGTCCGAGTCCAGAATCGCAATCGAATCAAAGGAATCGATTACGAGGCCGCATTCGCAATCATGAACGAATGGAAGGGATAGATTCCGAGACCGGAATCAGAATCGTGAACGTACTGAAGCAATCGACTACGAGTCCAGGATCGCAAACGAATCAAAGGAATCGATTACGATGCTGGAATCGGAATCGTGTACGAATGGAAGGAATCGAGTCCGAGTCCACAGAATCGCAAACGAATCAAAGGAATCGATTACGAGGCTGGAATCGGAATCGTGTACGAATGGAAGGAATCGGCCCCGAGACCGGAATTGGAATCGTGAACGTATCGAAGGGATCGATTACGAGGCCAAATTCGCAATCATGAACGAATTCGCAATCGTGAACGAATGGAAGGGATCAATTCCGATACCGAAATTGGAATCGTGAACGTATTGAAGGAAACGAGTCCGAGTCCAGAATCGCAAACGAATCAAAGGAATCTATTACGAGGCTGGAATCGGAATCGTGTACGAATGGAGGGAATCGGCCCCGAGACCGGAATCGGAATCGTGAACGTATCGAAGGAATCGATTACGAGGCCGCATTCGCAATCATAAACGAATGGAAGGGATAGATTCCGAGACCGGAATCAGAATCGTGAACGTACTGAAGGAATCGACTCCGAGTCCAGGATCGCAAACGAATCAAAGGAATCTATTACGAGGCTGGAATCGGAATCGTGTACGAATGGAAGGAATCGAGTCCGAGTCCAGAATCGCAATCGAATCAAAGGAATCGATTACGAGGCCGCATTCGCAATCATGAACGAATGGAAGGGATAGATTCCGAGACCGGAATCAGAATCGTGAACGTACTGAAGCAATCGACTACGAGTCCAGGATCGCAAACGAATCAAAGGAATCGATTACGATGCTGGAATCGGAATCGTGTACGAATGGAAGGAATCGAGTCCGAGTCCACAGAATCGCAAACGAATCAAAGGAATCGATTACGAGGCTGGAATCGGAATCGTGTACGAATGGAAGGAATCGGCCCCGAGACCGGAATTGGAATCGTGAACGTATCGAAGGGATCGATTACGAGGCCAAATTCGCAATCATGAACGAATTCGCAATCGTGAACGAATGGAAGGGATCAATTCCGATACCGAAATTGGAATCGTGAACGTATTGAAGGAAACGAGTCCGAGTCCAGAATCGCAAACGAATCAAAGGAATCTATTACGAGGCTGGAATCGGAATCGTGTACGAATGGAGGGAATCGGCCCCGAGACCGGAATCGGAATCGTGAACGTATCGAAGGAATCGATTACGAGGCCAAATTCGCAATCATGAACGAATTCGCAATCGTGAACGAATGGAAGGGATCAATTCCGAGACCCGAATCGGAATCGTGAACGTATCGAAGGAATCGATTACGAGGTCGAATTCGCAATCATGAACGAATTCGCAATCGTGAACGAATGGAAGGGATCAATTCCGAGACCGGAATCGTAATCGTGAACGTATTGAAGGAATCGAGTCCGAGTCCAGAATCGCAAACGAATCAAAGGAATCGATTACGAGGCTGGAATTGGAATCGTGTACGAATGGAAGGAATCGAGTCCGAGTCCAGAATCGCAAACGAATCAAAGGAATCGATTACGAGGCTGGAATCGGAATCGTGTACGAATGGAAGGAATCGGCCCCGAGACCGGAATCAGAATCGTGAACGTATCGAAGGAATCGATTACGAGGCCAAATTCGCAATCATGAACGAATTCGCAATCGTGAACGAATGGAAGGGATCGATTCCGAGACCGGAATTGGAATCGTGAACGTATTGAAGGAAACGAGTCCGAGTCCAGAATCGCAAACGAATCAAAGGAATCGATTACGAGGCTGGAATCGGAATCGTGTACGAATGGAGGGAATCGGCCCCGAGACCGGAATCGGAATCGTGAACGTATCGAAGGAATCGATTACGAGGCCAAATTCGCAATCATGAACGAATTCGCAATCGTGTACGAATGGAAGGGATCAATTCCGAGACCGGAATCGGAATCGTGAACGTATCGAAGGAATCGATTACGAGGTCGAATTCGCAATCATGAACGAATTCGCACTCGTGAACGAATGGAAGGGATCAATTCCGAGACCGGAATCGTAATCGTGAACGTATTGAAGGAATCGAGTCCGAGTCCAGAATCGCAAACGAATCAAAGGAATCGATTACGAGGCTGGAATTGGAATCGTGTACGAATGGAAGGAATCGAGTCCGAGTCCAGAATCGCAAACGAATCAAAGGAATCGATTACGAGGCTGGAATCGAAATCGTGTACGAATGGAAGGAATCGGCCCCGAGACTGGAATCGGAATCGTGAACGTATCGAAGGAATCGATTACGAGGTCGAATTCGCAATCATGAACGAATTCGCAATCGTGAACGAATGGAAGGGATCAATTCCGAGACCGGAATCAGAATCGTGGACGTATTGAAGGAATCGACTCCCGAGTCCAGAATCGCAAACGAATCAAAGGAATCGATTACGAGGCTGGAATCGGAATCGTGTACGAATGGAAGGAATCGAGTCCGAGTCCACAGAATCGCAAACGAATCAAAGGAATCGATTACGAGGCTGGAATCGGAATCGTGTACGAATGGAAGGAATCGGCCCCTAGACCGGAATCGGAATCGTGAACGTACTGAAGGAATCGACTCCGAGTCCAGGATCGCAAACGAATAAAAGGAATCGATTACGAGGCTGGAATCGGAATCGTGTACGAAAGGAAGGAATCGAGTCCGAGTCCAGAATCGCAAACGAATCAAAGGAATCGATTACGAAGCTGGAATCGGAATCGTGTACGAATGGAAGGAATCGGCCCCGAGACCGGAATTGGAATCGTGAACGTATTGAAGGAAACGAGTCCGAGTCCAGAATCGCAAACGAATCAAAGGAATCGATTACGAGGCTGGAATCGGAATCGAGTCCGAGTCCACAGAATCGCAAACGAATCAAAGGAATCGATTACGAGGCTGGAATCGGAATCGTGTACGAATGGAAGGAATCGGCCCCGAGACCGGAATCGGAATCGTGAACGTATCGAAGGAATCGATTCCGAAAGCGTAAACGAAACCATGAAATCGAATCACCAAAAGGAACGATTTGGCTCACCTGTATTAATATAACGTTATATAAAAAGTGCTTATTCTAATTTGCTATGAACAGCTTCCAGGTGAGAGACAAAGTCTACGAAGCAGATCAAGAGATCTACAAGAAGTACCCATTGTACAGCTCAACCCCAACATCTTTCTACTCGTTCAAATTGAGCAAAGATCCAAGACGACTTCTAGCCGGACACACCCTGTCGAATGATCCGTTGCAACCGTTCAAAAAATGCGCAGGATTTTCAAAGCCTATGAATGATAAACTGGATAACCGTATTTGGTAATATACAACACTACAACACAAAGCTTTATAGTTTACTTTATTAGTTTGCGTTTTTATTAAATTCATAACTCGATCTGCTGTGTCATAAAATCAATTTTATATAAATTTCTTGTAATTAACTGGAGTTGGTGTCTAAATAAACACACAACGTTGCCGCCGTTTCAGAAAAAAATATTTCCTTGTTCAGGGCTCCTTTTAGAAACTGTGGAGGTCAAAAAATAATCCAACGTTATGCACGTCTTCGATATTATCACTTAGACTGCAATTGAAATACTTTTAGTATAGCTAGACAAAATTTGTTAAAGGCACAATTGATACGTTCCCCAAAAATCGCAAATTTGAATGAAAGTACTTTTATACTCACCTCGCGTTGTCGTGGTGGCCATGATGGGAATCACTATCTTTGTCATCACAGAGTATTTGGCTGAAAAGCAAAAATCATTGAACAATATTTGTCACGGAATCACATATTGGCCTATTGTAGCTAAAGGCCTGCTGGAAGAAACAACAATTACAGAAAAGTATAGTAAAGTCAAGTCGATTAAAATATGACAAGTGATATTTTGTGAATGTAGCCTTATAGCCACAAACGACAAAAAAACCAAACCAAAGAAATCATGGAGCCCATATACCAGCACAAGCGAAGGCAATGATGATGATGACGCCTGGAGTACCAGCGGTGCTTTGACAGGGTTGCCGTGTTGGGGCATTTCCCGCAAATTTTGGGGATTTAATGTTTGAGATTAATTTTTTCCTAATTTCCGATACCCTGCGCAGCTGGTATATTCCGATCATTGCGCCCTCAGTCAGGCGTCAAGTAATCCTTCTCATGCATCGTGGTATATAGGCTCGAAGAGATTTATTTTATCTCATTTTATCAACATCCATGTTGTGAAAATTAAGAACACTTTTTTTTCTGACGTTTGTGACTAATCAGATCATGAAAGTAGTATAGTATAAACGCATGCCTACGGAAGCGAAGCTGTCGCGTAAAATTAATCATAAGAGCTTCTGAAATTGGTATGAAATAGATACTACGATTACTTTGTAAAATGTTTGTCTCGTATACAGCAAGCAACTAAATAATAACAATCTCATTCAGTAGGTACAGCTGATATCTAAATTATGTTTCTTGAGCTTATGGATAGAGCTGCGAGTTTAACTTTCTTGTGAGGTTTCCAGATTCGCAGATCTATACCGATCAATGCCCTTAAAGTCAACATAACTCTGGCCATCACTCAAATTTAGCCTGCAAGTTATTGATAATTGAACCTTCTGGAACCGTGCTACTGAGTGCAGGCGCGACGATATTTGAGTGATGTCGTATTACATACATGACCTTCCAATCGATATCTCTCGCACATCTTGTTTTATTCTATATCAACATCGACCCATTTTTATTGGAAGACCGTTTCACAATTTAGTGTAAACCTAAACTAAGCTTCATGATATATCCACTAGCTCTACAATCTCGTGGTGTCAAGTTCAAACTACAACATACTGAAGTCTGTTCCATCTTATATTGATAAAGTAAATGGCAAAAGATTAAATCTGTGGCGAAAATGCAACTATTTACCACAACGATGTAATTCGACAAACCGTGAAGACAAATAACATTATCAGTAACAACAGAAAGTTTTGGCAATCACAAATGCCAAATACGTTAACGTTGACATACATGTAAGTAATGAAAAGTCTAGAATCTAAGGATTCGCTTCCGAGGCAGGAACAAGAATCGTGAACGAATTGAAAGATTCGATTCCGATACCGGAACCAGAATCGTGAAGGATGCGATTCTGAGGCAGGAACCAGAATCGTGAACGAATCGACGGAATCGCTTCCGAGGTCGTAGTCGGAACCGTACACGAATTAAAGGATTCGATTCCGAGACCAGAATCGTGAACGAATCTAAGGATTCTCTTCTGAGGCAGGAACAAGAATCGTGAACGTATCGAAGGAATCGATTACGTGGTCGGAATCGCAATCGTGAACGAATGGAAGGAATCGATTCCGAGGCCGGAATCGCAATCGTGAACGAATTGAAGGAATCGATTCCGAAGCCGGAATCGGAATTGTGAACGAATGGAAGGAAACGAGTCCGAGGCCGGAATCGGAATCGTGAACGAATCGATTCCCAGGCCGGAATCAAACTCGTGAACGAATGGAAGGAATCGATTCCGAGGCCGGAATCGGAATCGTGAACAAATCGATTCCGAGGCCGGAATCGCAATCGTGAACGAATGGAAGGAATCGATTCCGAGGCCGGAATCGGAATCGTGAACAAATCGATTCCGAGGCCGGAATCGCAATCGTGAACGAATGGAAGGAATCGATTCCGAGGCCGGAATCGGAATCGTGAACAAATCGATTCCGAGGCCGGAATCGCAATCGTGAACGAATTGAAGGAATCGATTCCGAGGCCGGAATCGCAATCGTGAACGAATAGAAGGAATCGATTCCGAGGCCGGAATCGGAATCGTGAACAAATCGATTCCGAGGCCGGAATCGCAATCGTGAACGAATTGAAGGAATCGATTCCGAAGCCGGAATCGGAATTGTGAACGAATGGAAGGAAACGGCTCCGACACAGGAATCGTGAACGTTTCGAAGGAATTAATCCCGAGGGATGCGATTCCGAGGCAGGAACCAGAATCGTGAACGAATCGACGGAATCGCTTCCGAAGTCGTAGTCGGAACCGTACACGAATTAAAGGATTCGATTCCGAGACCAGAATCGTGAACGAATCTAGGGATTCTCTTCTGAGGCAGGAACAAGAATCGTGAACGTAACGAAGGAATCGATTACGTGGTCGGAATCGCAATCGTGAACGAATGGAAGGAATCGATTCCGAGGCCGGAATCGGAATCGTGAACGAATCGATTCCGAGGCCGGAATCGCAATCGTGAACGAATTGAAGGAATCGATTCCGAAGCCAGAATCGGAATTGTGAACGAATGAAAGAAAACGAGTCCGAGGCCGGAATCGGAATCGTGAACGAATCGATTCCGAGGCCGGAACCGCATTCGTGAACGAATTGAAGGAATCGATTCCGAGGCCGGAATCGGAATCGTGAACGAATCGATTCCGAGGCCGGAATCGCAATCGTGAACGAATTGAAGGAATCGATTCCGAGGCCGGAATCGGAATCGTGAACGAATCGATTCCGAGGCCGGAACCGCATTCGTGAACGAATTGAAGGAATCGATTCCGAAGCCGGAATCGCAATCGTGAACGAATTGAAGGAATCGATTCCGAAGCCGGAATCGGAATTGTGAACGAATGAAAGGAAACGAGTTCGAGGCCGGAATCGGAATCGTGAACGAATCGATTCCGAGGCCGGAACCGCATTCGTGAACGAATTGAAGGAATCGATTCCGAGGCCGGAATCGGAATCGTGAACGAATCGATTCCGAGGCCGGAATCGCAATCGTGAACGAATTGAAGGAATCGATTCCGAGGCCGGAATCGGAATCGTGAACGAATCGATTCCGAGGCCGGAATCGCAATCGTGAACGAATTGAAGGAATCGATTCCGAAGCCGGAATCGGAATTGTGAACGAATGGAAGGAAACGAGTTCGAGGCCGGAATCGGAATCGTGAACGAATCGATTCCGAGGCCGGAATCGCAATCGTGAACGAATGGAAGGAAACGAGTCCGAGGCCGGAATCGTGAACGAATCGATTCCGAGGCCGGAATCGCAATCGTGAACGAATGGAAGGAATCGATTCCGAGGCCGGAATCGCAATCGTGAACGAATGTAAGGAAACGAGTCCGAGGCCGGAATCGGTATCGTGAACGAATCGATTCCGAGGCCGGAATCGCAATCGTGAACGAATTGAAGGAATCGATTCCGAAGCCGGAATCGGAATTGTGAACGAATGGAAGGAAACGGCTCCGACATAGGAATCGTGAACGTTTCGAAGGAATTAATCCCGAGGGATGCGATTCCGAGGTCGTAGCCGGAACCGTACACGAATTAAAGGATTCGATTCCGAGACCAGAATCGTGAACGAATCTAAGGATTCTCTTCTGAAGCAGGAACAAGAATCGTGAACGTATCGAAGGAATCGATTACGTGGTCGGAATCGCAATCGTGAACGAATGGAAGGAATCGATTCCGAGGCCGGAATCGCAATCGTGAACGAATGGAAGGAATCGATTCCGAGGCCGGAATCGGAATCGTGAACGAATCGATTCCGAGGCCGGAATCGCAATCGTGAACGAATTGAAGGAATCGATTCCGAAGCCGGAATCGGAATTGTGAACGAATGAAAGGAAACGAGTTCGAGGCCGGAATCGGAATCGTGAACGAATCGATTCCGAGGCCGGAACCGCATTCGTGAACGAATTGAAGGAATCGTGAACGAATCGATTCCGAGGCCGGAATCGCAATCGTGAACGAATGGAAGGAAACGAATCCGAGGCCGGAATCGGAATCGTGAACGAATCGATTCCGAGGCCGGAATCGCAATCGTGAACGAATGGAAGGAAACGAGTCCGAGGCCGGAATCGGAATCGTGAACGAATCGATTCCGAGGCCGGAATCGCAATCGTGAACGAATGGAAGGAATCGATTCCGAGGCCGGAATCGCAATCGTGAACGAATGGAAGGAAACGAGTCCGAGGCCGGAATCGGAATCGTGAACGAATCGATTCCGAGGCCGGAATCGCAATCGTGAACGAATTGAAGGAATCGATTCCGAAGCCGGAATCGGAATTGTGAACGAATGGAAGGAAAGGGCTCCGACATAGGAATCGTGAACGTTTCGAAGGAATTAATCCCGAGGGATGCGATTCCGAGGCAGGAACAAGAATCGTGAACGAATCGACGGAATCGCTTCCGAGGTCGTAGCCGGAACCGTACACGAATTAAAGGATTCGATTCCGAGACCAGAATCGTGAACGAATCTAAGGATTCTCTTCTGAAGCAGGAACAAGAATCGTGAACGTATCGAAGGAATCGATTACGTGGTCGGAATCGCAATCGTGAACGAATGGAAGGAATCGATTCCGAGGCCGG